CCCTTCGAAGTTAACATCGTAGCCATCCTCATTGCAGTACGGCTCGACCGCATGCATCTTGTGTCCCTCATGACCACGCAGTTCTTCTGGTGGTCTCACGTACCAAATTTCTCTTTTCCCATCGTGACACACATTGACTCTGTGAGGGCAGCGATCAAATACGCATCGGAAGGTGTAGAGTGTTTTCATATTTGGCCTTGTCCCACCATTTGAGCTCTCAATGTAACCAAACCCACGACGCTCAGCCCAGTCATTCATTCCATCCCAGACCAGCCATTTCATGGATGTGGGGTCAGAGGGAGGCAGTGTCGCGTAATCATGAAACTCCCTCGCTGCCCGTCGTTTCTTCTCACAATTTTCGATCAAACTGAATGTCTCCTCTTCCTCGATGATATCGCGTGGCTTGTGCTGATGTTTGTCCATGGCCTTGAGGATCTTCAACTCATTGTATGCGACCTCTGCCCTGTCTGCACTGTGTTCTAAAATACTCACGCGATACTCACAGCCTGAATGGCAACATGCCAGTGGAATGATCGAGATCTTGCGATCACATACAATAGCAGATGTTACCGGTAGCTTCACGTGCGCAAAGAACTGCCTTCGCGCTGCAACGTCTAGCCATTTCCAGACATCATCTGCGGATGCTTCACTAGTGTAGCCTTTAACCACGGGTGGGTAGGGTGAGTTGTTGATGTAAGCTGGATGGTCGAAAATAGGGTGTTTAGGCTCAGGGCACGCCAACTCATCATCATCATGACCCGAGTCATCTTCAGTGCTGTTGGTGCGGGAAACCGTAGTCATGTCTCTGCTGGCAAGTTCCTCTGTCATGCGGTCAGCGTTATCTGTTGCACGTGGAAGTTCTTCCATTGTGTTCGGGATGGACCCTCTGCTTGTTGGTCAGGAGGAAATGTTTTAAAATGTTACTATCGTGCTGCGCGGACAGCTGTTCATATATATATATATATACATGTAATAGACTTTCAGTCCCTGTATGGAGGTCACACGCGACTAAAACAGCTCGTTCCACCAAAGGACAGTCTCCAAAATTCTCAAAAGACGCGACAAACTTATGTGAAGCCCTGCATCAGGGACCAGAATTTTTGATATACGAGGTGACTGAAAGAAGATGTTAATCAGACATGCTTATGAGACTACTAGTACTATTTATGAGATTTGTTATACATGGATGTGGAATTCCTTGATTGAGGGATTTGCCAATCGTTTACTGTGCTAGCTTTACTGCTAGGTCATTTGTTCTTCTTAATGGAATTATGTTCCTAAACACGTTTGATTATCCCAACTGCTAACGGTAGACCTTCATCAAGGAATTCTGCCACTAGTGTCTACCTTTTTTCTTTTATCTTTGAGGTATTACGCCATATAAATTAGTATCGTCAGATATAGTTTTAAATTATTATTGTTGGGAGTAATACTACCTGAAGGTCCCAAAACAATAAAAATGAAGTTTCATATACAATGTTGGGAGGAATACTATACAAAGGATCCAAACCAATAAAAATGAAGTTCATTACACAATGAACTTCTTGACCTTCATATCGGTCTGTGAACAACATTTTTTCATAAAATCAAGATATGGTTGTATAAAACCTATATTATAGGACTTCTCAAAACATATGGCTCTATAATAGTATACCCTTTGGACAAGTCCTATAAATATGAATTCATCCCTCACCAAGAACAAAAGTAAGGAAGTGGTTGTAAAGATGAAAATGATGGTATGAGCATCATGAGAGGGATTGTGCCTTTCAATCCAGTCAGCATCAATCATCTCTTCATGGATTCGACCACTGAATATAGCGTGATTATGTCAAGAGGACCATAGGCAACTTTCTCCTTTCACGACTCCAGTTGCAGAGTTTCCCCTGCAATGAAGGTGCATATCTTGCGGAAATCCAGCAAAAGTGAGAAAAAACGTGTATAATCTCCTTAAATTCAGCTCAAAATTTGGATGTTACTATATTATTGGATACAATCAGCCATGAAGAATTTTATGATAATTTGTTTTCTTCTCTCTGTTCACAATAATGTGTGGTTTCAAATTTTTCCCCTTTTTTTTCATTATTATAATAAGGTTTTTGGTTGGTTAGGGGTTAGTCAGGGTTAGAAAATAAGGTTAGATGTGGTATAAGGTATGTAGACTTGAAGTGTGTCCTCCCTTCTACATACTTTCTGCTATTTTTAGTGTCTCAGTTGTGTTGCGGCCAACAGAGGTGTGTGGAAAAAGTGTAAAGTGCTAAGGAACAAGAAAAGAAAAGACAAGACATACTGGCAAGCGACATGCAAGGTGAACCTCAAGATGATCAAGATGAAACACATGACCCCGTTTCCGCTACGTTTATAGGTCTCATTCTTGGTTTTACACTCGTACTTGTATATTGAGCCAGATCCAATGGCACAATCTCAACCCCGTCGACTGGTACATACTGTAGAGTCTTGTGCTACCAGTATCCATCGGTATTGGGACTCTCAGTATACAAATTTTCTCATGTCATCTCTCGAACTCAGCTCATATACCCTTTAAATTTGCACTTCCATACATGACAGGCTGGTTCCAGTCCACACACATTCTCCTGCCGTGCGGGATCTTGTGTACTATGAAAAGTTCAACAAGTTCGCCTCGATCATTGGAAAAAGAGCACAATGAGTTCTCAAGAGGTAAAATTGATGTTTGAAGGCGTCAAAGATCAGTGTGTATGCTCCCCCGTATCTTCTAAGACTCTTGAACCAACTTGTTGCAGTACATTCAGTATGAGGGACCGAGGAAGGATGGCCCGAATACTACCCAGTTGTCTCAGTTTAATTTAACCTCTTAAATACGAGCTTTCTATGTAGCACTTGTTTATATTTCCTGATGCAGATCAGTTATAAATAGTCACACACACATCATGGTCGACACTAACTTTGCAGAGACTAGTCTTGTGGGGTTTGGTACGGTGATTTTTGGGGGTATATTAGGGAGAAGAGGTCACGAGACGAGTGTTTAGCGGCGCAGTGGGTCAATGTGAACAGGTCAGGCCGGTTTACCACGAGATGCACCTTTCGAACAGTAGAATCAGAGATCTTGGGAAGAGGGATTGTGGAGAATGACTTCTGTAACACACAAGACTCTCTGGTATAATCGCCGGAGTTATGACTATCTCCGGCATCTATCACAAGTTTACACGTTTACAAGGGAACAACATCTCTTCGAGACAGCATGATACCTGTGGAGTGTCTCATTTGAGAGGGATGCACCCTGCCACCCAAGGTTCACTAATTACCCCGGTTGGCTCACTGTAATTAGGCGATTTGGGGTGTCTCAGAAGACCCCGGCGGAGACCGTTACACAGAGTTGCTGGTGACGTAATGAGCTGAGTCTGTGAGTCTTTGACCGACCACTTTTGCTGTCCCCAACTACCGTGCATTACATGATCGTATACTAATGTCCAATGAGAGAACTGTTGACGTCTTAGATGTACTGAACTGTGGCTCTATTGAACTAAATGCGGGTATCTTTGGTGCTCTAGGCCGGTTAAGCAAGTCAATAGGCCCGCCGAGTTGACCGTTAGCATGTGAATAACGTCGCCAAGACGACCAAGATCTTCTTAGTTCTAATCTGGAGCTCCTACATCCTTCCAAGGCTTTACAGCCCTAAAGGACAGCAGCAGTAAATACTGTATCTGGACTCGGTAGAAGATATTGTTCGCAGAGGCTTTAACCTCCAATGCTTTCGAACAGTTTGCAAACAGTTTGCGTGTTTTTTGTTTTTTTCTGAAACACACTATCCGGAAGGCGGTCCCGGCTAGAGAGACCTAGCTCTTTCGCCGGGCCGCTCGTATTCTTGCCCTTCTAACGAGAATGCATCGTCTTCCGAGGAGGATACAACTTTGATGCCCACCATACTCTTTGAACTAGGCCCTTTATCTGATCTTTTACTTTCCACTCATTCGTACAACCCCCGACGATGGTCATATAAGGCGGCCAGCGGGAACCGTTAATCGAAATGAAGGGAAGAAAGATCATAGACCCGCGATTCGGCAGTTGAGTAATCGACTTTCGGAGACAGAACTGCTTCAACCCAGATTTACTGTACTCTAGGCTTCATCACTTCCCCTGGCCAACCCAAGCCAACGGACCGCCCATTTTTCTGAGCTGAATTTTTCAAAAATGGATATTTTCATGTGTTCCTGTTCGCCTGTCACCCCTATGGCTATGGATATCTGCTTTTGGCCATTATACACGCTTTCTTTTAAATCACAAATTTTTCACTAGCTCCCGCGTGATGAAGTAAAGCTATCAGGAACTTTTACCACACATTTGGCGAAGGGATGATGCGAGCAAAAACTCTCCAACTAGGTAACATCGTCAGCAGCAGCAATGATGTAGGAGTAGCGCCAAAACCTCGCAACATTGATATGGCCTGATACAGGCACACATGGCGCTGTGGAGGGGATGGAACTAGGGTGGAGGAGATGGTTAGTAATATCAGTACAAGCACCACCAGTAGGTGCCCACTCAGTTGTAATATGGACGTTGATCTGATATCCTACATCAATGCTGTTCTCTCATGAGGTTGTTTCCCATTCCAAACATGTTTGCGGCTCTTCTCCGACTCTGCATGACCTGCCGATGGAGCAGCCGATGGAGATGAATTCTAAAAAATACGAACTTGAAAGATAGTGTCACTTTTAAACGAATACGAGCATGGTGCATATGGCAAGATTGTATTTTCGGTTTTTATGATAAAACCATCTGAGCCTTGGTTTTGTGACTGAGAAGGGCGCGTGTGCGTTCACTTACGTGTTGTAGACACAGGGTTGTCAATTGTTGCCTTTCGAGTTCGGACTTCATATTGTCAACTAACCTGTAGCACGTTGTACTCCAATTAGTAAATATAGTCAACTTTTATCAAATACTAGTTGGCCATGAATCAACTAATTATTTCATTGGTTGACATTACAGATTTCCAATTACTCAATGTTAACCCTTAAATATATACCCTAGTTCTTCTTGTACAACTTCACGTGCACACCTGTGAGATGACTCATGGTCAGAGCATGCAGTTTCACTGGGGGCTCAGGCTTGTCGTCGGCATTCTCCAGAGTGTCATACATCTGTGCAAGTCTAACTAGCACGTATCCTGCCTCTGTAAGGGCATATTGCTGTCCGAGACAGATTCTAGGCCCTCCGTTGAATGGAAGATACTCCCATCCACGAGCCTTTCCTTCAGCCCACCGCTCAGGAACAAACTCCTCGGCATCCTCTCCCCAATACTGTGTCAATCTGTGGGTGGTGAACACATGGTAAGAAATAACGTTGCCCTTTCTGATAACGATGGGATCCTGTCCCACGGGCCCTCCTCCTCGAGGAAGAGTAGTGTCCTTCGTAGCGAATCGCATATTGGCAGGAACGGAAGGGTAGAGTCGCAGCACCTCGTTGAGCACATATCTCAGGTAATCGCATCGCTTCAGGGACTCAAAAGTGATGTTCTCGAGATTCTCTCCATCTCCAAAGTGCTCAATGACCTCAGAACGCAGCTTCTGCCACACTCTATCGTCTCTAGCCATGAGATAGAAACACCAGGACAGCAGCGAGGCCGTGGTGTCTCGTCCTGCCAGAAGAATGTTCAGAGCCTGGTCTCTAAGAACCTTGGGGTCTTTAGTTTCTCGAGCCAGCTCCCTGAGGAACACGTACTTGTCGTCGTCCACCTTCTCTTCAGCCTCCACCAAAGCCTTAGACACGTAATGGTCGACGAACGCATGAACTCTAGCTCCAGCAGTCTGTAGTTCCTTGGGGTTCCATAGCCAGTAGAGCATCTGTAGTCTGACACGCTCACCAAGGTGCTCCTGGGCCTTGTTAAAGTCTTTCTGGAACGACTTTCGCAGATCCAGAGGCATGTCTGAGGAGTAAGCGCCAGGATCGGACTCTGCAATCTGGCATCCAACCGACTGGCCAAACAGAAACTCGGTGGCGGTGTCCAGAGTCAGGTTGAAGAAGAGCTCCTGCATGTCTACGGGTTTGCTGCCTGTGATTCGAGATGTCAGGAACTTTAGGTGGGTCTCGACCATGTGCACATCAGATACCTGGTCTCTAGCAAACTGGGGTCGGAGCATGGCTCGAGAGTGTTGCCATCCGTTGCCGTCCAGAGTGAAAATACCGTCGCCCAGAACAGGAAACAGTTGAGCGTGGCGTTCTCCCAGACAAAAGTCCTTGAATTGCGTGGCAAGCATGGCCTTGAGGTTTTCGGGATCGCAGGTGTTGAAGATGTCCTTGCCGAAGATGTTCACTTTGTTGGTAAGGAAGGGCTTCTTGGCTTCAAATGAACGCTGGAAGCCCTCCAGGAGCTTGTGTTTTCGAGATTCGCGCAAAAAGACGTAAAAGTGCCATAGCGACCGCGGGAACGATGCGTAGTAGAGTGGCTTTCCGCACTTCCATTGCTTCTCTAGAGCGTTGGTGCGTCGCTGGTATACGAACGAGGACGAAAGAATGTATACAACCACAAATGTGGCTAGTGCGATTAACAGATGGAAGGTGTTCATAGCTGGGTTCGTGGTTGTGAAGGGGTGAGAAGAACCGGGGAAGATGGAAGCTGTTATATCTACACAGTGGTCTGAGACTAAGAGAGTTCTTCCCAGCATGTGTTTGTTTGGGTGGGATGTAATGGGGGCCGTGGGGGGTTTCCTGAGACCAAAATGAACGATATTGGTATCTTTATAATAGTAGCAATGAGATGATTCATTTCGTGGTGTCAGATTTGCAACCGGAACCCCACAATGTGCTGAAAAAGACACCCAACCTGCTCACTAATAGAATATTTTAAACCTAAACACACTCAAACCGGAGAGATGGGATGCAGGTTCATGTGGGGTAGTCGGGGGATCGACCTGGGCCTGGAGAGGCGCGGTTGCAGAGATGATGATACGGATCGTCCTTTTTTTCCAGCACCAACGATTTGCCACGTTCGATGGTCGTCTGTAGCAAAAAATGAGCATCTTCAGCTCCCTATTGCTCGACTCCGATTGGCCAAAAGAAGACACACTAAAAGTAAGTACTTGGACGCAGTCTTTTTCACTTTTTTTATGTTACTGTACCCCACATTACGTCTATTTTTAAGCTCCGTAGCCTCGCCTTATCGCACTTTGTCACTGGTCCTCGAAGGACGTGTAAGAGCTGTCATATGTCTTTTTTTTTTTTGAAAAAACGTACAATTGAAGGCTTCTACAAACTTCTTTCAAGATATTTCGTGGCTGGTCTAACTGTTAGCTCCACAGGAACAAGGGCAGTATTTTTGCACATGCATCCTAGCAGAAACTCTATAACTCGGAGCAACATAATACATCATACATAATATAATGAGAGACTGGTACATGGAACAACAGGTTTCGGAAAAACTTGAGAGACAGAAGACATCTAGCAACGGCGTTGATCTCACTCATGCTAATCTTTCAAGCGGCCAAAGTGACCTTTTCACGTTCAACAAGAGTTCCCCTGAACAGTTGAATGTAGATTATCATGAGAATGTGCTCGAGGGATGACGGCTAAAGTGGCACCCCAACGACTACAACATGGAGTACTGTAGTTCCAGAGGAGATAGCCATTAGCTATGATGTTATCCATGGAGTTATTCCTCATTGATGTCTAAAAGGGTGACACTTAGGGTGCTGCTGTGTAGGGTACTGTTGTAGTCGCATCTGATAATCAATCACATGTTCGATCATCTTGTCCTCATTATATACCATTCTGTACCATATTCATTATTACTGGTGGACTTTGGTAGTAACTAATTCCACTACCTGAGATGTTACAACTGCCAAAGGGCATCTGGGCACCAATCTCTTCAAACGCACGCATGTCGTTTCTTCTCTGAGGTACCTGTTGTACCACGTCCATCTGGTATAGAATCTTCTTCGAAACATCTCAAAGGTTTGAAGATTGTCTGTGGCTCCGTTAGCGACCCATTTTGGGCGCTTCTTTTGGCAATCTCGTGCGATTTTGACGAGTTGTTTTTGCATCGAATAAGAAGTGGCGTAGGACCTAGACCCTGCTCGTTTTCGTAATCAATCTCGATTGAGTCCTCGGAATTAGGCACAACAAAAGCGCAGGAGATAGCGGGGTGATTAAAGAGTTCCCATTCAGGGGTACGGCTTCACAGGAACTCCAAACGGGCTTCCACGTACCTCAAATGCGCCATGACTACTCGAGTCAGGTGTGATAAGGAGAATACACGAGCACTTTTCATGACTTTAAGTGAGAAGGTCAATAGTGGAAGACTCTCGTGATCTTGTAGCATCATTTCGACTGCTTCTTCAACTTCGTCTTCTCGAAGATGATGTAGAGCGTTAATGTCTTACGACATATCCACCACAAATCTCACAACACCCTTCATGCGACAAAAAGCTGATCTGAGAGACCAGTACTTGTCGTTACCGCGATGTATAGAAAATTACGATATTCTGAACGATTACTACACCGCACTGCAGAGCAGCTTGAAGCGCTCTAGGAATACGTCAGAGCAACTTCCAATTTGGGATTGAGCTCACTCGTCCTCGAAGAAATAAAAAAACCACCTGCTCCAGTTTGATCCACTTTGTAAGCTCATATTCACGGTATTGGAACACTTCAAATCCCCTTGTATCCAAAATTCTCCAGGAGGCACTCACTGTTGGGTTGGAACAGGATATGCAAATCCCCATTGAGTACCTTCTTGTCCAAGACCTGCAGGACGGAGTTAAGAAATTTATCAGTCGATCTATGCGAGGGAGAAATAAGCAGATACGAGTGAATTTCTGATGCCAAGTAGTCCAAATCAACTTTCCGATGAGATCCAAACGGTTACATTTCAGCTACTTTAGGCCTAAGATAATGTTTTACCCGCAAATGGGATTCGGGATCGGTTGTTCAGAAAAGGCCATAGCATTCGTGTTTGCTTGTTCACGTATTCTGTCAGTTTTTTTGTTTTTTGTTGTTCCAATGATTCATTACAGCTACTTTTTTTTTTTATTCTAATGATTCATTACAGCTATATACCTAGTAAGCCGGGTTATTGGCGTTCAATTTGTTTTTTTTGGTTTTTTTCACTTTACGAACCAAATTGCCATTTTCTCCCCCGACCACCACAAGAGGACGTGGCGTAATGGTAGCGCATTGGATTTCGGCTTGTTTCATACAAACGACGTCCTCCAAAGGCTGCGGGTTCGAGTCCTGTCGTCCTCTGTTACTTTTTTTTTCGCTTGTCCTGCTCTTGACATTTGTAGACATTTGTTGGTAGGTATCTGTGCATGCAGGTTGTCTCTATTGTTAACTAGTATGTTCAAGTATTACCATTTTTAGTTAGAATATTAAACAAACTGACTACCTGAAAAACACGGTAAAGACGAGACAAGCGACGACACCAGCGACGACACCAGCGACGACACCAGCGACGAGACAAGCTAACGGCTATGGGAATGGTGTAAAGATACCCCACGATCCCATGTATTTTCAAATTAATCGAAACATAAATCATCGACAAACAATCTCTATGATAGGTGTCTCAAACTGTTGTCTATGTTGGGGTAGGGCGAGCGCTCGCTGTTGCCTTATGAGTCCACCCAGGTTTCGAATGTTGGGGATTAAGAAACGAAAATTGGAAGAAAAACATGAGCTACAAGTAGCTGACCAATTTATTTTTTTCTGCATATACATTCATTTAATTATAACTTAACACCAAAAAAAAAAAGTTGGACTGAAAAGAGCTGACTGAACAAAAGGTTGAACCAAAAAAAAAGCAGGACAAAAAAAAGAGAGATAGAATTGGGTCGAAAGAAGTAGTAGAAACGGACAGAAATAATCCAGCGGGAAAATACATCAAAAATCGAATTGAAAGACGCAGAACAATATAGCTACAGTACTGTACTGTACTTGTAGTAGAATTGATGAAAGCTCGCAACCAGAGTTTTGGAGGTGCTATCCATTTATATCGTACGAAGGTCTTTTGAGTTTAGATAATGCATCTCTGAAACTATATTGCGTCTGAAACTACTCCAGGTGAGTGTATGTCTGCTAGGCAGTATCTTCTGTCTGTTGCCTTAGTTGAGCAAAGAGATGCCAAAGTATTTTATTCTAGTTGGGGGCATTTTAGTTATTCTTGATTTCTTTAATAATATACATATTTTTCCAGGATCATATCAACTATCATCTGTATTCCATATTGAAGTTTCTATGTAATCACAAGTATATTTTTATCTGTCCTTACTTATTGTTTTTTCCTTCATTATACGCACTTTTCTCTCCTTCAAACTGTAACCCAAGCAACTGCAAGTACACATTACAATCCGTCAACATCTACAATACGTCTTTCAAAAGGAACAATCTCTAAAAAAAGTGCAATTTCAGTTCTTGCTGGTATCAGTGATGGTCTCTGAGCTTTGTCAGGCCACCGTTTTGCAAGGAATAGCATAGCATGGTCTGTTATCTCTGATTTATATCACAGCATATGGTTCATCTCAGGAGGCTGAAATACCGTAGGCATCTCGATCTCACCTCAGTTTAGCCCTCTTGGAACATGGACGGCATAATCCCAGCGAAATGTAAACACTGTCTGGACAGTGAGAGCACTACTAAGAAAAATTCACCCACTTGTTGAAACAAACCTCTACTGTAGTCTGCAGATTCTTCTACGCCTCAGATCTGGCGAAAGCTAAACAAAGAACAATCTCTTCTGGACTCGTGGGATTTCCGACTGGGTATTCCAGATTAAATCTCCCCGTTTCCCGTCATCATGTCAGACACGTCGATCATGGGATTCTCCCTCTTCTGTTGCAGCTTTAACCTCATTCCTCTTCTTCTATAACTTCTCCTTTTCAACTCAGAGACAGTGTGCGAGATCCAGTTTCCATACGCCTTCATTTCCAGTGGACTGCAAACTGAAATTCGTATCTCAAGCATGAACTGTCACTTTGATGTCCCGGATTTCGGTTTCACGGTGGAAAAACATAATATTTGAAAAAGACAGTTGTATATAATCCTTTCCTCATTCACACTGGTACCATACCTGTAGTTAAAAGATGTTTACACTTCATTCTTGTCGGAGATGAAAGTCCGTTTAACTATTTGCACTACAGTATGGTAAAAGCAAGTCCTCTTTCGAATGAAACACTGGGCTTGACCCCAGGTGAGTCCGATCTCTTCTAATTCACAGTAGCCTTGAAACCCAAGTAGGTGGAATTACTCAACATACTGAACTTGATGTAGACAACCACTACTCGTACAAGTTGTAACAGATATGGATAAAGGAACTTTATTGGAGCATTGGCTTCAGTGAGTTGTATCCTCCACGAGGGAAACTAAACAGACCCTTGACAATTCAAGAGCTGCTCTTGTTATATTAGCCTGCTTTTGTGTAAAATAAACAGCAAGGGCGCACATTTCTGGGCAATTAACTCCATTAATGTGCATTACTTACGTATAATGGTGGAAGAATACTGTACTGTGATACTTGAGAGCAATAACTGGTTAGTTACAGAATAGATAGGAGACAAGAAAGTTCTTGTTTATTTTCTTCGGATATAAAACAGAAAGTGCATTTCATATCAAACACGAACTTCCAGCACCGACTAAATATCATCTCCTTCGTTGATTCTAAGTTCAAGTCAGGGGATTACATTTCCCTTCTCGGCATCTCGGCATTTCTAGCATCTCTTGCGATGCATGGAAACCAAATCTCACCAACATTTTTCGGGAAGATCTGGTGCCATTGGCACCGAATGAGGTTATAGTGCCCGTTGGCGCCGAATGACTTAGTTTATCGACGAATCTCTGAGATCAAATCTAGCACATGGGTACCACTACAAGTACTGTACATCAGAATGACAATTTACACGTACAGTGCATCTATTAAGTTGCTATAAGCATAGCACGACAACTCATCTGACTCTTCACGTCTGATTAAATATCTCATACTCCATACTATGACATCATTTATTCCGTTGATATGATGCAACTCTGCTGTTCTATTTATATCCAAACTTAAATATCTACAGTGCAATGTCAGGTAAATGATGTCTGAGGAGACAAAATAAGAGGAAAAGGGAGGGATTCTCGGTAAGAAAGACTCTCCTGACTTGAATTGGGCCTTTTTTTCGGCCATATTCGTTACAAAATCGCAACTTCTGCTGGGCATTCAAGTCATCCCGTTTGCATATTATATGCTAGTTAAATATAACCGAAAACTCAATATCCAACGGCATCACCGTCTTGAGCGGATATGGGGGCAATCTATTTTGAGCACTTCTATTTCGAGTTGAATCTCGGGCATATATATAGGAGTCCAATCTCCCTCTAGTTCTGTATCAAACAACCACATCCACGACTTCAACCACAACTTCATCTCAACAATGCTCTTCAAGACTTTCTCTCTTCTCACTGCCGCTTCTGCTGCTCTTGCTGCTCCCGTTGCTTGCGAGCAGCCCCAGGAGCACAACGAGCCCTCTCACCCCACCTACTCTCTCCACGCTTTTATGCCTGGCCAGGGAGCTCTCGGTATGAAGGCTCTTCAGATCCGAGGAAACGATGTTGTCTACGGCCTTGAACAGGGCTACTCTTACTTCAAGGTTGAGGATGTTGGAAATGCCATGACCAACGTTCTCTCTGAGGGCCAGGGACCCCGACAACTCTTTGCCGATGTTCAGACCGGTAAGCTCGACGTCAAGGATGGCCCCGCTCCTCCCCTTGAGGGCAACAGCGGAGGCTGGGCTTACAAGGGCGATGGCTCTGTCAAGGAGCTCTCTTCCTATGGAACTCGAGAGTTCTACTCTTGTACTTCCCAGACTGATCCTCTCCATGGTGGACAGGTTGTCTACGTTTTCAACGGAGCCTACGCTTGCAAGGAGCCTATCAAATTCACCATTGGTGCCACAAAGGAGTAACTATTCATCTGATTTTCATCTTATCATCAAATCTGGCCGATACCCCTTATCGCATCCTTGATTATTTATCACTCCTTCAGTTTCTTTTTAGCTTCTACTGTAGCCAGGTTTAATATATCTCTTATCATACACACATGGAAGTTCTTGTAATGTTTGTACTATATTGTTCAATCAATGGGTGGGTTGAGGGCTTGAGTTAGTGGTAGTTCGGCTCAATTGAAACCCTAGCTGGACCACAAGTGTTCTATATTAATTCTCTGACCTCTCAGCACTTACGACATTATGATCCTCTACGATGATATAACTACAAGTACAAAAACATCTCCACATAGAACACTACAATTTGTAATTTGGGTGGGACTTCATGGTCCATAATGTATTATCCCCAGAGGTTCAGCTCATCGCTTACATCCTCTTTTCTATAGACTAAAAGGTTCGGTCTCGTCTACATCCTCGTGTCGAGGTTCGACTTCCTACATCCTTTCTGAATGCGAATCTTGGATCTAGAAGATCAACTTCCGACTGCCTTTAGTATGGCTCCTCTGTGGAGCTCTGACTCTTTAGATCTGGCTCGTTGGCTCTGGATCTCTCTGCTCTTATTGCATAACACCTAGCTTTTATTGGCTCATTGGCACTCATTGGCTAATTGTCATGGCTCTGGCTCTTACTGATTGGCTCTGGCCCATGCTCTCAAGGTGCTGGCATTCTGCTCTCGCAGTTCACAGTTTCACCTTCGCGCTGTCGTCATCGTTTCACAGTGTCACTCTTGTGCTGGCATAACTTGACGTGTCTCAGTCGCTTCCAACGTCTCCTGCTCTGGGGGCTGGTGGAGTTTCACCATCAACAGCTCCAGGCGGCTCTTCCGCGTTATCGTGGTGTTGTTTTATTGGCATTTGTCGGTCGGCGGCTCTAGTTCTGGCTCGTTGCGGCCCGGAATGGCTCTTTGCTCTGGCGGCCTGGCAGGTTGGGCACAAACACTTTGCTCGGTGGCGGTCTTTGCAGACGCTTATGCTCAGGCGAAAAAAGCTGGATCAGGTTCGGATCGTGTGTCAGCGGTTCTCTTTACCGTGATTCCTGGTGTGCTGATACCAAGTCAACAGCAGATGGAGGAGACATATGACTGTTCAAACGGCAGTCCATCCCTCCAAAGCATTCAGGAGTTATTATCCATGCAGGGAGTTGCACCCTTGGGCGCTACCCATACTATCGGAGAGCTCATGGACAATGTTTCATATCCGTCACTGCTTCATATCCACAGAGACAGGATTCATGAGGGGCTTGCTAAGCCTCAAACTCGTCATCACTCTGCGTCCTCTTAGTGCATGTACTGAGGGGTTTCCTTTCACTCGGCAGCTTCGTAGCTTACGCTCAGCTTCACGTCTTAGTTACTCGCTCATGCGTTCTTTCACGCACGGTTTTAATCAGTCTCAACAGTTGAGTCGTAGCAAAGGCTTTGCAGCTTCCGCTCAGCAACTTCTGGAATACTGCCTTGCGACAGGACCAGTAGAGCAGACCCCAAAGTGTTGTTCGTGCTGGGAATTTCACCCGTGGTTGCGAACCATCTTGAGAGAAGGAGCTCCAGAGTAGATTGCGAATCTTTGCTCGTCATAGCTCCATCCGTAGAGGCATGAAGAGAGATGTGCTGATTCTCCAGCTCTGCAACAAAAGAGAACTCAAGTTGCTTCATGGTAGAAGTGAGCGAATGTCCGCTCGCGCAGGACAAGTACAGGTTCATCGCTTCCGCTCATCCGTGTCAGCATCTCTCGAAGTGATCAAATCCTCTGCAGAAGCTGAAAGACTGATCGACTTCTGATGCTTGAAAAACAGGGCGATCGAGGGGCCTTTTATATTGTTGAAGTAGCCGGATTGAGTTTCGAAAGACCTCGTCAGAGTTGCATTAGTGGCAAATATTAGTGTCGATCTCTGCATGATTGAAAGAAAGAGAACGTTGTCGAAGGAGAAAGAATACCAGAGAATCTGTGGAGGTTGACGTGACGGCGAGCGAGAAACCGCAAACTAGTTCTTTAGAACATTTTGGTAAATTGTAGACGGTAATGTAGAGATGAACCGAGACCTTTGTCAAAAATAAGGTTAGTCGGATACGATGATGAAACTTTCTTTTTACGCTCGAACATTCTCTCTCTGAAGAACATTCTACGGGGAGAGAAAAGGGCTGTAATATGAGTTCGGAGACCTTCTATATGAATGTAACAAGGATATTCAACTTCATTCCGTTCCATTCTAACTTGGAATTTGTTGAATTATGTGATCTCGTGGATGCTAGTTTCAAGGAAAATTACTGTCGTCTTAGTCGAAGAAAGGAAAGAGGGGCCTTATGGATACACACATACTGTCCAAATAACAACGGTATGGCCAGTACTTAGGATTATGGTATGTCTTCTACAGACCCCGCCAACTGTGCTCTCTCTGGAGCTTAGACATTACTTATCTGACGAGAAATCGTAGTTTCATGTGGATACCATAGCTTCTTCAAACCGTGACCGAATCGCCAACTCAAAGCCGACCATCTCAACATGACTTGAATCATTTTCGCATTGACTGGTTAGCAAGAAGATTACCTGTAGGACAGGCCTGGCGTTTTGGAGATTTGCAAGAACTCACAGAGTACTGCTTTCGAAGAGCGATTATGAGTACCTCGGTGGGGGTTCTGATCCCGTCTCCGTTCTGCTAATGTCCTTATAACTCGAGTAGATTCGAGTCGTAGTTGAGCTCATTGACTCATAAGTCCCACGCATCGTTATATACCAGTACATCCTGTACATACGGTACCAAAGAGGTCATTTCCCGTGTGACTTAGACTCCCGTACGAACAGTTCCAGAAGAACTGCACCAATTCTGTTGCCATCATATATCATTGCCATGTACCACACTGATGAGCAGCAGATCCGTCTGGTCAAGTTCCGGTCTCAAGAAGGACTCTCCCTCAATCATTAGACACTCGATAGGCTTGACCAATCGGGAAGTGTAGATGGAGGTTTCTTCTCAGTGCTAGCCATGATTGACAACGGCAGAACGAGCCTACAAAGAATACCTTTAATGAGAAATTCACCGAGCCGATCCATCAGTAAATATAATAATAATAATAATTACTTTTTTAATTCATATTTCGCGTTGCGACTTCTTAAAGAAGAACTATGAAAAGTAAATATTATCAGTCAGTTAGTAGGAACCTCAGAGGCGTGATTCAACTTCTCTCAAACCCCTACCCCTGCCCTTAAAACCGAGTTCATCAACCATTTTCCTGAGATAATTACCCCAGGCCGCACTCCCCAGGGTTGGAGTACCTCCTTCATGGAGACTATCGAGCTTTTCTGGTCCAAAATCATTGACCTACTACTGGTATGTTCATTCGAGTCAAGAGTTATTCGACTCTGCCGAGTCCAGCTGTTACCCTTGGTGATGGACCTTTATGATGGCACGTTTTGAACAGGAGATTAACAACGGATTTAAGGAGTAAGTGGCCAGTCGTTCCTTATATGTGAGGGAAACTTCTACATGTCACTCGCTTACTTTAATTGATTACTATCTCATTAACTGTACCTGCGGTGGTCTTTTGTTCTTCGTGATAGCCATTATATGCAGCCTTAGTGGATAGCCCTGTGTGTCCTATAATGCGGTTATGGATCAGGTGGTGTCGAAGAAGATCTCTGTAGCCCTTTGAATGTCCCTAAAGCGAAATTCCCATGTTCTTTGCGATGGTCTGGAACTCCTTTGTGCCGGTCGAAATGTAGTACCGAATCTTCAGGATATCCGACTCGTTTTTGCGTCGATCAAACTCGGTTCGGGCGTAAGTAATAAGTTCATTCCGGGTTGTAGGCGGAGTGGTGTACGCTGCTTTGCAGATGTCTCGCCACAACTGACGGGCTGCAGCTGCTTGAACGAACTTGGGTTAGCATTTGACTGATGCGTAGAATTGACCCCAGATGATGCTCTGCTCTTGAGAGTTACCACTGTTGACATTGCAGACTTTCAGATGTCACATATCAATGGTAGTTCCAAAACTTTCGGCGAGATTATGGTACTGCTGTTTCCTTAGATCACCCGTATTCGTATATCCACCCAACGGCAAGTAACAGCTGATCTCATGGCACCACAAGAACGACCTGCCAAACAGAAGAAGCCACTCCCCTGACAGCCATTACACTAGCGTTGCCAGCTTGGATCACGTGACTCCTTTCTCCAGACTCCTTCTCCAATAATCCGATATTTGTTGGCAATTTCTGCAGTGGTGCCTTAGTTGGGATCGGGGTTGAGTCAGCACTTCTGCTGCTATGACCTTCACGCAGTTCTAGTCGCCGTTGCGACCAGCTTCAGGTTCTCAATTCTCATACTCACATGCTCCAACGATTTATTGGACTTCAAGGTGCTGGCGTGCCGAGCAAAAAACATTCTTTGGGGTGTTAGTTGCAAGTGAGATAAAGTTGTGATAAGCCTGGAAAGTGTAGTGGTGGAGTGCATGACACCATGTGGAACAAAATTAAATAAATAGATAGAATAAAATAAAACAAAATAAAATAAAAACAAAAAAACATCTGTACTGTACTGTACCTTGGAGGAGATAACAATATCAAGATCTCTACTTAACGCAACCTTTCAGGAATTAATCCAGGTTTCAATAAAAAGATTACATCATACGTTATTGTACAGGATACATTATTATACGAGGATAAAACGCGAGGTTGAGCCTTTTCTACTACACACAACTCTCGCAGAAACTACTCCAAAAATACGAACAGTCGAGCTGGTCTCATCAAACTGGCTCGAACTGGCCCCCGGCTGTATCAGAAACATGAATTTCTACATCTGAAGAATCTTGAGAGGATCTGATGCTGAAAAGATGAAGTGGTGAATCAGATCTGGGGTTTGTTCCATCTTTTATCGACGTGAGACTCGATATCATCCTCAATCGGCATGTCAAATTCGGTATCTGTGTTAGACACTTGCCCATTGGAATCTTCTCAGGTGTCTCCGAAACGTTTCGGTCCAAGTCAGGTCGTTATCAGGTCGACTTTACTTACTGTGTATAGTGCCGATCTCTTTGTTTCATCCTTGGAAACATGGTCACACGCATAGCGGACAGAGATTGGTGCGAGTGTTCCAAAGCGGGTTCAGGTCTTCGTCACAGAGATCCCCAGGCCCAAATAAGGCACAAGTACTGACTAGTTCCACGGTATGTGCCAGTGGTAGCTATAGATTGTAATGATATAGATGACAGGGAATCTTGAGAAGATGAAATGAATCAAGGAACATATCTATAAGGTATGTCGCGAGATCATTGGTCAGAGAATGACATAGGAGTTAGGTTCTCTGTAATGGCAGAATTGTGTGCTGCCAGACGTATTCTTTCTGTAACACTATTGCATACTCGTGCCATCTCAATCAAACATCTTCGTTATCTTATATACAGGTATACCAACAACGGCCAAGTGCAACCACCACTGACAACCTATCGTTCTGCTCAAGGCAGCCAAGTGGCATCTCCACAAGACAAATATATACAGTTCTCGTCTCTTATCGCTTGACCCAGGTAGGGGCGGCTCGGGCTCGTCGGAGACCAGGCTTCTTTCGCTCCTTGGTACGGGCGTCTCGAGTCAGACATCCGGCCTTAGACAGTCGCTTTCGGAGCAGGGGGTTGTGGACAATAATGCCTCGAGCAATGCCCAGAGAAATAGCGCCGGCCTTGCCAGAGTTGCCTCCACCGAGGACAGTAGCAAACACGTTGTATTTGCCCTCGGACTGGACGACCGACAGAGGGAACAGCACCTCGGATCGATGCTGAAGCTCCTTGAAATACTGGGACAGCAACAGACCGTTGACTCGGACTTCACCGACGGTTCCCTCGGGAGCCTTGGTGACAATGACTCGTGCAGAAGAGGTCTTTCGTCGACCTCGGGTCACAGCTCGTCCCTGCTCGTCCAGAGTCTCGATCTCGCCGGACTCTGCGTCGGTATCAATCTTTCGCGAGAATCGACGCAGTAGATCCTTCACCACCTGGGGCTTGAGCTGGTTGTCAATGTAGTACAGATCGGCCAGAGCCTTGGTGAGCTCAGTATGCTGGGGGCCGGAAACGGGCTCGGAAGAACCAAGCATGGTCAGGTAAGTGATTCGGGTCACGAAATTAGGGGGAGAAACACCCTCTCGGTTTCTAGGAAGGAACTCGTACTGACGTCGGACTCGGTTCACGACCTCCATGGTCTGCTCATGAGCTCCTCGACCAGTGTACTGAAGAGCCGTTGCGGGGGCAACTCGCACGTTCTCGGCCGCGCCGCGAGGTGTCTCGGAGATGCTCATGTCCACACCAAAATTCAGGTGCTTCTTTCCTCCTCTCCACTTCTGGGCTTCCTGTGCGTCTCGCTCAGCCCGCTCAGCCTCTCGCACAAACATGTTTTTGGGCTGTCGAGGAGCCTGTGTTGACTGGAACCGCACGGCGCCCAGACTCAGGTTTTTCACCGATCGAGTTAGTCGCAGCATTGTGATTGTGGTGATGTGTGATCTGGTGATAGTTTCCGCCTATTGAGAAATTTCATGGGTGCAAGAATTAGACTTTTGCATGGAGGAAGCTCGCCGGTTCGATTTTGGTCAGGATCATATAGTGTAAGGTTATCTTGAATTCGAGACCGTGACGGGTCTCGATTTGGGCAAAAAAACCCATGGAAATTCAGAACAATGTGAATAAAATGTATCAGACATTAAATTGGTCAATAAATGAAAATAATCTTACTAGAATGTCCACTGCTTTCGATTAATGGCCAAGGTGAGACATTTCCACCTCTTGATCACTCGCATTTCTGCTCAACTTGATCAAAATGTTCAAATGTTCAAATGTTCAAATAAATAGTCAATAAATACCCCCTATCCTACCCTTGAAACGCATAAACAGCCTCCTTCAGACCCTCATTTCGTCTCAATACCATATCAAGGTCCCTCATGGTGATAACCACCCGGTTGTCGAGCTTGGCAAACGACTCCAGATCTCCCCCCAGGGTCACTGCCTGCTCAAACACGAGCTCAGTCAACGCATCAACAAAGGAGTTGTCCACAGGCACGCTACGCGTCTGCTCTGTCACAATCCTCGACACAGTTATCCAAATCGCAGATTTGAGACGCTGGGTTAGAATAAATAAGACCCGAGGGACTCGCGTGCACGCGTATCGTCTAGTGGCGTGGTCGTTGATCGCGAGGCCAACTTGTGTTGCATCATCATATGTATCATATGCCATTAGGTGTAATCAAGGCAGTCAATACTCACCTGTGTAATCTCCTCCTTGGTCCCTGTTTCCTTCATTTTGATGAGTGAAAAGTTGAGTTCTGCGTTCAGTATTACTGTACTGTACATATAAACATACTGTACACTGTAGGCTTAGAGTTGATTGTGGGGGAAACTGCAGTGCTGTTAGATCTTGCGAAATTCGATCAAAAAAAACAAGGAATTGGGAAATCAGACATTATGAAACATACCGCCAGTCTTGTTGAATTGTAGGGGATTCCATTCATATCTATACCAGATTTCACTGACTTTTCTTGTGGGAGACTGGAAATTCTCTACCTGCGAAAATTGACCAACCTTGTTAAATAATTGGCTGGAACTGTACGCGGTGTATTCTGCTACTGGCTCTGCCGTGACATAAATGGATATAATTAATGTATCCCTACAAGCTGTAGTTCTAATGAATGTTTGTTGGGTTGTCTAGCTTTCGGCTTTCCTCTTATTTTCCAAATCCTTCTGCTCTTCCAGCAGTCTCTGCAGCACAAATGCTGCCACATCTTCATCTTCCAGGTAACTGATGTGAGATGCAATGGCAGAAATGAATCCCAGATCCAGCACACTCTCCTGAAGAGCATAGTCAATTCGTCCAGTGGCTGACAATGCCCCCAGCTTGGTGATCACTCGTTGTCTCTCCTCGGGAGTCAGCTTCCGTTTGGAGATACTACTTGTCGAGGGGAACTCGGCACCCTCGTGGCTGGGCTGTACCTTCTCCTCTCCTGCTCCCTCTTTTCGTTCCTCTTCTTTCTGTTGCTCCAGGAAGCTTGCGGCATTGAGCAGCTTCTGGGTGATGCTCTCTCCACTCGTGTAGATGGTGTTCCACATCTGCTGAGCCCCTTCAGCGACCTGACGACCGAGGTTGGAAATGGACTCAGTGGAGAAACCAGACTTGGTGAAAGGAACACTGGCAGGACGCAAAAAGGCAGCAAGCTTGTCAACCAGAGGCTCGATTCGATAACTGATAGGGTCTGAGGGGTGGAAGATGTTGTACAGGTACTTAACGTTGGGAGATAGGTAGTTCGAAGTCGGCTGGAACTTGGTTTCGTCTGCAATCAGATTGTTCTTGTGGTTCTCGGCGTCAAAGTGTCGAATGCTGCTTCCCTCCAGAATCTTGAAAAGTCCAAGGGGAGAGCCCATCATGAAATAGTTTTGAACAGGGAATTCCAAGCCATCGGTGCTCTTGTTCTCTAATCCAGGACACGCAAGATCGTTAGATAGAACATCAAACGAGATTACAGAGCCCAAAGAATGACCAATAAGACTGACCTTGCCTCGGAATTTGGGGTTATGCTTTCGGAACAGTTCAACGATTCGGTTGCACTCAGTGATGACGGCCTGGTTGATCTGTCTTCGGTAAAAGGGTTGGTAGTACAGAAGTACGTCGAGAATGACGTCCCCAGCGATGTTTCTGACACTGGAGATACCATCAACAGTAATGTCCTGCAGACAGACCTGTGAATTGGGGTCTCCCTGATGCTGTAGAATGTCTGCCTTGGTCAAGCTGAACGTCACTTGCGATCTCCAGAGAACAGGCAGAACCTGGACCTTGGGGTGTGTCCATTCCCTCTCCTCCTTCTCCTTTTCGGGATCGATTTTCACATCTCGATATTTCTGAAATTGCTTGCCTTCGTTGAACACGCTTTTCATGGTCTTTCTGAGCACGTTGACATCATGAACAAAGTTGACAGACTTGATTCGGCGGCCCAGTTTTTGACCGATTCCATGAACACACAGAACGAGATGGTCGTATTGAGGAGCCTTGTCTTCGTCCTTGGATGCGTGACTACCCGCATTCTCCTTGTTGTCTTCGTAATCCTGCTCCATCTGTTGTTGTTCGGACGCCTGAGACCCATATCGATTACTCAACTTGGATTGTGCGGAGGAAAAGTGGTGTATATCCGGCGTGAGAGGCTCCTTTCGTGTATCTGGTTTGTCATCAAACTTGCCAATGTCCTTGTTCTTCTTCTTGACGTTGTTTTTGTTGTTGTTTTTCTTCTCGTCGCTGTCCTCCTTCTTCTTGACATGATCATAGCCTCGGATCAGCTTGGACGCACCCAGAATGTTACCGGAAGCAATTTTCTGCAAAAAGGCGGCTGTCAGCATACCGTAGACATCGTTGCTCATGATCCACGCAGTGTAACAGTCTGTAGAATAGACACAGAGCTTGCCCTGATACCGTTCGCCCTTGAGCACCCAATTAGTACTGGTTCCTGCTGAGACCTCCTCCATGCTGTTCTTAATACTGATGCTTTTCTCCTTCATTTCCATCCATGGCTTTTTGCTGTTGTAGCCATTTTCCAGCTGGTCGTTGAGCTGCTTGGAACAAGGAATGGCATTTGATCCGTCCATTAGAAGCCATTCAGAACGCCGAACTTCGAAGATGGGACCCTCCCAATAAACTGGCGAAAGCTCCATTGTGTTGATATTCACTTCAAACAGGTAATCCTCTCGCACAGGCACAATCGCGTCGCTGGTGACCTTGTTCTGCACTTCCTGGTATCGCTTCTCCAAAAGAGCATTGTCCTGGTCGGAGAAAGGCATGAACTTCTTAGGTCGTTTTAGCTCCTCCTTCTTTCCTGTCAGCTTATCCTCCAGAGCCTCGTCTCCAAGCAGAAAGTCGGGCTCTCGAAGAGACACGTCTGTGGCGAAAAACCAGTGGGGGCGAACTGGAGGAGGCTGTAGCGAGCTGAGTATCTCATTGGCGGTCTTGGCAGCCGAACTGGACGTTGTGATCTTGTCCTGGCTCAGAATGGACCTTGTCGAAAAGGTGTGACGGTTAGCATAGCTTCTTGTCGGTAGTGAAACACGTCTTGCTAGAACGGTGGATCCCGTAGGGCAAGTAGTAACAGTAGCACTGGCTAACACCACCACTCTGGATGGGCTTAGCCCTCCGGAACAGTTGTTGAACCTCTGCACCAGTCGCATTGCTGTGGGCTTTTGTGTTGAAATGGGCCAGATTATGAACTTCTCGGCCACTTTGGAGATGTCAGCTTCTCCACAAACATGTGCTTCGGTAATACACCCAAGGTTGCAGCACGCTGCAGAACACGGGGCAAAGAAAGTTTGCCAAAACACGTGGAGAGAGAGATAAGCCGCGTTCCGAGGTCGGTGAGCTAGAAGGCTAGAAGGCTAGAAGACTAGGAAGTTATTAATATTTGGTCACATGATCAGAATATACTGAAACGTCGCTGTTAAAAGTCCCTTTTTTTCGACGATCCTCTTCAAAATCCTCATCTCTGTCTTCTTTCTGACTACAGTATGTACATACACTACCGCCGTCACACCCGTTGGAGACACTAAACTCTGATCTGGTGACGTAGAGATACTACAAGTAGCAACGTTCGAAGCTGAATAATTGGGCTGGGTAGCACAAATAGTCACATGATTCTAATCTTGGTCCCTTGGCTATTCTGGATCTTTTCTCCAAATCTCCATATCTCCACTAATATACCAGATCCACGTCTTCTTCTTCCGCGAATAGCAATGCAATGTCCTCTCTTTATTTTGTCGAGGGTAACAGCAAAATATTTTAAACGAGAAGAGGGGGTAAGAGGGGGCGGGGGATAAAAAGCAAGCAACGATGGATGTGGTCACGTGAATAGGGACTCGCGAGAGCGGGGTCACGAGAGTGAACAAGGAGGGAGCGGAGACGACAGTGTTTTATTTCGATTTTCCTGTTTTGCGTTCCACATGTGATTAAATAATGCGTTTGAGATTATGGAAAAAAAAAAAAAGTACAGTACATACAGTACATACAAGTATGTTGGATGTATTGAAATTGGAATTCAATGACGGGAGAAGGAGTGAGCAGTGGGTTAGAATTGCAATATATGAGGTTGAAACTCCATCAGAACTCCCCAAAAACATTCAACAAACTGTACATTACTCTTCCTGTAACCGTGCTCATACTTTCTTGTATAATACAATCCTCAAAAAAAAGAGAAAACAAAAAGACGAATAAGCCGGCAAGTACTGTACATACATACTTGTACTTTAGGTTCAGATAACACTGATTGACCAACAGAACATTGCCATTGTGCTTAGTAAGCTTACAAAATACTGGTAGGAACTGAAGCAGAAGATCTGGCAAAAAAACGTAGCCCGACGTGGGGCTTGAACCCACAGCCTTGAGATTGCTTTGAATAAGAGTCTCACGCTCTACCGATTGAGCTAGCCAGGCGGATGTTGGGTTCGAGGGTGGTAGAAGCTATAGAAGGTGTAAAAAGGCGAAATATTCCTGGGGAAAACGGGAGTTTTATGGCCCAAACGTATTTTCTGCCTCTTATTTCTGCAGATAGAGCGTTTCTGATTGTTCTTTTGTTCTTTTGTTCTTTTTGCCATCTTTCAGTGTTGGATAGTGCTTTCGGGGCCGTATCTCAACAGTGCACCATTGTTTCCAAGTGCAGCAAATTTTGAGCAAGGACATGCAAGTATTAGTAAGGCTGGAAGGCGAAAAGGCATCACCATTTCTCTTCCATAGAATACTGGTATGTTTCTGTAATCGATTTCATCTTTCCTTTTTCATCTTTTTACTTTGTTTACAGATTTTCCTCCAATTCCGCGAATTTCAAAATTGACTTCCAACAAGTCCGAAGACGCAAATTCCCCAAGAAATCCGGACGGGCAGCCCTTTAGCGACATTTGAGGCTTGTGATGGTTTTTCCTCCTCTCAGCCGTGCGTCCCAACGGACCTTTGGCGGTCTTGCAACTCCGATCGGCCAACTGTACGGTGTACCCCTATAGAGCATCTTTTAGGCTTAAAACTGTAGCTGAGACTGTCTTGTGACGGGGGCGTAGCAGGGCATATCTGGTAGCCAAGGAGTTCCGAGGCATCAGTCGTGGTCCATATTGGTTCGGATGCTGTCGACCATGTATTAACTCTTCTTGTGGAGCTCTGGGATTTTTTCTACACCGGTTTTCAGCGCTACTTGTACCTCGGTCGGAGTTTTATGTAGCAGCTCCGATGCAGACCCATCTCGGACCTGTGCAGCTGACGGTAGAGTCCAAAGCTTGGAGATGAAAGGGGGTTTGGCTAAGAAGCGTATATAAGTAATCTTCATTTCGCCCGGGCGAGCGACTAACAATTGCATGCCACTATGAACCTCCTTCGACCCGTGGCGCAGGCAGAAACCGTGGAAATCTACTTCCTATCACAGCAGGCCCGGTTCAAGCTCATCCGGGAGTCCAATGTCGACGCTCCGGATCTCCGAAAGCTGCTGGCACACGCAAATCTCGTCGACCTGCTGGCAGACGAGCTGCAGAGCCGAAAACCAAAGTCCCGGATCCATTTTGCACAAACAGTGATCCCAGAAACGTTCCAGGAGAGCGGCTGGCAGACGGCCAATTACGATAGTAGTGACGACGACAGCAGCAGCAGCAGCAGTAGTGACGAAGAAGACGATCAAGACGACCAAGAGAATGAAGAAGGAGAACTCATAGAGATTGAGTACGTGGAGGACCATGTCGCATTAGTCGGACAAGGACTCTTGTCACACGCAGACCCGGGAATGTCCCTAAAAGTGCATGGATTGCACCACCAAAGAGGACCATGCGAAGCTGCTCTATCTCTATAGCCACGAGCTGGCCAATGCATGGTGGGTCTGATTATAATGGCTCTTGCTGCATTGCGGACGTGGGAAACGTCCTATTTCGTGCTGACCCTGTACCAGGACAGGTACATGCGTATGGTGATCAGCGAGGTTGTCTGTGTCCTGTTTGCGTAATCATGCGCACAACGAGACCTGATAACGACCGAACAAGGGGAATGTCTGAGGTTTATATATGTCATGGATTTTATTTATTGCACACAAAAGCTTTACCTGGTGGTGGTGGTGATGTGGGTGTATATGTATATACAGTATATATATATATATGACATTAGTAATACACACACAGCCGTCCGAACGGCTATTGGAGGTGGTGTTTAGAGCAAGTTTAGAAGGGCGATTGAAGGGGTATTGGTCGTTTATAGCGGGGAAAAAATGCTTGGATATTTTTCTAGTAGTGTCAGCAGTATATTGACAATATTTTTTGTATTTTGTTTATTTTATTTCCTTTATTACAAATTATTTTCCCTTCTTTGGTCCGCAGTTAAACCCCATGTTAAACTACGAGTAGACTTAAGGTTCCTCGGATGGAGGAAAAAGTCAGATCGACCCGATTGAGCCGATCCCTCAAATAAATTTGAAAAACCACACACACAAGCAGAAAACATGTTGCGACCGGTGATTCGGCTAGCCAGAGCGGCGCAACCCGTGGCCGCCCACAGAACGCTCTTCACGGAAAGCGACACGTGTGTGCGAGTCTTCAACACCATCGACCAGGTGCGAGCATGGAGACGTGAGAAGACCCTTCTGGGCCAATCGATTGGCTTTGTTCCCACCATGGGAGCTCTTCACCGGGGCCATTTGGACCTGGTCAAGGCATCAATTGCCGAAAACGACCACACCATTGTCTCCATCTTTGTCAACCCTTCGCAGTTTGCACCCCATGAGGATTTCGGCCAGTACCCTCGAACTGTTGATTCCGACGTGGCCAAGCTGACGGAGCTGCGGAACTCCATCCAGACTGACGAACAGGTGCATTACACAAACGAATTCGCCGTTTTCGCACCCTCCGTCAACGAAATGTACCCTTCTGGTATCCCTCTGGATGTCAAGGAGCAGGTGGGAGCCTTCATTGAGGTCAAGGGCCTGAGCCACCAGCTGGAAGGATCCATTCGACCCCATTTCTTCCGAGGTGTCGCCACCGTGGTCACCAAGCTGCTCAACATTATCCAGCCGGACCGGGCATATTTCGGCCAGAAGGACGCCCAGCAGTGTGTGGTGGTGTCTCGTCTGGTGGCTGATCTGCACATTCCCACAGCCATTACCATTGTGCCTACCACGAGAGAGGCCAATGGATTGGCTATGAGCTCACGAAACGTGTACCTGACGGAAGAATCCAAGGACAAGAGCAAAGTGCTCTACGAGGCTCTGACTTCAGCTCAGCACATGTTCAGGGATACCCCCAACGTCACCTACGGAGACATTCGAAAGAAGGTGCTCGACACCATTGCGGCCTCGGAGTTCTCCATTGACGTGGAGTACGTCAGCGTCAGCGACAAAAAGACCCTCATAGACTACCCGCTAGACGAGGCCGTCAACAAGGACGACGGCTGTCTCATTTCTGCTGCAGTCAGAGTCCCCAACAAGGACGGAGCAAAGACTAGAATCATTGACAATGTTCTGTGTTAACTTATATAGAAAATGAAGGTTTGGATACGCTAGACCACGGCTCTGTGTGCACTCGAGCTAACGGTCACTGTCGCTGTGAGCAGGCACTGTAGGTCAAGCAAGGCCTTAGTGCGAACTACGCAATATCGATCTAAAAGATGATTTGAATGTACCAGTGACAACAAGGAAACAACAGGAATCGAGTATTAGAAATGATAAGTCAGTTGAAAAATAAAAAAGAAGTGCCTTCGACCAGATTTGAACTGATGATCTCAGCATTACTAGTGCTGCGCCTTACCACTTGGCCACGAAGGCAAGATTTATCACGAGAAAAAATCTGATGTCCACAATCGTTATTCTGATGACTGATAGGGTCTTGAATAAAATAGAAAATAAAAAAAAGAAACTCATTCTCTGTGTGCATTGACTCTTCATAATGTCTTGAGTTGTTGTTTACACCTTGAATTTTGTCTCGCTATCCAAGTCTTACTTAATACTGAGCTTAGAATCAGTCAGTATTCATCATGACACCAAACTGGCAGAAGCGATAACACCCTGAAAATGGGATAAAGACCAAAAAAAAAAAAAAAAAAAAAATGAGTATTGTCATATTTGGACTACTTGGTACAAGTCAAGTATCGTATACACGTTTTGCTCATATTCTCAATATCGAGTATGTGTTTAACAGATGTCTTCGTGTTTGGGCGTAGGTTTTACCAGCTCTACTTGAAGCTATTGAACGTCTCCTCTCTCATATGCCTTTCCTTGTCAACAAAACCAGTTCAGTTTAGAGGAGCTTCTCAACCCGCGCTGGTCTTTTCGTGACTCCCACCACAATTCTGTCGAACTGGGACCCACCAGAAGAAGTTCGTGTTCACCGCAATCGACTTGGAGCAGCAGGGAGGGGACACAACCATCAATCTGGCCCATTAAACCAGGCAAAAAGATCCTTTTGGTTTTTTGTCTAGCCTCTTGGACTTATCAGTGTCCTCAACATTGTTACTTACATATACTTGGCGTACATCGCGACCGTGGTATATGGAGGTGTGGAACCCCTCAACAGCAACATCTGACAGTGCGACACGGATGTCAGACCTGGAACCACATCACGGTTGCTCTCCGAAACACACTCCAACCAGTGCTTATAAATACAGACGAGAATAATCTCTTTCTTATCGACTACATTACAGTACAATACGAATACTTGTACTTACTGGAGCAAAAAAATTACTTGGCCACTGGATCCTGTCCTACTCGCGACTCGCAAACACCGCACACATTCAACCAGACGGAAATTTCAGACAGATTCGGTGCCTTAGCTCTATGAAGCTACTTGAAGGATAGATGTGCTCGGTGGTCATCCCGGTGGTCGTCCCGGTGGTCGTCCCGGTGGTCGTCTGACAGCTGTTGAGGGAAAAATCTTTTCTGCTATGCCTTCCCATTCCATCCCCAGATGCCCCACGGCCGTACTTATGCTTCCTACCATATGTGGAAATGGGCACCGTCTGAGGCCAGGGGTGGGAATAAGCTTCCACCATTACGTGAGTCCTATCAACACACCAAAAACAATAATCCACAAGCTCAGTATGTACTGTAGACTAGTTGTGGAAAGTAGCCCGAACGCGCGCTCTTTACTGGAGGGCGGGTTTTATATGTCGTCATTTTGTTGAAACACAAGAACCGCCAAATAGTGCTGAGTAAGCAGGATATCCGCGTGGAAAATACAAAATTTCCCGGTTATCGCGTCGTGTGATTGATTGTGTGGATTGCGCGGTTGTTTGTTTTTTTTTGACTTTCTGCGTTCTGTTAAACACTGGCTTGTCTGTTTTGACGTGTTTTCCCGCCTGTAGAAAACGGCACTTAGTTGACTTTCCTCCTCCCCCCACGACGCGTGATAGAACACGCTCCTAACCACAACACACGCAGACAAAGATGGTACGAAGCATCATCGGCATGGCCAGGAAGGTCAAGACGGAGCAATTGTCACACGAGCTTTCAAAGTTCTCGTCGGACAGTGAAAGTGACAGTCATACCCAAAACACCGACGAGAGCGGGGTTACAAAGCAGACCAACGATGACGACGACGACGACGACGACGAAGACGGCGATGACGATGGCGATGACGATGATGACGATGATGATGATGACGATAGCAACAGCGAAAGAGAAAGCGAAGTCAAGGAAGTCAAGCCCATGGCCAAAAAGAAAGTCAAGGCAACCCCGACCAAGGTGGAGAAGCCCAAGAAAGAGCTCAAAGATTACAAGGGATTGGCAAAGAAGTCAAAGGCTCTGGAGAAGGTTCAGTCCATGGACCTGAGCTCCTCAGTTAAGAGCTCGCCCAAGAAGACGCCCAAGAAGACTGACAGCAAGTCTGACAGTAAGTCAGCCACACCTCTCAAACTCAAGGCCGTGCCTTCCAACTACTTCAGCGCCGATTACAAGTCGCCCAAACTATCGTCGTCCAAGAGCACTCCCAAATCCGCGCTCAAGAACAAGGGCCTCGGATCCGTCCCCGTCATCCCACACCAGAGGAAGAATTGCGTGAGAATAACCATGCTCAAGTCCAACCCCGATGGAACCCAGGAAACCTTCGTTTTCGGCTCGGTGCCCCGAGACATTCTTATCAGCCAGCTCATTTTCAACCTGCCCGAAAGCTGGAACACGCGTAGAAGCGATGTCTACTCGGTCAAGGGCGAAGTGATTGAGGACCTGGAGACCGCCACTTTGGCCAGCTTGGGTCTCAAGGACGGAGGAGTGATTGATGCTGTGAGCCGAGGAACCAGCGGTTAAGGATTTATTAATGGTGTAACCGTGCCTAGATGGCCAACACACCCGTGTATTTTAGCTTGTAAGGAATTAATTGTAATTTATAAACCAATCCATGTGAAACAAGAGGCAGTACTTGTAGCGCCTTCAAATCAAGTACAATTCAAATACTAGTGTATCGGTTGTAATATCGCACCATCCATGCAAGTACGTACATGGTATTATCATATCAGCTACTCCATGCACGTGCTGCACAAAATGCAAAATAGCACATGGTTGTACACACAATTATTATACATAATATCAATTAACATTAAAGACCATGTCTCTAGGCAAAACCAAATCCTTCCCGTCCCTCCGTGATGGCCAACAACAAGGAGCCCCGCAGAGTCTCGTAGCTGTCGTACTCTGGTAGATCCAGCTGGTTGAAACACGTGTGCGAAGAAGGCAACCGCTCGTTGTTGCCGTAGGCTCGATGAATGTTGAATTTTGTAGGGCCATTCATTCCCTCCAGCTCCTTGAATCCATCCAAAGGCACCTTACTGGTTCCGGTCACGAACTGCAGCAGCTTGGCCCGCTCTTCGTCGTCAAACGATCGAATGGATCGCCAGAACCACTGGATCTGAGGCGACGACGCCGAATAGTTAGTGTACACGGTGTTGTTTCGCCAGTCGTCGACATCAATCTCGGGCAGACCACAAATCAACAACTCCAGCTCCTGCTCGTTGAAAATCGAAACCAGTTCCTTTGGAATAATGTCGTGGAATCCCTGTAGGAAGTGCTCCAGCTGCTCCTCCACTGAGGTGATGAGTCTGTACTCAACCACCCGCTGAACAAACTCAGCCTTGTTAGACTCGTCCACGGCAATGTTTCGACCATCGGGCATCAAATCAATGGTCTTCTTCTCACCATAGTCCTCTGTCTCGATAGACATGGTCTCGGTGATGATGTCGGTGATGTCGTTCTCCAGCATCCACACCAGCGACTTGTGGTACTCAATGTCGAGTGTCTCCATGTCCTTGAGAGACACGCCTCGGCCGAGAATCTTCTTGTACACGGCTCGAGAGAAATGGCAGTCAAGCAGTCTCTGGTCGAAGATGGCCTTGCCAATGATTCGACCAATAAACTTGAAGAAAGACAAATGCTCGGGGTTGACCCACGACGTTCGGTTGGGGTGGAAAGTCGTGGTATCCGAAGCCACGGGGGTGAACAGAGCATAGTCAGGGTTGAACATTTGCCGGGCCAACACCTGGTACCACTCTCGAGTCACTCCACCAGCATCAACACCTTCTTCTCCGGAGAAGTGAATGTTGAGCTTGCCAGACCGAATCTCAGCAGCAGACTTGAAGTACATGCTCTTGTACGAGTCCAAAAAGACCTGGTCTCTTCGCACATTGAGGTTGATCGTAGCGCCGTCGCTCTGGTTGCTCGAGTGGATTTTTCGGTTGAAGTAGTTGCGCTTGTTGTCAAACTCCAGCACCTTGGGGTTCTTAACCAGAATGGAAAACGAACCAGACATGAGCTTGGGGTTGTTTCGGACCATGAGGTTGAGAATCTTGCGGTGCTCATCCGTGAAAGAGAAGAAGAGGTTCTCAATGGGCTCGTTCGCGAAGTCGTAGCTTCGAGCAGAGTACTTGTGGGTGCTGTGATCTGTGGGCGAGTTGCCAGGGTGGTTGCCACCAGCTCCACCTGCAGAGCGCTCAGTCACTCGCGAGTGCTTACAAACAACCATGAGAGCCTCCATGAGCGGCAAAAGAGCAGTGGCGACATGGATCAAGTCAGGATGCTCAGCCACGTAGCCCAGCACGTCTGAGAGAGCGCCCCAAAGTGGGCCAAAGGTGAGACTGTTGTAAATGTTCACCTTGGTCTCACCGCGCTTGTCAAATAAAATGTCAATGGCAGTGAGCACTCTCAGGAGCTTGGCCTGGTCAGAAGACGCCAGCGAGAACTTGCTCAGAGCAGAACCCTGGATAGTATTGCCGGGTGTGTGAATCAGAGAGTTGAGATTCACCAAATCCGTGATCAGAGTCTTGCCGAGACGAATGGCCTGGGACGACAGCTGGCTGGAAAACACCTTGACAGCATTATCAATGTGCAGCAAGTTCTGCATGCAAGAAAGAGTCTGCTGAAATGTCAAAGAGGAGCACTCGTTGGCAGTCAAAATCTGAGTCACAAGAGACAAGTTTCCGGATGGAATGTACGGCGACAGGTCCTTGAGCGACTTCTTGGCCTGCACAGTCGTGGTAACACCCTCCGTCTCAGGCTCATCGATCACCATGGCAGTGTCAGAGACAGCTCCTGAGGAAGAAGCAGCCTCAGCACGGGTCTCTTCACGGGCAAGGGCAGCTGCCTCTGCTGCAACGTTCATGCTAGCTCGTCGCTTGGCCTGCAGAGGTCGCGTGGCCTCCTGTAGCATGATTGACAGCACCTCCATGGCATGGCTTCGCTCGGTTACCACAGGGTTCTTGAGAAGACCAAACAAAATGTTGACGGGGTACTTCATGCTCTTGAGCGCCTTCTTACGTTTGACCCGCGTGTGGCCAACAGGCACCTCGTGCTCAGTCAGGAAGTAGTGCCGGATGTGGGCATTGTTTCTGATCAAGTAGGACAGAGCATCCAACACTTGCAGAGTGACCGTCATTGGCGTGACGTCCGTACTGAGCTCGCTGGAAGCACTACCGAGGCCGGCCTTGATGGGCGACTTGGGTGTGCCCTGCACGTTGGACGTGGTAGTGAGGTTGGCAAAGGACCGCTCGAGCGACGCTCGGTCTCGACATCCGTCCTGCAGAATAGACAGAAGGATGGAAATGACGTCGGCACGAGCTTGCCGGTTTCGAACCACATTGAGCAGCAGCTCATGAAGGAAATCACGAGAAGCACTCCCCTGAGGAAGGTAGAGCAGCCGAATCAGAGCAGTGATGCCACTCTTGTCCACAAAGTTTCGGGCAGCAAACACATCCACTTTTTTGGTGTGTCGACGTTGATGAGGTGTGGTGGCAGTGGTAGCTACACCGAGCGTAGAAGTGACAGCGTCGTCAATCATGGCTGTGTCATCCTCAGTGCCAGGATCATCATCATCCTCATCATCAGCCTGGTCCATGACAAGAGGAGCCTGTCGAACTCGCAAACGACGAGCCTCAGCAACAAGCTCATCAGGAAGAGCATTGAGGGTCGCCTCATCCTGCTCCATGAGAATTGTATGACGAAGGTTGGAGTCTAGCGTTCCCAGGAACGTGGCAAAGTCTTGAGAATCGGCCTGTCCAAGAGTGACAGGACGCAGCTCCGCTCGCATGTTGTCTGGCAGAGTAGAGATGACAGAGTCGTCCAACTCGCTCTCCCGGATGTGCTGCAACACAACCTCCTCCCGCATGTCCTCAGGAAGTGCCTCGAGGAACGTGGGGTCGATATCTAGACCGGAAATGTCAACCTGCCGGCCTGAAATTGTGACATAGACGGGGTCTCGAGCGGGACCACTGGACTCGGGTAGTTGGTCAGCCTCGGTGCCGACGGAAACATCATCGTCCTCGTCATCCACCTCCTCAGCATGGCCCATTATCGCCTCCGCCAGGTCCAGTGCTTCGTCTCTCTCCTCCTCCTCATCCTCTTCCACATCCTCCTGGCCACCCATGAGGTCGTCAGTGGAAGCAGCAGAGACCATATCCTCGTCTTCTGAAGACTCTACAATGACGGCCTCCTGTGCCAGTCGTCCTTGCATAGCCTCGCGTTGAGCTTGCTCTCGAGCCTCAATCTCAGCTTCGACAGGAGGACCAATGGCGTTCATTATGGGTGCCACGGCTCTCCAGCACACGCCTCGCTGCTTGACAATGTCAAACATCCGAGCAAAGGCGGTCCATCGAATGACAGTTGAGCTGGCCTCGAAACGAAGCAGCTTGGCATCCCAACCAGCCTTTCGAGGACGTCGGTAACCACCCACGGAAGTCAGCAGAGCCTCCACGTTGCGCTGAATCTGAACACCGTTGGAACTGCCAATACCAATGGTGAAAGAACCTCCGTCGGGACCAGTCACAGCCCGAGATACCATCCGCTCTAGCAGATTGTCCATGGGGTTGTTGATGGCACTCAAATTCATGGCATTCCGAGTGTAAGACATGGACAGACTTCGTCCATTGCCGCCTCGGCCAGCCAGTAGAGGGTGTCCTCCAACAGCTCCAGAGTGACCAGGAGGAGGCACAAACAAACTGTTGGCCTCCTGCAGCTCCTCCTCGTCAGTGGAATCCAGATCAATGGCGTAGTCTGGAGGAGGAGGGGGGGTACTGGGATTGCCGAGAGCAGCAATCAGATCCCGAACACCGCCAATAGCGTCTCCCTCCTCCTGCTCCCCGGCAGGCTCAGCCTCCGAGAAGTCCAGTTCATCCTCAAGCTCCTCCTCTCCAAGCTCCTCCTCACTGTAACTCTCCCACTCGTCTTCGCCCTCCTCCATGGCGATAACCTCGTCAATATCACTTTCGGCAACGTGATCGGAGACATGATCATCATCAGACATGTCGTCCAGGTCCAAATCCGAATCGTCCTCCTCCTGATCCAGGTATAGTGGCTCCTCCAGCTCCTCCATGTCATCATCATCGAGCTCGCTATGGTCAGAGCCAATCTCGTCCATCTCCTCGTCGCCAGAGTTGGCTTCGGCCTCAAACATGCCCAGCGTCGAGTTCTGGAAAATGTTCTGAGGGGGAGTGTCGTCGTCGGAATCGTCGTCCTCTGACTCGTCATCCTCAGACTCGGAGTCGTCGTCATCTTCGCCACGATCAAGAGCATCGGGGTTCTCCATAGTCAAGTGAGACAGCCGATGGATGGGCCGAAGAAGAGTCTTGGCCACCTTTTTGGCACCTGGGAAGTTGAGATCCAGGTCAGCAATCAGGGCTGTCACAGACTTGGCAAAGTGCTTGTCGTACATGACCAATGCGAACTCTGCCGAGTCCTGCTGTGCATGCTCAGACGCGATAGCTGCACTGTTGGTGGCAGTAGACAAAGTCTTTGCACTCAACAGCTTGTGACACAGGTCAAGCAGCACGGCGTATCGAGTATACCGCTTGTCCAGAGTATCCAGGTGAGTGGCCTCTCGAAGAAGTCGCATGACTGTGTCCAACAGAGCTTTTCGAACCATCACCAGGTCTCGTTTCTCAGTGGAGTCTGCATCAAAGTCGCGCTCTTGTGTTGACGAAACAAGGGCATGTAGACACGAAGTCGCAGAGGCCGAGACAGACATGCGGGCTCGGGTCATGGTGTTGTCAGGCTCGTTGGCAGCTGTGGAAAAGTAGAGCAGCTTTGTGAGGAAGTATGACAACAGACCGTGCTTCTTTCGGCCAAGAGACACAAACTCCAGTTTGGAATCAGCATAAGCACCCAAAAGCTCCGTCATGCAGTTGAGAAGGAATGTCAGGTAAGCAAGCTCAGGGTAGTCCTTTGGCTCGGCAGGATGCTCGACATTGTCAGATGGCTCAGGAACCCATGAGTTGCCCAGAGACGTAATCTCGGTAGTCAGCAACTCCATGATACCACAGTGCTCCACCTCGGCCGTCAGGGGCTCCACCTTCTTGGGCTTCACCTCAGGGAAGTGCTTGACGTCGCAAGTCAGTGTTCTCTTGGCCGTGAGAATGAAATACTCAGGGCTTCGAGCATACAGGTACGAGTACTGCTGCATGAGGTTTGCAATGGGGGCACGACTGCTCTGGCCTAGCTTGTGGGCGATGATGTTCTGAATCGAAGTGGGCGTCTCAGTACAGTGGCGCAACAGAACAAGGACCGTCTGCTGAATGGAGTCCATGTGAGCGGCATCCGGAAATTCTCTGATACCCTTGAGCATCGCCTGCAAGACAGGCGCGCCTCGGATACGATCAGAGTACTGGAACTTGGTGGTGTACAGAGCCAGGACACGGGATACCGCGAGAAGAGTATCCGACTCGCTGAACTTCTCAATTGCTAGCAGTTTGGAAAAGACGTACTCAATTGCCTCCTCCGACACAACCATGCCGCTGTAATCGGTGAACTTGTGGCTCACCTCAGCATACAAATGCTTGGCCTCCTCGAGAGGATACTCGGTCGCGACGAAATAGCATCGTTCGTAAACAGCCAAAAAGTGCACAAACTCGGGCCGCGACATGAAATCAGGGTCGTGGGCCTGCATATATGCCTGAGCCCACTCCAGAGTGTACATGCCGCGCTTGAGGAACTTTTCGCGGTTGCGGTCGTCCTGGATACTCAGAGCGATAAGCTCGTACCGACCAGGAATACCCTTGTCCAGACCCTGAGTCAGAACCTCAAGCAGATCGTCCGAGGGGGTGCTGAACAACTCCTGCACAGCGCTGGCATGGTCGGCATGCTTCTCTAGAAACTCCAGAGACCGCTCCTGCAACGAGTTGCCGAGGTTGGCCCGCAGAGTGTTGAGCTGAGCCACAGTCAATAGAGGCGTGCCATCGGGAGCATGCGGCACCCACACATCAATCTTGGGCACCTCGGGAAGAGCAATATCAGCCTTTCCAGCAGTCTTGACTACCTTGCCGAGGTTGTCGCCCGCATCAATCAGCTTCTTCTTGGCATCCTCAATGGAGAACTCCAACTGCTCCACCAAAAAATCCACCTTGTAGTCTGAGGGCGTGCAAAACTGCGGCGACAGAACCGTTGGGACAAGATTCAAGTCCGACGAGGCTGGCTCCCCGAGACGAATGGTCAATCGAGACACCAACTGCAACAGCCACTCAAACACTCGCGCACCAGCCCGACGTTGAGTCTCCTTGTCCAACAGCAGAGGTTTGATACCAGTGAGCACAGCCAACTTGTTCTCCACCAAAAACTGGCCACCGTCAAAGTAAGGTCGCTCTTCACCAGTGTTCAAAGTCAGTGTAAAGGACGAGTCGACAATGCACTCCTTGGTCACAAGAGACAGTAGAAACTCGAGGATACGGTTAACAGTCAGAGTAGCGGGTTTCTTGAACTCCCGGCTCTCAAATTCGTCCCGCGACAGGTTTTTTGCCTCGGCGGCCTCCTCCGGGGTATCTCCGTCCTCCATGTGACCCCAAAAGTAATGCAACACCTCCAGCAGCTTCTCCAGACCTCCAGCCTGTCTAAATGGCGCAAAGACAGATGTTCGAAGAGACGCCGAATTCGTCAGAGTCGAAGCGCCGCCTCGAAGACTGGAAAGCATGGTCTCTCTCAACGCAGCAATCACATAGACGCAGTAACCAGACCGAGCCTTGAGAGGCAGGTCCGAATGTAGAATGATGCCCAGATAGTTGAAGTTGTTGATGAGCCCCTTGGCTACCCAGTCGGCGATATTAAGGGCCAGTTTTTTGTTGGTAGTGTGATCAACGAGCCGCTTGGCAGAAATCAACTTAGCGACATTGGACAAGCATCGCAAAGTGGCCATGGTGATACCGTTAAGCACAAACCAGTACTGCTTGAGATCCCAGTACTCGGAGTCGGCCGGCAGTTTCTCCTCAATCTCGGCAATCTGCTTCTTCTTGTCCTCCTCCAGCTTTCGAGACGGTCCAAAGGCAATGGAAAAGTAATGAAGACGAGCAGCCTTCTTCCAGTCCTCTGGTACTGAGTTGGAGATTCGCACAATCTCCCACGACGCTCTGGCGTACAGCGACTCGATCAGCTCAAAGATCTCCACGGGGTTCTTGGTCTCCACAAACTTGAGCTGGGCAGCCCAGTCAAACACAATTTCGTATGAGTTCAGCAGACTATGCACCGACGTGAGTTGGTTCAACAGCTCAGGAGAACAAGTAGGGATCTTGGACGTATCCCAGCCAGGCTCGCTCTTCCAGAACTTGTAAAACTCGCTGTCGGTGTTGTGCAAAAGACCGCCAAACTTGCGGTCATAGACCTCCACAAGACCTTCCTCGTCCCGCTGAGACAGATGCTTCAGACCATCGTTCAGGGAGTTGACAGCCTCAGACGTACCATAGTCGTATGGCATGTCTCCAAGGGTGATAATGTCCAACAGGTGGGTGAAACCATTGTCCTTGACAAAGTAGTCACAGGCACGCTCGTTGGCAATCAAACAGTCAAAGAAGCGACCAAAGTTGTCAATCACAAACGCACGCTCAGAGTCATCGGCGTCTGTCTTTTTGGTGTCTGTGCTCTCATGCGACACCCCAGCAGCTAGCGAAGCAGCGGTTTTATCCACGGCTTCCATGACAGATGGCAGCAGCTTGGGGTTGTGACGAATCAGCTCGTCCACCATGGCTCCCAGCTCGGCGGCAAGATCGTGTCGTGTCAGCTCCTCGGATCGGGTAGGGTCTTCCAGCACCTTGAAAATCAGTGAGTAATCAAACTCGCTAGAGGCTCGCTCCAGACCATCAGGGTTGAGACAAATGGCACCGATGGCATTGAGCCCGGCCATGAGAATGTCGTTGGAAGACAGAGACATAATCTCCTCAGCACAGGCGAAAAAAATGTCAATGAGGCCAGCCTCGGAAATGATGCTATAGCTGGTGGGCTCATTGTGGAGCACTGTGATGATGAGTCCGAGTGAAACTGAAACAATGGTGGATCCGAACACTTGAGGGGACTGAAGAATGGCGCCCAGAGATGACAGCAGAGTAGATGAGTCAATGAGGTTTCTCAGGCGCTCAGCGTTTCCGCCAGTGGGCATGACCTGCAACACAAACTTGAGAATCGTCTTGAGCCAGCCCGCTCGGTAGTAGCTGATCTGGTAGTCCACTCTGCAGTGTGTAGGAACCGGTCCATGGTTGTCGAGGTCGTAGTCCACCTCGTTTTTGATAAGCCGAGCAATCAGGTCGACTCCGTTGGCATTGATGAGAGCCGTGAAGGCAGCGGGGGCAGACAGAGTCAGTTGACCGAGAAGAGTCAGAGCCACATTCTTCATATGCAGATAATCGGAGTCGTTGTCGATGAGCTCCAGCAGGGCAGGCACCAGTCCAGCGGAAACCAGCATCTGACCCGTCGAAGAAGACACACACAAGTTTACCACCAGCCCGCAAAGGTCGCTGGCGTACTTTTCGTCCAGACGCCGCTCTTTGAGATCAGAAATGAGCGTCCGGATAATGTGCATCAGCAGTCCATGGGACACGTTGGCGCTCAGGCAGGTGAGAATTTCATGCAGTTTGGTGCGCTGGCGGGCCATGGCATACAAGCCCTCGATAGCATTGCTTCGCAGCTCGTTGGGCACCTTGTAGTCTGGGTTGAGCAGGTCCACCAGATGCTGCACCAGGTTGGGGTAGGGTGCATAAAACTTGGTTGCCAGGACGTTCTCAGTCAGCAGAAATACGGCAAAGGTGATAGCCATGCACTTGGCACTTACAAGAGGGACCCGCGAAGAGGCACCAGTGCTGAAAGACTTGGCAGCTCGAATGTACATAAGAGCGTCGAGATGGAGCTCCTGGGGGAGAACAGTGGTGGCTCGCTCATATGCCTCCATCACGCTGAGTTTCTTCATCTCGCTGCTGCTGATGGTGAATGTCTGTAGTCCTGTCTTTGTGTTGGTGGTGCTGAGGGCCGATGAAGCAGCGCCCTTGAACTTGGTGGGTGTCGACTGTGCCGTCTGGCCCTCTCGATCGCGGACCTTGGATGCAAAGTACTCGATGCTCACGGCTCGCAGCTGGTCGGGCCACTTTTTGTCGTCGGTGACAAAGTCGACCAGAGAAATCTTGTCCGAGTTGGCCAGAGGAGCAATGTTGGCAGCAAAGAGACTAGCGATTTTAAGCATCTTGTGGATATCGATAGCTGCGGTGGCTGCGCGGCCACCACGGGTGTCGCTGTATCGCTGCGATATCTGGATGCACACAGACAGTGTCGCGTTGAGAACCGGCAGGGATGAACATGACAGCAGGGAGGACAGGTACTTTGTGGACGAGTATAGTGATCTGTTGGAGCAGTGCTCGAGCAGAAATGCAGAGAAGGACAAGAGGGAAACCAACACCCGTTCCTGGGCGTCGTCGACATTGATGATATCGGTCTTGTCGCCAACTATGGATTCCATGATCTTCTCGAACCGTTCCAACACTCGGTACCACAGGTACAGGTTGCCCTTGGGCCGTTCCCATCCCTTGAGCCGGAAGCTGTCGAGCAGTTCGGGCAGGTCACTCTCGTTCGCCGAGGTGACATCATTGATAAAATGGCGAAGGTCGGGTTGCTGTGTTAGTCCCATGTCTTTGGATGGTAACCTCCATTTTGCCGCCAGATCCAGCCGCTCATACTTACTGTTTGCACGTCCAACCTTGCCACCTGTGTAGGCGTAAGCGTCCTCATTATTTAACCTGATGTTAGTAAAAGTCATTGTAGTCCCTGCGCTCGTCTGGAGCCTTCTGTGTCACCTCCTGCTTCTTCGCCACTCACTTTAACCAGTAAATCGTGTAATGGAACACAATATATCAATCAGAAGTCGTAGGGTTATCACCGGTGGGCCGTCTATGTGGTGTAGTTTGCAATAGCAGCCGGGGTGTCGTCGGTGTTAACTCACTTGATGTCTGTCTCTGGTTGATAACAGTGCCTTGTTGTAGTTGAATATACAATGTTGAGGGTTCTCTATATTAACACTATGGCAGGCAGAAAGGTAAACCACCAAAACCTAACCTGGGGGGGAAGCCCAACCTGTGCAGGGAGAGCCGACCAGGTAGGACGGTTATACACGGTTTGAGAGCATCGTGGTGGTACATACCTGCTCCTGACACTCCCCTCTACATGCTGGTTTTTTTCCGCTTCTTCGTACGTGATATATCAACTTACGTGTTCATGCTGACTAATCTGAGGTAATATGTCGGTGGTACGGCCATTATCTTTGAGAGCAACATGAAGTGGCGAATTTCGGACGTGTCTGGCGGCGACTTCGGGTGTTTTGAACGTGACAAATCTTAGATCGCGCCTCGCTTATGCTCCATCTAAGAAAATACACCACTTATACTGTTGACCAATTCACTTGAACATGTTATATCCGACACGCATATAATGATTAAGTTTGGCAGTACTGTCCGATACTTGTAAAATAGAGTTCCAACCCTCCTACAGTTATTATACTGTAGTTGCAAGTGCCTAATGGGGGGGGGGGGGGGTCACGTGACCACGCCCAGTATGACATGTACGCCCTGATATTGTTTTCCAACTACGACTAGTTCTGTTCAGCTTTCTGCGCTCGTGCATGTATCATGCAAGGCGGCGTTTTTTTCTTCTCCCGGATTCGTGGTGTGACAAGTATGACGTATTCATGCATGATCAGATGTGTACAGTACCTGAAATGGAGATCTTGGGGCGCCAGGAACTCCAATGGACTTTAATAGCGATGAATATCACTGGTATACTCTTCAAGTAGACAAACCTTGCTCCCTTAAACCTCTACAGTAACTCCGTGCTTGTAGTACCCCTAACTCCGATTTCTCCGAACACAGCGCCTAGGTGGATGGGATCAGTTCACTATATACATATATACAATAATATTAGACTAGGTGGTGGCAAAGACGTCGCAGTTGTCCTGGGATCCGATGGAGGTAACTCCTCCCATGTACTTCTGTAGCACCTCGGGAACAGCAATGGTCTTTGTCTCCGGGTCGTAGTTGCTCTCACAGATGGCAGCAATTACTCTGGGCACAGCCAAAGCCGTACCGTTGAGAGTCTGGGCATACACCTTCTTGGCGTCTCTCAGCTTGAAAGTGGTATGCAAACGTCGACTCTGGTAGTCGAGACAGTTGGAGGTGGAGGTGATTTCACCCCAGTCTCCTCGGCCAGGAAGCCAGGCCTCAATATCGTACTTCTTAGCGGCGGGGTAACCGAGCTCGAAAGCTGGCATATTGAGAACCCGAGCCTTGAGACCGAGATCCACAACCACAGACTTTTGGAATGCAAGCATGTCTTCGAGAATGGCATCTGCTGATTCAGGAGAAATGGTCCATGCAAACAGCTCTACCTTGGTGAACTCATGCACTCGATACAGACCCTTGGTATCTGCTCCTCGAGCTCCCGCTTCAGCTCGGTACGACCGACTGACTCCAGACACCTTAACGGGGTCGCTTGTGTACTTGAAAGACTTGTCAGCAGCCCATGCAGCCAGCGGGATTTCAGCAGTGCCAGCCAGACAATGGTCCTGGTCCTCAATAGCGTAAATCTGCTTCTCTCCTCCGACATCTCGGGGCTTGAAGCCACATGCATGTGCAACCGACTTTCGGATGATGGTGGGAGGGGCTACAGTCATCCATCCACTGACACGGGCCTTATCCAGAACATAGGCCACAAGAGCCTGTTCAAGCTGAGCCCCCTGACCCAGCAAGTAGTACCATCCATATCCCGAGGTGTTGGCCGACGTCTTTGTGTCGAGCAGATTGAGACTATGGCCAATTTCGTAATGTCCTACGTCGGACTTGTACTGTCTGTCGGGGTTGAGGATCTCCAACACCTCCACGTCGTCTCCCTGGGGCACGGTGGAGTGAATGACGTTGGGGACCAGCTCCATGAGAGAATTGAGGGTTGCGATGGCCTCTCTCTGGTTCAGATCCATAGCTTTCATATGCTTTTTCGCCTCGGAAGCTTCCTGTGCGAGCGCCTTCTTGTCCGTGGCCACCTTGATCGCATCAGACACCTTTCTCTGCTTGTGTCGAGCCTCATCGTACTTCTGGGTGCATTCTCGATACTGTTGGTAGGCTGATTCAAGCCGCTCGAGCTGCGAAATGGTGTCTTCAGGAAGCTGTCGCTGAATGGCTTCTCGAATGATGGTTTCTTGGCCGATTCCAGTGATTTTGCCCTTGTAATCGTGTTTCGGGGCCTTGAGGTTTTTCCACTCGTCAGCCTGTAGTGACACAGATGTGCTGGAGAAGAGACGAGCGTTTACCCTGGGGACCGCACGAGTAATTCGCCTTAACATTGTGGTTTCAGTTGATATTGGTGATGGTTCGACAGTTGGTTTTCGTGCATATGCATGATACCACCAAACGCTAATTCTCGCAACAATCAGATGGAGTGGTTACGGAATAACTACATGATTCGAAACAACTTGAATATAATACTAGTAATTGGGGAAAAAACCTGAATTTATACCACCACAACATCGCCGTCAGAAGTAAATAGAAGTTGTCCCCATCGCCTTCACAACTGGCGTTCTGTATCCAACCTTTCTATTGCTTCAAACAGGATACGGAAGGCAACAAGACAACAAGGCTAAGCGACAAGGCTAAGCGACAAGGCTAAGCGATAACAGGCTAAGCGACTATTTTGGTGTGAACAGATATATATACAATAACAAGCTGTTGATTACCACAACCGACACACGGCTGCAATAGCTTCCGACAGTTCGAATGAATATCTCTCTTGACACCATTAGTAGTACTCGTACAACCGTCGGAGTTAACCGAGACATACCTACCTACCGCAAACATTGAAGCTATATCCACATCTACATCTACAAGTAGCCATTGCCATTCGCTCCTAGTGTTTAAATTTCGTTTACCAGCTCGTGGCTCTCTCACCAGATACCTACTTGTAGTATAAATCATTCTCTCCTTCCACATGTATCTAGCACAGTTGTCTACTGTACTGTATGTATGTACTGTACTAATAGCAACTCTTAGAGAACTATCAAGTACTTCTATTACTCGCAGGTAAAGATCAGCGACTTGTGTTAAGAGATAAACTACCATTGGACTATACACATTGCTACTAGAAACGTATCTTGAGGAACTCGAGCTGACTCTGACACAGTCTTGGAGCAGTGTTCAAGCACGGAGCACGGGCCTGTTCAAGCCAGACCTGTTAAATCCCACCAAAGAGAGCAATCTATGACAACGACCAAGCTTAGAAATACTACTTGTAGCTAACACGAGCCCAGCCACACTCCTGGAGCTGCATGGCTACGGTTACATGAAACCGAATCGAACAATTGGTCAGACCTTATTCTACAAATTTTCGCTCGTGTGAGGGGGACAGAATATGCTGCAAGAGGGTCTTTACACACAACAAAGTGCCTAAAATGATGGTCCAGACCATGTTAATGGCCTCTACTTGCCCACTACAGTCGCACAGTTCATAGAATACATATCTTGAGTCTACACTTAGGCGGCGTTATAACCTTGGTATTAAATACAGTACCCAAATTTTTGGCGAAAAGTGGACAACTTTCCAGAAGATGCTTGGAGTAACTCCATTTAGAATCGGAGCTTGGTGAAGAACCACTTGTTCTTACCAGACTTGTGTCGCTCCTCAAAGGCCTGCTTGATGGTCTTCTTGGCGTCCTCTCGGAGAGTGGGCTCGGCGAAGGTCTCAGTGCCAATGACGTTCTTGAGGTTGGAACCGAGGTCGAGGGTGTATCGAGTGGGCATCATGTGGTTGTAGTTGACGACCTTGATGAAGGGCTTGACCTTGGTTCGCTTGGCGATCTTCTTGGCGTCCATGTCAGCGGAAACCTGGAGAGGGTATCGCTCGACACCGGCAACCAGAGCGTGGGGGAAGGGGTGAGCCTTGGTTCCCTCATCGTGAGCCTTGATGATCACGACCTTCTTACCAGCGTATCGGCCTCGAACAACGAGAGCTGAGTTAGTGGGATTCAAATGATTTGAGAGAGCGTCGTCTGTTTCTGAGGTCCTGAGATCCAAAGCAGAGGGGAAAGTCTGGTTAAGGAACAGACGCAAACAAAAAAACACAGAGCAGGACAGAGGACGAAAGCTGGAACACACAATGACCTGCTGGCAGGCTGTATGTATCTTCGAACCGTGTCCTGTGACCCTGATGTGTCTGTGAAGACTGTCTTTGTGTCTACCCAACCGATAACCCCGACGTTCAGAACGTCCTCCTGGCGACTCAAACGCAACTCCTCCGTTTCCATCGCAATATCCAGGCTCGCTGGCTTCAAATATCCCTTTCAAACATACCAACTTTGCCTGACTTCAAAAACTTGTTGGACATTTTTTAGTCGTTATGTGTCGAATGACTTGAACAGTGGAAGGAAAAAGTCGATGTGCAACTATGAAAATTCCCAAACCTTTCGCAGGCCTGAGATTTACTGAGGCTTCTTTGTCCACCACGTTGGGAGTGGGACTGGTTTTTCCCAAAACGGAAACTTACTCTGCATAATCATGTGATCCGAACGGAGTTCAGAGTTTGAGGGCGTGTCGCAGTTCGATTCCCCCTTGGGACTATATTAGCGAAGCCTATTTCCCTAACTCTTGAGACGACCCCGTTCCTAAAAGGCGGGACTGGACCCACTAAAACGTCACCAAAAATTACACGGTCAGAATCCCTATGGGGAGTCAAAAACTAATGTAGAAATGGCCAACAATAAAACCATGTAGAACTGCCGTTTACGGAAACAGCACCTGCTTAGTAACCACAAGTAGCGTACAATACTTGTACTTGTATCAGGAATGCTCTCCTGCCCGAATATTGACAGTTAAGCAGCCCTTGTTGGCTCGGTGTTGCATCAAATCAAGACTATGGCAAAAATGATGAACCTACGTACAGGTGAAGTTTGTATGTACAAGTTGAGAATAACGTCCAGCCCTGGAACCGAAGGAATGAGTACAAACAACTGTAATGTTTTGTTTCAACAGAGATACTCCAGCTGCTTGTAGACGTAGTTTTAATTCTACTTGAACGATATCTCTCTTTCTACTCTACTTGGGTTGTGGTCGGACTCAGAACGGACTCGAAAAACAGCCGTGCATGAGAAGAAGCTTTGAAGGAGGAGGTTGAACGTATACAGTAGGACACTGCCAATATGCTATCGTATGGGTGACTGGTACTTGTATTAACTGTGCAGTATCTTACCGGTTCGGGCAGTGTTTTTACAACAGTCCAGAGGTATTATTGGTTGTATCGCATTATTATTGACATGCTACGAAATATGGATGTTGCTGGACAAGTCGTCATCCATATTTCGTAGCATGTACTCAAATTCAGTGACAGGTACCAGTATAAACAGCTAATCCACCGTCCAGATAGAACCGTACAGATTCAATGGTCTGATTATCAGTACTGGTTACCGCGCAACTGTCTGTACTGTACCCGACTTTCGTCAAAAATATTATCACAGCGTGTCGTCATGGCAACGGCGAGATGATGTACTTGTACTCGTACTCGTACGCGTACAAGAAAAGTCCCTGTACAAGTCGCTGTTCGGTAATAATGTCGACTCAACAACAACAAACAGCTGGCGTATGTGCAGCAATCTCATGACAGGACAATACAAGCATTGGTCACCAACCCCACTCACTCGTGTTAGCGCACTCTTGGTTCAACTATATATAGAAGTTACCAAAGATATGGGGACACGGGTGAACGGTGCTACGTGGGGGACCAAAGAAGTCAAAAGAAGTCAGAAATAACATAACACACACTTTCAGGTCACTTGTATCAGAGTAACCACAAGCCACGCTTCCTCTTGGTCAACTTCTTGACCGGTTCCGTGGCATCTCAAAATCGGTGTTATGCTGGGTGGTCGCTATCAAACTCTAAAACACGCATTGTTTACCTGTGCGCGTCAGCCGTGTCGCATCATGCATCAACACAAAGAGTAAGCGAGGTGAGGTGAGGTGGGAAATTAACAGCACTCGAAACAGAACTCCACACAACTTGTCATGAGTGGTAAGGACAGAAAACGGCCAATGTGAGTTACCGACGGGTGCTAGAGGCGTTTACGAAGGGGCCTGAAAGATTGTTTCACAGCCGCAGAGCAGGGGGTTTTTTGTGTCCACTGGGATGGGATGCACCTCCTATTGCACAGTTAGGACGTTCATGTTGTGGTTTTTGTGGTTCTTGTGGTTGAGGAGACAATTAAGAAGAACAGTTTATTTGAGGGAGCTGTGTCGGTGGTCTCTCAAAACCGCCCCGACCCACCCTATTTGAGCTCAACTCTCCACACCATCTGAATGGGGGTGTTGTCTATCATGCACACCATCAACCATTCAGTTTTGAACCTGCTCAGACTTGCTCGATACAGATATACAAAGTAGGACATGTCTTCTGCGTGATGTCTTCCCGTTTCACCCCCTTAGGTCATACTAACACAGTTGGGATTCTGCAGACCCAGAACGAAACCCTCCCCCCCTACCCATGAACCCCTCTTCACCAGGGCTACGTTCAGCTCCGACTTCTGGAGGACAGCTTGGAGGTAGAGTGGCCAACTCGCCATTCAAAAGGACCCTCGATCCTCGAGCAGACGAGTCGCCCACAAAACACGCGACGTCCTCCTCCTTTGCTCCAGCCATGAGTTCCCACACAGCAGGCACGTCCTCTACACGGCCACAAACAGCTCCCATCGGAGAACTCGAAGATACCATCGGTCATATGCAAGACTCTCTCGAATCCCTGATTTCGCGCTCAAACTCCAACGGAAAGGCCCTCAACGAATTCAGAGGAGATGTCAAGAAGAGTAGCACGGCTCTGACAGCTATCAAGGCCGAAGTCTCAGCTACCTTCGCCAGTCTGACTTCTTCACTCGATGTCTTTATGGACCAGATGGGAAAAGCTCTGGAGGACAACAAACGAAAGCTGGATGAGACTTCCCCCACTGCCATTTTGACTGGCCACATGAATCGTATCCACAACGGAATCGACAACCTCTCCACGGCTATGAGAGTATTGGAACAAGGAAACTTGGATGTCACAGGGTCGATCTCAAAGGTGAAGAGCGACATTGTCAGCCAGATTATCAGTCTGCTGGATTTCAAGGAGGTAATTCAGGTTGTGCAGGACGGAAACAAGCAGCTAGATAGTTCCTTCACCTCGAACCTCATGTCTGTTCAATCAGACCTCAAGCGCTTCCGAGAACTGGATAGAAGTGACGTGGAGGATATCAAGAGCTGTCTCGACAGTCTTTCTCAGGCTGTCAAGGAGACCCACCAGAACCAGCTAACAGCCTCGGTTGACGAGGAACAACTCATCAAGCTTCGAAAGATCAACGAGGACCTTGAGGGTCAACTTGCCGCGTCTTCTCTCGACAAGCGAAACCATGCTGCCAAGCTGTCCAAACTCGAAGCTGAGGTTGAGGTTCTGCGCAAGACCGCCGCCGAGGCTACAGGAGCACGGGAAAAGGCTGAGAATGACTCCAACATTCTCAAACAGGAGAACGAGAAACTGCGACACGAGAGCCAGCTGCTCCAGACACAAAACCAGTCGATTCGAGATACCCACGGCAACTACAAGGATCAGATCAAGGGGCTTTCGCTGGATGTGGAGAAGCTCAATGAGCAGTTGGAGGCTGCCAAGCGACAAGGCAGAGAGCTGGAGGATAACAAGAGCACGATCGAGTCTGTGAAGCAGGACCACAAGTTCGCCTTCGAGGCGTTGAGGGAGGATCACAAGACTGCGGTTGACATTCTGAAACAGGAGCATCAGACTGCTCTCAGAGATCTCAAGGAGGAATTGAAGGGAGAGCACAAGGTGATTGTGGACGACATGAAGGCTGATCACGAAACTGCGCTTTCCTCGCAGAAGGAAGCTATCAAGAGAGAGTACCTAGAACTTGTCGCTTCGTTGAAGAAGGACCACAGTGGACATGTTGACACTCTTAAAGCTGAGCATGCTGATATGTTGTCCTCACTCAAGTCTGAACATGTCAGTATGGTTTCGTCACTCAAAAAGGAGCACTCTGATCGTCTGGATACCCTTGAGGCACGACACAAGGACTTGATCAGATCCAACAGTGACACCATAGAGAGCCTCAAGAAGAACATGTCTACCATTGAGCTGGCTCGTGGTGGAGAGGATCAGAATAAGGTGGATATTGAGCAAGCTGTGAGTGTTATTAAGGCTGACCACGTCAAGGAAATGCAAGCTCTCAAGGAGGTACATGCCAAGGAAATGGCGTCTCTGAAGGAGACTCACTCCAATTTTGCCGAATCGCTCAAAGAGAGTCATCTGAAGGAGCTTTGTGCTCTGAAGGATGCCCATGCCACCGCTGTGGAAGAGTTCAAGATCCGCCTTGAGGGTGCTGAAACAAACTACAAGGACCAGCTGGCACAGTGGCGAGAGGAGCATAAGACTGCCATCACTGGTATCACAAACTTCCGAGATGATAACATGAAGAAGATTGAAGCCGAATACCTTGAGCGGATTGCGGAGGTCAAACAGTGTCATTCTGACGTTCTCACTGAAGTGAAAGACCGACATGAGAAGGAGCTTGAGAGTGCACAAAAAGAGGCCACTATTCACCTGGCTACGATCGAATCTCTGAAGGAAGAACACAAGAAGGAGATGTCTTTAATGAAGGCAGAGCATGCGGAAGAGCTCACACAACTGAAAGAAGCCCAAGCCAGAGAGAATGCTGTTCTTAAGGAAGAGTATGCAAAGGGGACTGCAGCTGCCGAGGAGAAACATGCCAAGGAGATGGGTGCTGCTAAGGAGGAGCATGCCAAGGAGCTGGTGGCGATCAAGGAGAAGCACGGCAAGGAAATGGCTTCTGTCATGGCTGAACATACGCAGACTCTTGCCTCCCTTGCTGATGATCACAAGCAGACCACCTCTGCCGCACAAGAGGAAAACAAGAAAGCTCTTTCTACAGCCCATGAGCAACACAAGAAGGCTGTTTCTGATCTTAAGGAGGAGCACAAGCAGACCGTTGCCTCAGTAACAAAGGATTATGACGGCAAGGTGTCTTCACTGGAGGAGAAGCATGTTACTGCTATGGCCTTACTGAAAACCAAACACGAGGGTATGGTTTTGTCCCTGAAGGAGGAGCACGCCAAAAGTCTTGTTGCGTCTAAGGAGGGCTTTGAAAAACATCTTGCTGGTGTTAAGCAAGAGCACACTGAGGCTCTCGCTGCCTTCAAGTCTTTGAAGGAGGAGCACACTGCCGAGGTTTCTGAGATCAAAAAGACTCACGCTGAGGAGACGCAAGCTCTTAGAGATGGTTTCAGTTCCCTCACCGCTGTCGCCACCAGCTTGGGGGACCAGCTGCATGCATCCGAAAGTACTGTTGGTGACCTGGAGAAGAAGTTGGCCGAGGCCACGTCTGTTCTAGAGCAGACTGTTTCCGATGCCAGCGTAAACATCAAGGAGTCGTGGGAGTCTACAGTTTCTGGGTTGAAGCTCGAGTCTGACCTCGCTGCTTCTAAGAAGGAGCTGAAGGAAGTTACTGAGAAGCTCACTGTTGTCAAGGAGGAGCTCATTGACATCACGTCCAAGTTGACTGAGGCCAAGAAGGAGCACATAGAACTTACTGAGACAGTGTCTGAACTCCAGGCCCGCAAGAGTGAGCTCACCAATGCCAACGACGGTGCCAATGAGTGTCTTCGGATCAGACTGGAGTCTCTCAAGTCTCTGGAAAACCGTGTCAAGAGTCTCAACGACAAGACTCTGGACTCTCTGGTGGACCGAAGCAAGTCCATTTTGGGCTCTGCCACCATGTCCATTCTCAACAGTGGACAGCTCAACTCCCAGGGCCAGCCCACATCGTCGAAACGAAATCTGTCTCTTGCAGGCAACGTCATTCGTGAGTCTGCCACTTTGTTGAAGCCTGATCTTGACGATGAAGATAAGGAGAACCCTATCATGGTCATGAAGCGGGGCATGGGTAGTGTTGGAGGTAAGGGTCGAAGTGTTAGCATGTTCCATGATGCGCATAATGCCTAGAAATTCTATGTAAGTGACGTACAGTAGATCAATACTAGTATCATATCATATCTGATCCAAAATTAGTACTCGATTGAAATATATATATGTACATAAAATGCAAAGCCGCTGCTGTATCATCTGGACTAAAACTTTTCCCGTCCAGCCTTGTTCACACTTCTGAAGCTTGCAACACCCCACTCTCCCAGCACTCCGAGAGCAGACACTCTCCATCCTCTGTAAAGATCCTCCAGGGGCATCTGGCCAGACAGCAGGTGCCACCAGACAGCCACAGTGGAGGTCTGGACAACGGGCTTGACAATCATGGCACCAGAGGGCAGATCCAGGTGGTTCACTTGTGCTCGTCGCAACATAGTCTCCAATGGCAGCTTGACGATCATGGTCACGTACGCGCTGGCCAGGTTGAACAGTCTGTCAAGCACGGGGAAGTGGTACGAGTCAATGCCCAGCTTGGTGATTTTCCAAAGAGGTAGAGTGTGTCGCACAATAGATGTACAGAAAGAGCCGAGGAAAGTGGGCACCAGCAGCTCGGGAGGGCACAGAAGCGACTTGAGCTCCACGAGCGACTGTCGCACGGAACGGGGCTTGGTGGAGAGTGTAGACACAATCAGACGTGTTCGGATGAGATCGAGAGGAGCCACAAGGAGAGAGGTGATCACTGAAGCGCTGACGGCTACAACGATAGAGGTGATGGGAGTAGGGGAGTGAGCGACCTCTTCCAGAAACAGAGGGTCCGGAGAGTTAGAAATGGAGCTGAAGAATCCAGAAAACCATGCCTCCAGAGTCATTGTAAGAGCTCCAAGCAGGAAGGAGGCGTTGAGAGCTCTCCACGGTCCCCGAACTCCGTCAACCTCGTTGAGAGCCAGCAGAATGTCCCAGTTGCGTGTAGTTCGGGCCTGTAGCTGGCTATGGTAGTTCTTGAGGAACTTCTTGAGTCGCTTCTTCTGGTCAGGTAGAGGGTCTGAATCCAGTACACTAGGGGAGTCGCCTCCGTGACTATGATTTCGGCTGTGGGTTCGAGGACTCAAGTCTCCCAGCGTTTCTCTATGGTTGCTTTCGAAATAGTCAATCTCTTCGTCCTCCTCTCGCTCCTCTTCCTCCTCAAGAGCCACTTCAATAATGTGGTCCTCGACCTCGGCCGCGCTCTCCACTCGTTGCAAATGACTCCAGTCTCCTACCTGCAGCAGTAGCTTGCTGACCTCCCAGGGCTGACTCAGAAAGGTCTTGCCGTAGAGCTGGAACAGCGAATGCATGGCATTTCGAACCGACTCGGACGTTCCGGTAATGTCGTAGTCAATCTCAATGCCATCAAACAGATCGCCGAAGTTGTGGTTGCCCACATTGCGGGTCAGTCGGCTGCTGTTGCCACCTTCAAAATGTGTGTAGGACCCAGAGGTAGTGGCTCCGCCAGGTGCGTCGGAGAAGTTGGGGAACTGTCGCTTGGTGTACAGCGTGCCTGTTCCAAACGTATCGGCGTTGTAATAGGGCCGTAATGTGTTGTCGGTCGCCATGGTGGTGGTGATGATAGCGATAGAATAGTACGATTAATCTCAGCTTGCCATATGCACAATTTTAGTTTAAATGGGACAACAGAGTTGGGCCAGAATCCCTGTGCTGGAGGTTGCTGGGACAGCTCGAGTACCAGCACTTGTAGCAAGTGGGTTGGTGATGGCGGGGCTGGTTTGTGGCCCGGATTTTGGGGTCTGGGTCTTCTTTTAATACTTTTTTTCTTACAACTCGCTGTTTGCTTATATAAGCAGATATGATGATCAAGGCGCGAGGTAAATATAAAAATAAAAATAAAAATAAAAATTGGAGACTTTCAAGGAAGAACGAGGGAATAATACATTAAATATACCTCTATTGGAGGATATTTGTATAATACAAGTACAAATACATCAGGTCAGTTTGAAGTCACGTGATGATATTAGCGGTTTGTCGTATCATCATCCCATATAACCAACAAAACCAGCTTACAAGTACAAATCGTACAAGCACTACAAGTAGTACTCTTACTAATGTGTCTTTCTCAGATCACTGACATTTGCCAATCTATACTCTTCAAACAAAACAAATACCAATATCATTATAATTTACATGATGGCAGAAACAAGCCTCGTAGTTACCTTTCGCGCCCTTCATTCTACCAATCCATGGCCAATGCACCTTACACGCGATGGTGCACTGTCTCGATACCCTCCTATGCAATGCAATCACTTCTTGTAGTTGATGAGGAACTCCCCCAGAGCCCGGACGGGGTCCTCAGGCTTGTCCTTGGCAATCTGTCGCATGCCAGCCAGCAGGGCGGGACTCACCTCCTTATTGAGCCACAGTCGCGTAGGAGCGCCGTAGTTTTCGGCAGGGTTTGGGAGCGAGGCAGTGGAAGCCGTCTCCTGCTTGATTGGCTCCGCCGCGGGTGTGGATGTGGAAGTTGGTGGGGTAGCCACCGCTGAGGGAGTGTGTGTAGATGATATTTCAGACACGGAAGCAGCAGGGATGGCAGGCTCGGGACCAGGCTCTGTCTTGGCCACAGCAGTCTCCGGAGCCGCAGCTGCAGGAAAGGCGTCAGTCATGGGTGTGTCAGCCATTTTCTTGTCTGTATTCGATGCGGGAAGGGATTGTGGAGTCGTCTTTTTGATTCTGGCGATGTCAGCGCACTGTCTTAATAACGAACCTTAATCCCAAACTCTATCCCCCACACGTTATTCGGCTCGAACTAATTAATCCGAAAGCACCTTCTCCACTCCCCTTCACTTCACTCCCCTAAATGGCCACACCACTCCCCTTTGATCTTCCGCTGGAAAAAATTGACGAGCAGGAAGGCGAATGCATTCTCATGGGCTTCAACGCCGACTACGCGTTCGAGCTGGGCTCCCAGATCCGAGAACGCGCCAAGAAGGCAGGCAAGTGCATTCTGATCGATATTACCACCGTCACCGGTCTCACCTGGTTCCGGGCCGCTTCCGGACTGGGAACCAACATTGATAACCAGCACTGGGTGTCCCGAAAGCGAAACGCTGTTATTCGATTCGGTCGAAGCAGTTTCTTTCTGGGATGCAACATGAGACAGAAGGGCCGAACTCTGCAGGAGGCCTACGGAGTCAGTGACACTGAGTATGCTGCTCACGGAGGAGGATTCCCCATTCGCGTCAACGGAATCGAGGGCCCCGTCGCTGTTGTCACTGTCAGTGGTCTCCCTCAGGTTGAAGACCATACTCTTGTCTACCAGTGTCTCCGTGACTTTGCTGCCCAGCAACGAAAGGAACTGTCCTAACTAATTTAAGACTTTTGAGATGTTGATATTTCCCATTGCTAAGTACATCTTACACACGCGTTTTCGGGCGGCATCTAAGCGCTGGACTCCCCAATTACTTTTCGGAGACGGAGCGAGTGACGTGGAACGTGATTATATAATGGACTAAAATGGTGTTGCAGCTTCAATTTGATCTATAAGGAGGTGAAGGTGCATTGAGTAAGTACACCAGATCATCTCTGTCTCTACCATTAGCCCATACTTGTACTCGTACTCGTACTTGTACATAATCTCTACATGTGAAGGTCTCAGTCTCCCCCAACAAATTAAGGTTGGCTGCGGATATTCCCATTATTGCAGCCGTGGCATGAGGTAGCACCAGTATCATACTCCACAACAACTTTTCTCGCACAAACACAATGGATCCTTTTGTACAAGTCTGCGCGGATGCGCAAAACCAGCTGACGCAGACGCGAGACCTGCTGGAGCAGTTCCGGTCGGACCCTTCAAACCACAATACCCTTCAGGATCTCACAAACATCACAGAGGAGCTGGCAGAGACGATATCCGACCTTTCACAGTCCGTCGAGGCCGCCCAGGGCCGACCACAGCAGTTTGGTCTCAGCAGCGAAGATATCCAGGACCGTAGCAAGCAGGTTGCTCAACTCATGTCGCAGCTGGGTCAGGTACAGAAGGAGGTGAGCAAGATTCGGAACACAGGCACGCCACATGGCATCTACTCCGATGAGCCAGACGACACGGAGGCCCGAACTGCAGGGCTCACCCAGCAGATGTATGCAAGCCAGATCGAGGAGCAGGACAACGCTCTTGATGGCGTCTACAACACGGTGAACTCGTTGCGGGAACAGGCCAACGTCATGTCGCGGGAGCTGGAGGACCAGTCGTATCTCATTGATGACCTAGATCGTCACGCCGACTCGGCTGGCTCTCGGTTACAGCGTGGTCTTAAGAAAGTGGATTGGGTGGTGCGAAAGAACCAAGAGACTCTGGGTTCATGCTGCATCACTCTGTTGATTGTGGCCCTAATCATTCTGCTTGTTCTGCTCATTGCTCTGTAAGGGCGTTGTAACGTCAATAGCTTAACAGATAACGATTTACGATTGAACTAAGTAAGGGTACCACGCACATCAGTTTAGTGGTTCTTCTCCTCCCGAAGATATCCACTCTGGGGGGAGGGTTTATGAAAGAACACTCGCATTGGAGCTTGGGGCACAACTCGCAGAGTCAGTGTCGTGAGGAGAAACGGCTACGACGAGCTATTATATTTCCACTTCAATTCCCTTTCGGAACCACTGTCCGTGTTTCCGTCTCCATTTCTCCTATTTATTCCTCCCCTCTATGTGCTTCTACACGTTGTGTGGGTATAAACCACATTTAGCCATAATATTGAGGTTCCCCCTTACTCATATAGACATACAGGAGATTGATTGACTGTGATAATAATTGTTTGTTGTTGCTGCCTTTTCCTGTTTTTTCAATTTTTTTCAATTTTTTTCAATTTTTTTTTCAATTTTCAATTTTCTTTCAAATTCTCAATATTTTTTCGATTTTCCGAATTATTCTGGGCATTTGACTCGTCTCTCTTGCATCACGGAGCATGGATGCGCCGAGCTCCGTCCCAAGTCGATCGGACCGTGTCTTGGTGGTGGGATACATCGGAGGATCACTCCTACTCGTTCAGTACAGTAAGCGGATTGCAAACCGGGTAAGTTACTATAGAACCGCTGCAGCTGGGTATGTATTTCTAAGCAGTTCCTGGTATGTGAGTTCCGCATGCGTCTTTGAGCGGCTCGAAAAACCGGGAAAAAGAAACAAAAAACACAAACCGGGTCAAGCCCTGTAGGGGCTAAGCTGGTACTTGTTTTTGAGACCCGGTGGACGTAAATCGAGCACACAATGTGCTTGTGTCCCTGAGTCAGTCGTTGCCCCCCCCTCCCTCCCCCCAGTCGGCACTTGACAAGCCCCCATTGGTGCCAAAAAATAGTCTTCCGATTGCTTCAGTCAACCTAATGCGACACACACACCACATGAAAAAGAAAGCAAGTTTCGGCGACCGTATCCCCTTAACAAGGGCATACAGCTAATATGGGTGACATTGTACCAGCACGAGCAGGAGGCGGTACCTGGCTGCGGCCGCAACGGTTTGGGGGGGGATTGCGCAACCTTATGCGACCAGTGCAAGTTGGGGGACGTAATTTCGTCGGGTGGATCCGCAGCATTACAATAGAGGGGCTAAAAGGTAGCTTAGCGAAACAACAAGAGGAACCGCAGACGGTTTTGGAGGGAGAGACTAGCTACTGGATTGTACCAACAGGGGACAATCATAGCTGACGTATGCACTGTACAAGGACCCTGATACCGCCGCCGGTAGGGATATGGAGATAAGTTAAGTGACTCAGGCACCCCTGACAGATGACGATGAGAAACAAGCAGGCCATTGTGGTGTCACATAACGCGCTTGTGTGGTGATGTCTCACTCGCCTCACACGATAATCTGACTAATTAATGTGTTGGTCTCAGGCGATTTGCACAGGAGCGCCGGTATCGCAGGGGTCCGCTCAAAATCACATCAACGGAGATTGACAACCCCGGCGGCAGCGGAAAGAATAGCCGTGCCACCTAAATGACAACTCCGCGATTGACGAGACCACGAGATAAGAGCCTGTTGTGCAGCGCGCTAGGCCGGAATATACACACAATCGCATGCCTCGCATGCCTCGATGGTTGCCATTTCCGTCCTGGTACACGGTCTTCTTAAGCTATCGGAAGCCACAAGTGTACGATGCATACGGTAGGAGCCTGACGGAGCCTGACGAGCGGGGTGGCTATTTGCAAGCCGGTCTCTGCTATGATACATGGTGTGGCGAGTGTGGATCTCGCCAAACTTATTCCCTGAGGTTGCCTATCGTACCCTCCTCCGCCCACCTTCCCCTCCAAGCTAAACATCCCAAAAGGACCTTTTGGGCATTTCAAGGTATTTCCTTACCCTCATATTTAAACAATAGTCACCCCATTTCCACCTCCCAGTGCACGTTTTATGCCTGGCTGGAAATTTAATTGGCCGTTTGTAAGCATTTTCATGTACTGCGATATATTACCATACAGGTCTCTTCGGGGGCGCATCCACGGACTGCAAAACCAAAAATAAAATAAAAAAATAGACACAAAACCCCGAAACAAACCTGGAGATCCGAAGCTCTGGACACAAGATCAACGTCGAAGCCTCCACCCGCACTGACTCCCCTCCCATATATATCCTCGTAGCCTCCTCAACGTGGTCTCTCTCTCTTTCTTTACTCCCAGCCCTTTGACTACTAGAGAACATCTTATTTCGCACAGGCCTAAAAATTCTGCGCGACCCTATGCACAGGAGCCGACATAACGACACATTATACTGTGATAAATAGCATTGAACGGTCAAACGCAGCACCCCAACCCCACCAGGTCATACGACGTCATCGCGATATATTAGCTAGGGCGACAGCTTGCGTGCCTTCTTCCTCACACCCAACAGCACGTCTTTCGACCCAGTGCGCCACGACGCTGGACCAATTATACACAATCGACAGGGAAAAAGACAAAAGTCACTTTGTAGAAAAACACACATCCACATACTACACACTCACTCACCCTCACACACACACACACCACATTCACACTCACCCACACACACACCACTCCACACCAGGAAACACACATACCCACAGCCACTTCACTCTTGTCCGGCAATGTCTGAAAAAGAAGAAATTGTCATTGTGGGCGCCGGCATCATCGGTGTGTGCACGGCATACTATCTGCTGAACCACCCCAAGTTCGACCCAAAGAAACACCACATCACCATCATCGAGGCGGTACGAGCGGCTGGAGGCGCCTCCGGAAAGGCCGGCGGACTGCTGGCTCTGTGGGCCTTCCCGTCCCAGATTGTGCCCATGTCCTTCGCCCTACACGAAAAATTGGCAGACAAGTACAACGGAGCGGTGGAATGGGGGTACAGACGGGTCAGCACGGTTTCGGTGGAGGGCAATCTTATGAAGACCGGCCCCGCCCCCCTGGGTAGAAAAGTGGCTGGCAGAGCCCCCACACACTCATCGGAGAAGGGCCCCGACGTGGACTTGCCTGAGGACCTGGACTGGATCCGGCCCGAAGTTATCGACTCGTGGTCACATCTGGGTGGCACCGACTCCACCGCTCAGGTGCACCCCTTCAAGTTCACAACATTCATCCTCAAAAAGGTGCTCGAGTCTGGCCACGCGACCCTGGTGCTGGGTTCCGTCAAGCGAGTCAACACCCGGTTGAACGATGATGACGAGGAGGAGGCTATCTCAGTTACATACACGGCATCCCCCGGAGACGAGCGCACGATTGCTGCATCCAAGGTGGTTCTGGCCGTGGGACCATGGACATCCAAGCTGCTGCCCACCTGTCCGATATCCGGTTTGCGAGCACACTCCATCACCATTGTGCCCACCAAACCCACCACAGCATATGGCATCTTCACAGAGCTGCGAGTGTCGCGAAACCGATACGTCAGTCCCGAGATCTACGCTCGAAAGGACGAAATCTACGTGTGTGGCGAAGGCGACTCGCTGCCTGTTCCGGAAAACACAGACGCAGTGGAGGTAGAGCGAGAGCGGTGCGACGAGCTGTTCAAGTGGGCTGGAGACCTGTCGCACCAGCTCAAGAACGGAAAGGTGCTCAAACGTCAGGCTTGCTATCTGCCGGTGGTAGATGTTCCTTCGTGCACTGGCCCCCTGATTGGCGAGACCACCACATTGAATCTGTTTTTGGCATCGGGACACTCGTGCTGGGGTATCAACAACGCCCCAGGAACTGGACTGCTCATCGCCGAGCTGCTTCTCGATGGCGAGGCCACTTCGGCAGACATCTCTCAGTTTGATCCCAAGCTGTATTTCGACTCTTCTGAGTTGTAAGCTACCCGCTGATAGAAGACATGGAGGATGCACATTACAGGACACATACACACGGCGCACACATACCGACCGACCAACCCCAACTTACGAACAATCCTCACACAACACACACAACACACAATGCGGAAAGAGCTCTAGGATGGCAGAGCGCAGGCTTCAGGTACGCTACGTACTCCGGCTACGAAAGGTCTACATGCGGGTTAGAGAGCTGTACAAGTAGCATGTTTTAGGGCCTGTGATGTATGTAGAATAAATAACACAAAACAAAAAGCTTTGTACGGTATTGTACGAGTCGGTGGGGCCGCGCAAGCATGAACGGCACCGGCACCACGCATTGTAGAGATCTATGGTTCGTCTAAGGTTGGGGTTTAGCCACCTGTTGGTAGCAAGTCAACCACTTGTGGATCAGCCACACGGCGGAGAATTCCGGTCCCTGCTCTGTCTCAGAGGCTAACGTGGAATCATTGAAAATATGACTCCATTTTTGAAACATCAGGCGAAGATGCACATGTTCCCCCTGAAGCAATGGGCGTGACCCTTCAGGGGTCTTTTCGTTGTTGGAGACAAGCAAGGTCGCCACACTTGTTCGACGACGCACGTCACCGTGCACAATTATGTACCGGTACGATGCACATACAGCGAAAGGGGTACTAACTATTAGTACTGTACGAGTACTTGTAGATTTAGTGCGGCCTAAATACATGCCTATTTCTTTGTTTGTTTGTGAGTCAGACATAGAGGGTGGCAGAAATGTCTTCAACCGGAACCAGAATACGAGTATTGGTGCTTGTACCGATGGCTTCTGGAGGATGGCTACTCCCTGTTAGGTTTCGTCTTAACTATTGACCGACACTAAAACGCGCATTTTAGTTAGAGCCGGGAATGTTGCAAGGACAGACGGAAAATCTGGGTTGGAAAGTGAGTGTGAACGAGCCTGGTACAAACGACGATAAGAACCCCACTCTAGTTGTTCCAAGTGGCAACCAGAACCTCCTTTTCTCGCTTCATCACCTCACCCACCCATGTCCAAATCCCACCTACAGGGTTAGGGCTGATCTGAAATCCCAATTGTCGAATTTCATGAGTACTTAGCAGACAAGAAAAACCGCAGCGGCAGCATAATCCACAACCATGAACATCCGAAAAGCGACGGTGGAGGATCTGGCAGGTATGCAGAACTGCAACCTGACCAACTTACCCGAAAACTACGTGCTCAAGTACTACCTGTACCATGCCATCTCGTGGCCCCAGTGCTCGTTCGTGGCTACCATGCCGGCCAAGGACTCGGAAAACGGCGAGAAGATTGTTGGATACGTTCTGGCAAAGATGGAGGACGACCCTGTTGTGGCACAAAATAACCCCGACAAGAGCAAAGAAGAAGATGATAGACCACATGGCCACATCACTTCGCTGTCTGTGATGCGGACCTACAGACGTATGGGAATCGCAGACAAGCTCATGCGACTGTCTCTGCGAGCCCTGTGCGAGGTCTACGGAGCCCAGTACGTTTCCTTGCATGTGCGAAAGTCCAACAGAGCTGCTCTGCACCTGTACCGAGACTCGCTCCAGTTCGAGGTGAAGAAGCTGGAGAACGGTTACTACGCCGACGGTGAGGATGCTTACAGCATGAAGAAGGAGCTCAGTGTTGACCCCGACATTGAGAGTGATGACGATCTGCTTGTCGACGACATTGCTGAGCACACTGAGGTGTCTTTGTAGGTGGACGGATGAGCCTGACAGCTGAAAAGGAAAAAAGGGCGGAGGATTGATGAATGGCCAAGGCCACAATTTGTACAGTTATGAAGTTTTAACCACTTGTGGACTTGTATTTGTAGCGTAGTAGACATCGAATATCTGAGACGGGCTCCACAGTAAGTACCGTAGTAATGTCGAGTTACTTTCAACCATTCATTCATCTATGGCTCATCCATCTATATATATGTCGTTACTATGCAGCGATTTTCTGGTCCCTCTCAATGACCGCCTGGTCAAACTTGATGAGGAAGACCGTTCGCAGCGGATGATCTTCGTCCTCAACTGTGTGAGCACTTACCTTGGCAGGGAACTTGGCTCCGTTGAGCACGGCCTCAATGATACCTGCGGCGTAAGCAGCCACACTGAGTTGCGAGTTTTCTCGTGGCACAGAAACGTATTTGCTGACCACGGGCTCATTGTCGATAATCATGTACTCGTTCTCTTCATCTCGCGACTTCTCCAGGCCGTCAGCTGCACGGCCAAATACCATCTTCCACACGTGGGTATGCACAAACTCGAGAATTCCCAGGATCTTGTTTTCTCGTCTTCCTCCTGCTGCGCCCTTTGCTGATGCGCCTGCTGTGGCTTCTCTAATAGTCACCAGCTCCAGTGCTCTTTGTCCCACATGGTATCCAAGAGTGTTTAGACGTGTTTCGAGATCAGGAAGCGACCCGGCGTTGGCTCCAGCCTCTTTTCGCTGTCGCAGTAGATACTGGACGAGTTCAGAGAATAGGAATGCAAAGGCGTTGAGCGACACCTCGGGGGTTCGGCGGTTGATGTTTCGCTCGTAGATAGATCCAGGCTTTCGGATAGACGATGACGACGTCGTGGGAGCAGTCATCTGTGGCGGATAGTCGGGAGCCGAGTTGGTAAGCTGGGCATTGGGATTGAGGGCGCTAGGGAAGGTGGAAGACGAAGCACTGGCAGGGGATTGCGCCGCAGTGGGGTGTGGAAGCGTCGACGAGGGCGTTCGGGGGATTTGTGGCACTCCCTTGGACGAGGGAATGATCGGCGTGGAAGGCCCTCTTGGTATAGACATGGTGTTGTGTCGTTGTGGTTGTGTTTGATGGTTGAGTGTAGATATTGGATCGCGATGTTGGGAGGGTGACGATTTTGGTGACGTAATTATATCTTAGAGTTGAAAAAAAAGGCCAAACATGAAGAGCTGGACGGGGAACGAAAAGAGGAGGAAGTTAGACCTGATAGAAGAGATTACAGCTACTGTACACGGAATCGTTAATTTTACGGTCTTGGGATCGGAATGTCCAATATCGATTGAGTACATCACATTGTTCCCAACTTGAAAAGATCATTTACCCTTGTAGATCCAATACAAGACTACAGTATGTACTGATACCGTAGTGGTAGTTCAGACAAGTTCCAATTCCTCAAGAGATGCAACCCATCGTCATCAAAGTGATTACATACATATTTATATATGTATTCCTCTACGATCAAAACAACGAACGAGCAAACATCAGCACTTGGGCTATCGTGATCCGTCTCCTTTACAAGGTGGGTAGAAGGTGACGATTGCAGTCCCAGGTCTCTTCCAGAGAATGTGACTTTGTCATCGCCCCAGTGATATTTCAAGCACTTGATGGAAAAATCTTCCACGACATCGACACGTCGACTTTGGTGTGGTGCATGGTGGAGCGTTGTTCTGCAGCTGTTGCTATAGCTACACCTAAGCTGGTGAATACCCATTACGCGAGCCATGAGATCATTTAAGGTGGATGACGGCGGCTCTGTGGTGTAAACAACCACTCTGTCCTTAAATGATATAAGAGGGCGACACAAACCCGTCTTTCAGGCAAAGACAAACTACAATACAAGTCGAGAGATGCCATCGGATACCTAAGCACTACAGATACCATGAAACGATTACGCGCAAAAACGAGAGATATATTCGAGATACCCAGCGACGAGTCGGTGGACACGCCCGTCCAAGTTCTCAAACGACACAAGAGAAACGCTTTCGAAGAGAAAAGAACCGTGTTGGCATCAAAAGACACAAACATCACACAAAGATCAAAGCGCAAAGCAGCCGCCGTTGTCAGTGATACCCGCCCTCCACACAACAACTATCAGGCACCAATAACGCGCCAAGATGGTGCCAGTACCAAATCTAAGATACCGGTGAGAGTGAAAGAGAAGCCTTCACAGACCCCTGTCAAAGATATTCGGTCCTCCTTCAAGCCACACACTCCCCTCCTGGACCAAATGCAAGAATGCATGAGCGCCGAACAGGATGGTGACTATTGGCAGCAGGCGAAGAACAAGAAGTCTCGCAACACCAAAAGGGGTACCAGACCAGGAACTACTGCAGTGCAACATGGTCGCCAACGCAGTCCTTCTCCTGCATCTGAGCCAGCTACCCCAATGCATGACTCCATCAGGTCAACAAACCGGAGACACGCTGGAAATACCCCGAGATACCCAAAGGTGTTGGTGCCTCCAACAGTGATTCCAGATCGCAAACCAACGATCGGTCTGCGATCGAAGCAGGCTGGCTTCGGCATTGGCGCAACATACCTTCCTCAAGTCATTCCTGAATATGATTGGACAGTGTATGAGCACAGTGAAGAAGAATTAGATCTCGACCTCGACTTTGACGAGTGCGTCACTTCAACACCCATCCGAGCATTCCGGCGTCATGAAACATCACTTGGTGAAAATTCCCCTTCTCCAACACGCTAGACCTATTTGGCCTTGGTCTTGTTTGGGTGGACAGGCATCTCAGTCTGCAGGGTCCATTCTGGGGTGTCGAGTTCGGCGATCTTGCCGAGAGACAAGACAATGTCAAGCTGAGGCATGGTCTTTTCTTCAGCATCTTTGGTCAAGATTCGGTTGTATTGATAAACCGTCTTGCCTTTTTCTGTCTCTCCGATTTTGCTAGTCAGTTGTTTGACCAGCTGTACCACGGTGATGATCTTGGTGCAACCTCTACCGCTGGCCGAGAGTCTCACTTGCTTATCTTCCAAGAGGATTTTGTAGCTCTGTTCAACAGTGTCGTGTATGGACGAGTTGTTTGTGATTTGCTTCGTCTCTGTCATGTTTCCCTGTTGTTGTTTTTTTCCCCTGGTGCGTGGTGTTGAGCAATGTCTGATCCACCACCTCTATTTTATTTTTTTCGACACTGGTACTTGGGTATTTTTTTTACAGTGTAGTTAGGTGCAGTGCATGCGGTGCTGCCAGACTGAGTTTGGTGTACGATGAACAATCCAGCCAGAGTATGAACGCAAAAGGTGCATGGTAGACGCACGACGTGGGCAAACAGCGAGATATCGGAACAAGGCAGCACTACTAAAGGGGTGGGGAAGGCAGCAAACAAACATGACAACCCCCCAAGGGATAAAAGAATGAAAGGGGTCCATTGGATAAAAACACGTGTATGTCCGGTAGGGATAAATGATGTATAATGCAGCCGATCGAACGGCAACCTATGTGTTTACAAGTATCGTAGATATGGATATGTAATGAGCCCAACTATAGATTGGGGAACATCACACCTGCGGGTGTGTTTGTCGCCTCCGTGGCTCATCATATCTTGTGTGGCGGTCATCGGAGAGGAGGGGAGAGTACACCGTTAGGGTGCGCAACATTTGGGACTGCCACCAGCTAATTATTAGGGCACGTCTCAGCCCACCAAACACGTTGACACGACACACACGACACTAAAATAATATAATTATAGTGTGTGGCAAACCACTCGAGACAGGCTACTTATTTACTGCGATACTGTCGTTGTGGCCGGGTTTGGGCTGGCCTTTACTGTAGGGAGCGACCACCAGTGAGGGCTCTGCAACCTCCATCCACTATTAATTATCCGGTTCCATGGGCCGTTTTCATTTATCGTCGTCCCCATGTTGTAGAGTCCTCGACCTTCTGCTTTTCGGTGTTGCCGGTTTATCCGTGTGTCGGACCACTATCTCCAGGAGCACCCGCTCGTCATGGAGTGTGATGGAAGTTTAGAGGGCAGTCCAGATGCGAGAGGCACTTACATGAAAGGGCAAAGCAAGTGAAGTTTATGCAGGCTGAGGGGTGGCAACTGGGCACCGGAAACCGAGGCGGCGGGGGCTGGCTACAGTGGCGGTCTCCGCTTCCGGATTTTACGCTTTCGGAGGTCCATTTTCGGTGGTGTCGGCGCTCTTCAAGCTTGCGCCGTCTTCTAGGGGTATTATCTTCGACGAGAATTGGTTGCCCCACACTCAGTTGTCATGAAATGGGTGTGTATATGTTGAAAGTTTATTTTCCAACTTCCCAAAACCTTGAGCTTAATCACAGTTTTCCAGTCCCAAATTTACAACCCAGATATCCCCGTAGGTCCTGCGTTGGTGCGCCCTTTGCTCAGCTGCACGACCTTGACTTGCACTTCTTCGTTAGGACCGTGACTGATATCGGGGTAGAAACGGACAGATCCACACATTTTTTCCAGGCCAAGAATCTGAAAAACGGCCGTACAGTGCACCCCCACCCACACAAATATCACACAAGCAGCTTGACTGCAGTTCGATTCCGGCTTATGCCAACAGTTGCACCGCCAGACCACATTTCGGAAAATGAGTAACGACCACGCCAAAGCTGTGTCGCCGTCACAGTGCAAGCGTCGCCGGCTCGTGGCTTCGGACAGCGACAGTGACAGCGATCACCAACGCAACATGGATCTCGAAACGCCGACGCCATCGTCCGTCTCCTCGCCATTGACAGAGCCCGACGAGCCCGACGAGTACCACGACAAGAAACGCAAGTCGCCACAAGTAAACATGCGGTCCATCATCGAGCAGCAGTTCGACCTGGAGATTCTGCTCAAACACAGAGAGCTCAGAACCATTGAGGACCGGATTGCCCAGGTACAGACTCTCATGGTGCAGATGCGGAAGCTACACAACAACACACACAGTGTCGTGAGTGGCGAGCCCAGAGATTTTGTGCAGCGCTATGCACACTACTTGAAGGATAAGGAGGCAGTCCCGGCGGAAGGAACCCCGGTAGCGAATGCGTCAGCAGCCCATCATGTGGTGGACGACCCTACGCACACAAACAACCTCAACACACACCCGGCGCTGCAAGGCTTGGAACCACCAACCAGGCGCATTCGACACCCCACAGCCAAGCTCGCATCCAATGGTGGATACATTGGCCGAGGAAATGTCATGCCGTGCATTTACCGACGGCCTGATGGTGTTCTGGTGCGGCTGGTGTGCAAGGATTGCGACAGATCTAATTTTGGCAGCACACAAGGCTTCATCAATCACTGCCGTATCTCACACGCCCGGGACTATGGATCACATGATTCGGCTGCAATGGCTTGCGGAGTAGAGATTGAGGAGCAAGATGGCAAGGGCAGACTGGCCCTGGAGCAGCTGGGAAGGGATGTGAAGTCCAAACCTGTCCTGCGAGACAGAAGTTTCTCCATGTCTGCTGTCAGCGGAAGGGCAATGTCACAAGCTCAACTACAACAGCTTCAGCAGCAACAGCAACAGCAACAACAAAAGGCACAGCCAATACCCACACACGCGCTTCCCCAATATCGAGGGGTTACCCCCACAGTTTCTTCACTCCCGCCACCGCCTACCAAATTCATCCCCCCTCCCAAGATTACAACATTCGACAACTTGGAGCAACTACTGATAGAACGAAAAGTTGCCCAGGACGTCGACTTCAAAGTGCTGGTAAAGACGAGCATGGAGAGTGTGCCAAAGAGTCATCTCTTCGAGGGTGAGTCTGAGTCAGATGAGGAGGAGCAAGTGGAGCTGGGAGAAGATGCGACGCCATTCCAGCGGGTCATCGCAGAGGCGAGAAAACTCAAGCTCAATGTCGATGAGCTCATTGCCCAGGGAAAGGCTAATGGTAACAGACCTTCGGGATACAAGCCGGCGAGACGGTCTTCTGGCTTCACAAAGAACAGGAAGAAGTCTGGTGGTACAGCAGCAGCGTCAGCAGCAACAGCCGCCGCTTCGTCTGCGGGAAACTCCAGTGAAACAGCCTCGTCCAGAACTCCCCAGAAGCCGTCTAGAACCGCATCACCCATTGGTTCTCCTAGTTTACGACCCTCATTTGGAGCTTCTTCTCATTCCGGCTCCAACGAAGATGTTCAGGAGATGAAGTTGGCTGAAGCTCCGCCCAAGAAGCCTCAGGCTCGGCGAATCTCCATCTCAACCCCCTCCACTCGATCCAGCACTAGAGCTGCATCGTGTAGAGCTCAACAAAACGAGGAGGAGGAAGGCTCACACATTGTTGGCCAGCTTTCCAAGTTTCTGTCCCTCGACAGATTCTTCTGATCAACTTTGGTGTCAATTGCCTTCGACATGTACAACAGAAAATATGATATAATGATTAATGAATTATGAATGGTGGGACAAGACGTTACTCAGACGCGAGCGAAGCAAGTATTTTATACACACACATGCACACAATTACAAGTAGAGCAGAAGGTACGAGTACAGTATCGCATCGTATCGTATCGCAAGCGGCTAAAGTTTTACTTCGGTCCATCCATTGTAGATTAACGTCTATGGAAGCTAAAGAATGAACGATGGTAAGACATGCCATATGATGTGCACTACTTGTAGTCATCGTACCACCTATGTAGATCGTCAGGTGAGTTTTCGTTTTGCTGCTATTTCCAATGAATGAAACAGACCCCACTGCGGGGTTTTCTGACAATACAAAGACATGTGTATTCTCCACACCGCATGTGCGATAATTAACATGTACAGATATTGTTTCATTGATATTGCTGGATTGGGACACCTGGATTCATGCACTTCTTGCCACATATATCCTACGAGAAATATATATATATATATATATATAAGAGCTGTGTTTTGGCAGGTATTAACGGTATTAACCCTCGTCACCATCATTGTCACAATGACAATTAGATCTTTTAGCCCCCACATCGTGAATCTCGCAGCCCGCGACCTGGAGAATATCTGTGGGGTGGAGAAGCAGCTTGAGACCGTTCAAAAGGAGTTTGAGCAGCTACAAAACCAATTGAATGAGCTCTTTGATTATTTCAGTCCAAAGGCTCCACCTGGCGATCATGTTCCACTCGTCTTTGGACCTCCTCTGGGCCGAATACAACACCGCGCGCATTGAAAACTTGAATTGCATCCAACAATGTTGAACCTGCAATTGAATCACTGCCTCACCATTTAGCATAGAACATTTTTAATGAATTAAATTATATAGTCGCCATAAGGCTTCTTGTAGAAGAAATGCTAGATAATAATAGTCTAGTTGGGGACATCACCAGTGATGACCACGTAGTTGTCGGGCTTGCCATGGGCAGCCTGGGCAATAGAGACCTCATCTCGCTCGAGATCGTAGACGGAGTAAATGGCTCGCAGGAAGGTGTCACCGAACAGGTTCATGTTTCCACCATCGTCAACACCCATGAAACACACTGAGGAGTCAACATTGGAGTTGACAGCGTTGCCGGGAATGGCCAGGTCGTGTCCAGTCACAGTGATTTCCTTACCGCTGAAGTTGTAAGTGAAGTTGATCTTCGAGTTTTCAGAGCAAGGGTATCCGTGCCATCCTCCAGAGTAGTCACTGAGGGTGATATCAAGGTCCTCGAGGCCGCCGAGGAAGGCGTTGTAGTAGTCCGACTTGAGGTAAGTCATGGTGGTTCCAGAGTCTAGAATGACGAGGTCATTGTCGAAGAGGTCGACATCTCCAAACTTTCCGGAGGCAGAAACGGAAAAGTGCTGGTATCCGCCTTGGGTCGCAACTCGGGGAATGGTCTTAAGCGAGCCAGTGTATCGACCAGTGTTGATAGCACCAAAGGTGATCTCAGAGTTGTCGTTGCTGGTGCCAGCAAGGTTGGCGTCGCTGAATGACATACCGTAAAGGTTTCGGGAGATCTCGCCGGACTTTTGGAGCTGAGCAGAGATGGAAGTAGAGGCGTCGCTGTTCACACCGATACCGAAGACCATGGAGAAGCCGCCGGAGCTGAGATCACCAGAGTTGACACCAAACTTGAAACCAGGAGCGGAAGCTCCACCAATGACAGCATTATCAGTGTAGAGGTAACCATCAGCGTGTCCCTTGCCATAGTTGATGTTGAAAGGCACTCCGGTGTCCTTGCTCGTGGAACTCTTCTTGGGGTTGTAAGAGCCGTCAGTGTCGCAGTCCTGCTGGTCAACCTGGCAAGCAATAGAGTCGTTCTCCCAAACCCACAGAATCTCGGATCCGGTATCGATGCTGGCAGAGATAGTCTGACCACCAAGAGAAATTTGAACCTGGTAAGCCATGAGCTCATTGTAGAGCTCGGCAGTGATGGGGCCGGAGGAGGCAAAGTTGGGGATCTTGCTCTGGGCCGCCTGGAGGGACTGCTTCTTGATAGGGGCATGAACAAATCCCTTGTTTGCGGGGGCTGCGGCAACGAAGGCCAAGAGGGTGGTAAGGGTGGCAAGAGAGAACTGCATCTTTAGAATTGGAAGCTGATCTGGTGGAATTCTGCTGTGTCTAAGGTGACTGAGGGGGTCTATTTATGTCGTTGGCCGACAGAGTAGACGGCTCCAAATCTCCTATCTCACGCACCATCCCTGTATTAAGCGGCACCGTTTACTCCACCCACAGCTTCATTGCAAGCAGAGGACCAGAAGCTATAGTTCACCAAGCGTAACTTAATGTGCTTTGGAGCTCGAATAGAACTACCAGTAGCCTGGAACCACTCGTGAGCAGTTCCAGAGTCCTCACACACAAAGTGATTTATAGGTTGTGAATCTGTTTTCTGGTACAACCACTTTTCCGCCAGCTACTTCGACCTGGTCCTCAGTCATTGCCTCTGGTGAGATGCATGGTCAATGAGTCGAAAGTTCCAATATAGTGCGGTATTAGAAGGCAAATAAGGTGGGCGATAACGGCGTGGTGTGTTTGTTTGTCTCACCAAGGGACGTGTATTTGGTCCAGCAGAAGCCAACAAAACCATTGATTCAAAAGCAATATGTTATTGAGAGACTCCAATATATATCTTGCCGTACAATCGCTAGAATTCACTCAGACCGACACCGATTTCAAGCCATTGTATTTCAACGTTATCAGTTTTCGCAGTACCCCCACGTACATACAGATGTACAGTACTTGTTTATCACGATAGGCCCTGATGTGCCTTAACCAGGGTCAAACTTTGGACAAGGACGAGAAATGGGTCTCGACCGAGTATATGGGTGCACTTGACGTTTGAGCTGCGAGGGAGCGTATCTCTATTCCCCCAGTAACACACAGCGCTAACATAATCCGCAACGCACCACTCCAAAACTAGGACATTCCATGTTTCTTGGCACCGTCGTGGCATCGCTTGGCAGGGCGCTATCGTGCAGTTACTATAGGACGGCCCCCTGCTAAACCATGCAAGCTTCGAGATTAAACACTGATTTACACTTGCACGTGGATTGCCACGATCGCATCGTGCCGTTCAGGCTTTGGTGGAAGCTAAGGTTCATGGCTGGTCTTCCAAGGGTCTTGGAGGTGGGTGTGAGATACACGGCATCGTTGTTTGCTTGTTTCTTTATCTGCGACTTGATGGAACCCTGCTCCTCAGTGACTCAATCGCTCAAGAGGACTCTCCTCTAGAGCCGTTAGGAGATCAGTGGTGTTTGAGGTTCCGTACCCCGAAGGAGTTTTTTTCTCCCTGAGACATATACACGCCGTACTCATTGATATCTCGCTGGCCGTTGCAAATCGTGTACAGAGTAGAATGGGCCTTCGAACAAGGTTCCGCACTCTCAACCCCACATTAACCAGCTGGTGCCGTTCATATTGGCACAAGGAGATCAACATCTTTAGAACACTGATAGCCTCGAATGAGCTTCTTCGGCGTTCACTTTTGCTTCTTCGGAGGCCGTGTGTGCCCTCGTACAGTTCGAAAAGCAGTATAGGGAACTGTCACTGCTACAAGTAGTTCACTTCTCTTATCAATGAGACACAACTCTGATCTAGGAATGTCAGCCTCGGGAAAAATTTACCAGGTACTCGTAACCGGTGGTGCATCCCTTTCGACCAACACTCCAAAAAAGTGATGAGTGATATCGAAGGACACCTATAGAGATCACCCGCAGCTTGGGGTCTCTAATGTGGCCTGGTTGATATCACGTTATGTTGCCTGCTCAACTACCTCTTTTACTGTTCAGTTTGTACCTGTAGTAGTCCCTCTCGCACCCCACAATTCGTTGCAAGTCGGGGTTCAGACTTGTGCAGGTGCCGAGTTGTTAATAGTACAAGCCTAGCATAAAGTGACCCTATTCGAGAGGAACAACTGAAAAAAATGTTCCTGTTGCCTTATCGCATGTTCATATGCCGTGTGGTTTGTCATAGCTACATGTGAATACCTGTGCTGGGCAGCGCTGACGTAAAACAGTGATTTTATACCATAGCATAAATTTTATCGTCATTATGACGAGGAGATCTCAATGGTTGTTCTGATAGCATGACTGTCTAGTTTTACTCTCACACACATACCTGGATATGTTCGCGGAGCTTCGTGCTTACAATTCTCCTCTGGTGCTACCTGCATGGGCCATGCGCCTCTAAACTCTCCACCATTTTCAACTTCACATCATTGCATTTTATCAGAGAATCACACATCATGACGGGACGCAAACATGGCTTGAATGAGGGGGACGACAAGACGGTTAAACGTGCAAAGACCGACTCGGAATCTATTGAGGCCAAGCGGGCTTCGATAAATGCCCGAATAGCCAATCTCAAAGCCAAGCAGGCTGCCAAAGAGACTGGCAAGAAGGACACAACCGACAAGAAGGACCCGAAGAGCAGCGTCGCTGACAGGCTCGCACGAATCAAGGAAAGGACTGCAGAACTTCAGCGCAAGAAGCTAGAGAAGGAGAAGGAGAAGGAAAAAGAAAAGTCAAAAGAACATGAGAAGAAGCTCCCCGACAGACAAGCCAAGAAGCCCTACGTTGCTCCTGTTATTGGCTTGGACCAAGAGGTACACCCTCTGTTGCTCCAGATAAAGGAGGAGCAGGAACTCAAGAAAATCAACCCATATCTCGACACAAGTGCTGTTTCCGCTAAGACTGACGAGTTTTTCGACCCTCAAGTTGATCTGCCACGAGCAAGACGTCCTAGAGCTCTGCAGTTCAATGCTCCCGGCAAGTTCATCGCGCAGGCAGAGGAGCTGCGGTATGAGGCAAAAATGGAGGCCATGCGACAACAGATGGAAGCCGAGGCAGAGGCAAAGAGAGCCAAACGAGAAATTGGTATTTCTGTTGATGAGCGAAAATACAAGGTGCAAGCTCCTCCGGAGGTAGAGTGGTGGGATATGCCATACGTGCAGACCGACGAAGGGTTCCAGGGGGAGCTCAAAACCGATGCTGAGTTGGAGCAGCTCGTCACCTGTTACATCCAGCACCCCGTCATGATTAAGGCTCCATGGGAAGCCCATCTACCTCAAGGACCTCTACCTTTGCACCTTACCAAACGTGAACAGAAGCGGATCAGAAAGCAAGCTCGAGCAGAAAAACACAAGGATCAACAGGATCGAATTCGACTGGGTTTGGACCCTGCACCTCCCCCTAAGGTGAAGCTTACAAACCTCATTTCGGTTCTCTCTTCTGATAGCATCAAGGATCCCACTTCTGTGGAAATGAGAGTGCGACGGGAAGTTGAGGCTCGTCGTCTGCAGCATGAACAAGACAACCAGGAGCGAAAGCTGAGCAGGGAGGAACGTGCCCAGAAGATTGCAGACAAGGCGGAACGAGACAAGCAGACCAAGGGTGTTTTCACAGCTGTGTTCCGAGTGGAATCGTTAGCCGATGATCAACACCGCTACAAAGTCAATGTCAATGCACGCCAATTACACCTCACTGGCATCACTCTACTGAATCCTGATTTCAACTTAGTGGTAGTGGAGGGAGCTCCTAAAGACGTGCTGCGATACAAGAAGCTCATGATGAGACGTATACAGTGGACCGAAGCTGCACCTATTCGAGAGCAAGACGAGGGAGTCAAGGAACTGCCTGATCTCAGCAGGAACAAATGTACATTAGTATGGGAGGGTCAGCTTTTGGAACAGCATTTCAAAAAGTGGACAACTGAGAATACCGAAGACCAGGTTTCTGCCGTTGATCTGTTGAAGCGTAACAAGGTAGAGAACTACTGGATTGCCGCCAAGGGCGTGGACAAATGAATAACATACGTAGGGGACAATTGGTCACCTTGCATTGAATCAATATCAAATCAATATTATTAATCTCTTCAAAGTCTCTCTGACTGTATTCATGACAGTATTGCATTACATAAGTTCAGATCTACAGCTCGAATACAGCCAAACACGTTCAAAGTCTCCGCCATAAGGCTATATACAATTATATTTACACGTTTACTCGTTGATCTTGGCGAGAATCTCAGCATCTCGGAAGAGGAGGTAGTCCTGTTGTTAGTAAAGTTGATCTGGATGATCTGAGACGTTCCGCCTCGTGTCTTAATGTAATCGTATGGATCAGCGAGTGGACTTCTAGATGAAGGCATTGCAATCACAGAGCATTGTGTGTTACCAATGCATTGTCCTGAAGTCGCCACTGGGTCCACCATGACCTTGCCACAATAACAACGGCGTCTATAATTTCCCATGCAATTGATACTCACCTCATCACCAATCTTGATGGAAGATCCACCGAAAGGAGGGATCAGGACCTTGTCACCAGCCTTGACGGAGGGAGGGACAATGTCGCCCTTCATGTTGGGGGCACCGGGGCCGACAGCGAGGACGTTGGCCTCGTTGAGCTTCTCAACGTTCTTCTCGGGAATGTAGATTCCAGAGGCGGTCTGGGAAGCAGCCTTGATTCGCTGGACGAGAATTCGGTCGAGCAGAGGAGCGAGAGACTTGACGTTCTTGATGGCAGAAGACATTTTCGTTTTGTTTGGTTGTGGAGATGTGGGGAGAAAAGCACATTTATAGTTGTGGGCGTGGAAATTTCTGGATCTTTTGGGGTTAGGGTTGGTTGGTGTGTTTTGGTTTTTGAAGGCCGAAGTAAAAACCGTACTGTACCTGTAGCCTGGTTGTACTGTCGTACAATATACAGATATAGGAGCCAATGAAGACTACTTGTAGTAATTGAATATGGCTATATTACAAATTCTGGTTTCGTTCCACTAAACCTTTCGCAACAGGTTTCGCCATTCGTTTCCCTTTATAGTGCACGACTGTGACGCCCTCCTAAATGAATGACCCCAAACCTTGCCACGGTACAAGTACGAATGAAGACTAGGTAGTGGTAAAATGCATACAAATGTAGTACAGTACCGTACAGTGACTTTAATTTTGCATTTTCACAAGTTGTGTTTCAAATCAGACATCTCTTCATGGATCCCTACTGATACCCGCCCTTCTACTTTTCATGTTTATGGCCAATCTTCATTTTCTACTTGTGCGCCGTTCTTCCCCAGATTTTTAGTTATTAGTGCACTGCTGCGGCTTTTGACAGTTGACTCACTATCGTAATATTGCAGCGCTGAATTAACTCAGGATGCATCCGAACTTGTTCCGGCAGTACATACTTGTATACACTACGCCATACTCATAGACACTATTACAACATATTATTAAATGATTACCAGTCTAACTAGGCTGTCTGTTGCCCAACCGTCTCAGTTGCTTCCGCTCCTCGTTCCGAGCCAGAAACTTGGAAGTGGTGCTGGTAACAGGAGCCTTGGGCACAGCAGGAGCCTCCTGAAACTTGTAGGTGTTGCTACCGTATGCCGTGGGGAGCTGCTGCTGCTGGGGGGACGAATACATGGCATTAGAGTGGCCCACATAGTCGAAGTAAGGCGAGCCAGGCTGCGCAGCATTGGTGGGAGAGCCGAACGCAGCAGTGCCGTTGTTGATGTTGGGTGTGGCGGGGTTCGATCGAGCTGCGGCGGCGGCGGCGGCGGCGTGTCCAGGACCAGTGGTTGTGGACGTGTGGGTGATTGCAGAGGCTGCAGCAGCATTGGCGATCGAAGCATTGTGCTGAGCAGCAACAATCTCTCGGAACTCGCCATACTCGGCGGCCTTGGAGATGGCCCGAATCCACTCTGCTGATCCGTTGCTGTCCTCAATGTAGTAGACTCGCTGTTGGACCTCCAGGGCAAACACGCCACCGCCATTCTTTCGATCAGGGTAGTCCCGAATTCCCACGTAAGGAGACATCAAGTCAATCTCCACACGGATTCGCTTGTCGTCCATTGAAACCACCAAAGCTCTGCACAGGGTGGTGACGAGGAAAATTCGGCGCTTCTTCTTGGGGCCTGTAAAAAATTTGGACAGTCGTGTGTGGTGTTCCTTCTCCTCGTCCTCCTCCTTTCGGCTCGTGGCTGTACAGTAAATGTGGCCGAGCTTGAGAATTCGCTCGTCATGGGCCATCATCAAACCAGCAAACTCAGCATCAAGCTGGGAAGCAGCAGGCAGGAGGGGAGGGTTGTCGAGGTTGGTTCGAGGAGGATTTCCAGACAACTCGGTGGCATGTAGAACCTCTGCCTCCTCATCGTCTTCCTCATCATCCATCATGGTCTGGGTAGTATCGCCAGGTTGGACAGAAGCAGCTGTGGTGTCAGCAGCAGAAGTAGTGGGGACAGAAGCACTAGGACCAGGCACGGCAACAGACGGGATTCCGGGAACTGCAGAAGGTGCAGGAGTGTTCGATACATGTTGCTGCTGCTGGACCTCCTTGTGGCCAGGCAGGGCCTGATCCTCAGGCAACACCATGGACTGAACATGCTGAGTCTGAGGTGCAGTCTGAGGTGCAGCCTGGGGTGCAGTCTGAGATGAAGTCAGTGTAGGAACAGCGGGGGCCGAGGCAGGGGCAGGAGCGGTAACAGGCTCTGCAGGAGGAGGTGATGCCATTGTAGCAGCGGCAAGAGCAGGGTTGGGGAACCCTCCAGGCATCGTAGATGTGACAGGGGCAGCGGATCGAAACTGTCGAGATGCCATGCCTCCACCAGCTGAGCCTGTCGCGCCGTTTGATGCAGCAGCGGCGGCGGCGGGGGTTGCAGCGGTGGGACTAGGTGAGGACTTGTCAGGGCTCTGTAGTCGCTCTGTGGAGGAGGAGGGGCCAGTCTGACCAGCCCGCCGAGGACCAGATGTTTTGGTCTGCAGGTGGAGAGAAGTGTTGGATCCATTCTTCTTGCTGGCTCCTCCTGAATTGGTTGGGCTCAGGTCATTGTCCTTCTTGGCAAAGGGAGCCGAGGGTTTCATGGCCAGAGCTGCTGCGGCAGCATGGGCACTCTGCTTAGCCTGGGCCTCCTGTCGAGCTCGGTACTGCTGCTGCATGGCCTTGTAGTTGGGAATCTGCCGGGGAGCCATAGGCTGGACCTGGGTAGATGGCACGTGGGGAGGCATAGCGGCTTGTCGAGCCATTGGGTTGGAAGACTTGGCAGAAGGCCGGTAGGGCTGCAGCTTTGGACGAGCACCCTTCCAGATTGCCTTTCTGTCGTTCCAATCAACGCCCTCAAAGAAGGGATGGCTCTTGATCTGATCCATCTTGAGTCGCTGACGGGGGTTGACAACAAGCAGACGCTTGATCAGATCACGGGCAACAAAGGGGAACCCGGGAGGGTAAGACATCTGGCACTTGACGATCTTCTGAAAAGTCTGGTATTCGTTGCCAGCCTTGAAAGGAGGACGGCCAGCCAGCATCTGATACAGAATGCAACCAAACGCCCAGAAGTCAGAGGATTTACCAGTGGCTTTGTCTGTGAGAAGCTCAGGAGAAACATACTCCGCTGTGCCCACAAACGAATGCGCCTTAACATCCTCGGGGTACTTATCGGACACGGTTCCGTCAGGGTTCTTCAGAGGCTCCATGAGCTTTGCAGTACCGAAGTCAGTCACCTTGATTCGCATCTTGTCATCTAGCAAAATGTTCTCGGGCTTCAGATCACGGTGAACCACACCCTTATTGTGCATATAGTCGATAGCATCCAGCAGCTGCGCACCGTAGTATTTTGTGCACTCCTCATTGAGGGAGGTAGTTCGCTTGATCAGAGAAAGCAACTCGCCGTTGGCAGCATAATCAAGCACAAAATACAGAGACGACTCGTCTTGGAAGGTGTAGTAGAGTCGCACAATACCGGGATGATCGCCGAGTCGGTTGAGTGTGTTTTTTTCGATGTTGACGTACTTGACTTTCTTCTCCTTGATGATGTGTCGCTTGTCAAGAACCTTGATGGCATACTCTCGCAGAGTGTGTCGATCGATGGCTGCTTGTACCTGTGTTAGTTGAGTTTCGCCAGAGATACTTAAACAGTATCACAGTTGCTATCTCCCAATCCAATGCATGATTCTGCAATACTTACTGTAGAGTAACTACCCTCACCAAGGGGTCGCCCAAACGAGAAATCGTTGACACCCTTCCGGATAATCTTTGTAGTGGACTCGCCAGATGGAGTCACCTCAGTCTTGACTGCAGTGGCAGCACCCTTCTCCTTCCACTCCTCGGTGGTTTTGGGCAGCTCTGATGATGCCTTGGTAGCAACAGGAGAAGAAGCCTTGGGAACGTTGGGGGCAGCGTGTGTTGGAGCAGGAGGCTGCTGCTGGACAGGCTGTGTCTGAGGAATAGGTGGTCGAGGCGACACTGGGGATCCAGAAAGAGACACGGGGGAAGCCGCAGGGATGGTCACCTGAGGTCGAGGTTTGACATTGTGTGCAGTGTGAGCACTAGAGTGGGCAGTGACACTGTCGTTGTTAGTGTACTGAGGCTCATAACCCCGCGCCAATTGAGGCTGGGAATGCTGCTGGACGTGCGTTCCGGGAGCCACATGAATCTTCACAGGGGGCTGTGTCTGTGTAGGGGGTTGAAGCTGAAGGGGTGACGCAGGCTGCGCATGCTGTTCGGCCTGGGCCTGGGCCTGGGCCTGATCTTGAGCATGAGCCTGAGCCTGAGCCTGAGCCTGGGCCTGGGCCTGCTGTTGAGCCTGGGCCTGGGCTTGGGCATGTGCGGCGAGCTGTGCCTGGCGCTGTTGCTCGTACTGCTGTCGCTGTAACTGCTCCTGCTCCTGCTCCATCTTTCGCTGCTGTTCCAACTGTCGTTGGTGCTGTAGCTGCTCCTGCTCCTGCTCAAACTTCTGTCGCTCAAGCTGTTGTCGTTCGTACTGCTGTCGCTGATGCTCCCTCTCGAGCTGCTGGGCGTATCCCTGGGCGTATTGCTCCTGGGCAGAGTAGTCTCGAGTGTCGTCGAGGATCTCCCGAGAGTCTTCGTACTCATAGTCGTCGTCCAGCTCCTGGTCGGGCTCGTCGGGGTTGGGCTCCTCGGCTCGGTTTTGGAAAGCGGTGCTCATGCGTCTGGGGTCATGATGTAACCCCAGGCCCAGTCCTGCATGCTGCTGTTGCTGCTCCTCCTCGTAGTCGCTGCTAGCTCCGTCACTTGTCAGGTGCATGTTGGCCAGGTGTTGAGAGGTCTGGTCGTTGACGTGCTCGTGTTCGGTGTTCTCTACCATGCTCGTGTGCGGCTGTTGTTGTTCCCACCCAAATTGAGTTGCTACTTGGGGAAAGTTTGCGGGCGTGTGGGAGGGTGCAGCACCAGCGGCAGCATGGGCAGGAGCAGAAGAAACAGCAGGGGCAGCGGGGATAGCGTGGGACACGGGGCCGCCAGCTCTACCGGGATCCAGCGTTCGGCCGGGGTCGAGAGTCCGGTTGTAGAAGCTGCTGTTTCCTGCAGAGTCGGGGGCAGTTTGGGACCTGTCGGCGGCGGGAGTGTAGGGCTTTTCGGGGACTCCGTAGCTGCCCTGGGGGACTGCACCGGGGACGGTAGAACCGCTCGAGACATTTCTGGAGGTCTGGCCGCTGTGGGACAAAGAGGCAGTCGAGTTTCCGGGGGCGGTTGCGAAGGACTGCTGACTAACATTTCCCAGGTGTGTTTGTTGTGACGTCACCGACTGCATGCTAGTGTTGGCATGAGCATGGGAGTGGGAGGGAGAGTGAGCGTAGTCCTCCATGGCAGGCGATGTCGGGGCACTGCTTCCAGTACTGGAGTCTCCTCGTCGCTTGGAGTTTCGTCGTCCTAGCCCAGTGAGAGAACTCAGAGCCTTGGAAGAGCCAGAGAACCTCTTGCTGAGGCTGTGGCGCATTCCATGGTGCTTTTTGGGAGAGGACGGCTCGTCGTGGTAGCCCTCTCGGGTGTACGAAGACGTTGGCTGGAGATCGATGGACGACTGAGACGGGCGCGACTGGTGGCCCCGAGGGGGGGGAGCAAAGGCACCCGGCATGTTTGCGTATGTCTGCGGGGGGGACTGCTCGTCGTCTGAGCGGTTGAGACCCATAGACCGCGAGTACGATTTCGCAATCGACGGGGCAGGCATGGCTGTTTTTTGCGCTTGCTGTTTTCTGCGCAATTGCGTTGCGTGGGTGTATGTAGAAGGGAGCCTTTTTGCGATGGTTGTGTGCTGTATGTTTGTTGTGGGCCGACGATGCGCGATACCAGAGTTTGCTGGGAGAATGGTCTGTGTGGATAGGAGGGTCTTGTAGGGGTGTCTGGGCGACGTGGGGGACGCGTCCGCTGGTTATTTCGTCGCTGTGGTTTTTTTAAGGGGTCATATAATACTACAAGTAGTTACTCCACATACCTCACCTGTAGACTGATCTCTCCAAAACACACCTACAGTAGCTGTGACCCTTAGGCTCAGTATGCTAACTATGGACAAGTCTCCCCTATTGTCCCATCCATGCATGCAGGAAATGTACTTGTTTTGGCTACAGTTCAGAGACACTGTTGAAGTGCGTTAGCGTGTTTTGAGGATACCGCTCCGCCTGTGCTCCTAGCTATCTACTGTTACTCCCCGACTTGTTTTTTTGCACACAAACTCACGCCCACGCATTCGTCAATCTGGACACGTCACCGCACTGTGTTCCTGCCGTGTTGTTGTTTCTGGACCGTGTGAACTTTGGCGTCAGTTGAGTTACGAACAATGTGAACCATCATAGCCTGAGTTGAAACAGCTGGCAATATAATAATACAGATGCGTGAATTTTGGAGAGTGCTGTGCGAGGGCGTATTATAAGTGCAAGCTGGCATTAAGATCCGCTGACCCCATCATGTTAGTGTCCCAGCTTTTGAATACCATTGCGCCCATTCATCGACCCAACAGCAAGTCTTGGGCATGCAGCGCGGCTGGAAGGGCACGTGACACTGCTGCCGCCTGCCTTGCTATTATTGTCATCTCCCTGCATGGACGTGCAGTTCTGGAGAGGCTGTAGCAGTGTGTAAATGTGGTGTGACGCTTGCGAATCTCAACTTGTGGTAGAAAACAGCACCTTGTTCTCGGGCTTTTAAATTGGAGCAGTTTCGTTAGTTGGAGCCTGTGGTTTTTGCTGGCCGGACTGTCTCGCTTTGGGTGCATTCTCGCGTGGCTCCTATGACGTTGTGTCCCATAACAATATGTTTGTGCACGCAAATAGCCGAACCTAATTTTGACCAAAAACCATTTTTCTTCAGAAAACCATCACGACAAGTCGGATTTGTTCTAAAAATACGGCTGCAAGGAAGCAGGATGAGCAGGAAGAGCAGGATGAGCGCAATGAGCGTGATGAGCAGAGTGAAGTACGTACGAATATTTGGCACCGCAGTACCGGGAGCTCAATATCTTCCCCTAAGCCAAGGACCTGTCGTAAAAACACTCCAACAATAGCTCCTCCAACCAGTCGTCTGAGATCAACGACCACTGCCGGTCTCTTTGGATGTGCAATTAATCAACGTAAAAAGTATGTACGAGTTCTGCCGATCCAGCAATGTTCCAACACAGAAACAGAACGTCCAGCCCAATAAAAGCCGCATCGCAAGTCCCGAACGATAATGGCTAGAGTTTGGAACAAGCTATCTGAAGCAAGCGTCCAAAATTGATGGTGTTCACTTTTTCGGTTCATAGAAGACGTGTTTTTTTGTTTTTTTTTTGAGGGGTGAGGGGTCATCTGCAGTAACCAGAGGCTCCTCAGTCGGCCATAATCATCAGTTTTCTTATCAGGCCCGCAAAGTCATCTCTTTGCAACCCCACCTGATGTTTGCCCCACTGTCTTCCGTACAGTATGTACACTGTACCTTAAAGTTGTAGCCTCACATTAAGCCATCCAGATTACGCACCTTTGTACCGGTACTTTGACCTTGAACATCCGCTATCAGCCCCACCAAATCCAAAAAGAGACGAGCATCTGCCAATAAAAGCTGAAACAGGAAACAGCCGTCCCAGATTTGGTGATCTGCTACATTTGCTCGACGATACCGTCTCACTCTCGAGACCCAGAGATACCAGAGATACCAGAGTCTCAGTTACACAAATACCTGATACCCATCCGGCACATTACCCAGAATGTTGAAACCAACCTACATTGAGCCAGCACCATACAAGCTGGAGGAATTGACCATCGACCACAACGTTCCTCACTTCAGACAGTCATCCAAGTCCTACAACCCGCATCCCCAGCAGCTAGAGTTCAGAGGAAATTCGTTTGTGTCACTACTAAGAGCCCTGGACGGCCGCACCTTGGCGGAGACCCCGAAGTCCTCACCGTGTGTGTCTCCTGAAGTAGAAAGCTACTTTGCCCCATTAGTCGTTAAGAAACAGCGAAGAGATCGCGTGGTGACAGCTTTCGATACCCTTGAATCCTCAGAGAGTAACGGCATGTCGCCCCCAATGGTCAACTCGACTAGCCCCATCACTCCAGAATCATCTGGCCTTCACAGTACCATTCCGGGAAGTACCCCTTTCGTCGCAGGAAAGAAACCTATTTTAGAACGGGTTTCTGTCAGCAGCGGGGGACTCCCTGTTGGGAAGCTATTCATGGCAGACATTTGGCAGGATCAGGACCCGGAAACCCCAGACGTGGTGAACGTTTTGGTGATGGATTCCGGAAGCCCTGCCGTTGCTACGGCTAGTCCAGGCAAAACTGTGTCTCCATCAGATGCACTTGACATGATGATCAAATGTGGAGGCAGGGACGCCAGACTCTATCAGGACAGTGCTGCGACGGCTGGGATGACCACCACAACCCCCAAGCGCCACCGTGACCAGTGGAAGGCCAAATGGAGTGATACCAAGCGACATAGCAAGGACTTCTTCAAGAAAGCCAAAAGAGGTCGAGGAGGAGCTGCATTGAACAGAAGTGACTACTCAGAGTCTGTTTCTTCCCTTATGGAAGAGACCAACAATAGCTCCGGTGGAGCTAGGGCTCGCTTCAGCGGGGCCAGCGGGGGTAGCGGGGCCAGCGGGGTTAGTGGTGCCAGCCAGGCTAGCAGTACCAGTGCAGCTACAAGTAGTGTTGCCTGTTCTGACAAAGAGGAGGCCAATGGTCCCATTGGTATTAACTTCACTGATTTCAGTGGCGCTTATTCCTACCAGGACATGGTCACTGCTAGTGAAGGCACCCCGAGAGCGTGCCACTCGGATCATTTCGGCAGTTTGGAAGAGGACTTGGAGGACGGCGGAGAAGCCGAGTTGACATCTTCCTACGAGCATTTGTTCGAGAAAGAGTCACTTCGTACCAAGTTTTACAAGGTGTTCAAGAAGGGGACTTAGATGGGTTTAAGAGTGTTTGCTACTCATCTGTGGTACTGATCAACACTGGAAGGGAAAAAGAATATATATAAATATATATAAATATATAATATATAACACAGGTGCAAGGTAATCCTAGGTGTAGTGGCATACATAGTATGTGCTGTACTTTACTCATACTCGTGAAGGTTACTAATGAGATGCGAATTTGTTATATGCAGGTTTGTTATCACTCGTCGTAGACAATCTGCTTGTCAGTCTCCACGAAGTTGTTGAAGAACTCGATGAACAGCTTCTCTAGGTAGTAGATATCCTTAGATCCTCCAGTTTCTCGCACAGAGTGCATAGAGAGTTGGGGGTTACCAATGTCAATGGACCGAAGGCCCAGCTTTGATGCAAGCATTGGGCCAATAGTGGAGCCACAGGAGGAGTCGTTCTTGACGACGAACTTCTGCATGGGCAGGTTGGCCTTCTCGGCAATCTTCTGGATCAGCACCATTCCCACTCCGTCAGTGGTGTATCGCTGGTTTCCGTTGATCTTGATGACAGGTCCACGGTTCATGTCAGGTCGATGAGCAGACTCGTACGAAGTGGGGTAATTGGGGTGGAACGCATGAGCCTGGTCGGCAGACAGCAGAAACGAGCTTGCGAGGGACTGGTAGTTGATGGAAACGTCGGAGCCGTCGTTCTGGCCGGGAGCTCCTGCCAGTCGGCTGAGGACGGCGGGCAGGAAGTTCGAGTCAGCTCCCTGGTAAGAAAGAGATCCAACTTCCTCGTGGTCGAAAAGACCAATAACTCGAATAGATTCGTCCTTCTCAACGGTATCTAGGGACTTAATGAGAGCCTCGGTAGCACAGTAGGAAGAGACCTGGTTGTCCAGTCGAGGAGAGAAAATAAATTCGTCGTTGAGGCCTCCAATGCAGGACTTCTGAGTGTCGAAAAGGTACAGCTCAAAATTGTCAATTTGCTCGGGGGTAACATCGAGCTCAGAGGCTAGAAGACCCAGAAGGGCCGGGTCGTGGCATTGCTCCAGTGCCTGGTGAGGGGTAGCATCGGATTCGGACTCCACAGGCTCTTCCTCCTTCTTCTTGTTGAGATTCTTCTCCAAAAGACCAAGAACAGGAGTAAGATGCTGCTCCTTGTTGAACTCGAACTTCTCCATGACGGATCGGTCGAGATGGATAGCCAAAGTGGGGATCTTGAGGATAGGCTTGTCCACCTTGACCAGTCTGATCTGGGACTTTCCAGTGGTAGGATCCTTCACAAACACTCGACCGGCCACACTGAGATCTCGGTCGAACCACGAGTGCCATATTCCTCCTCCGTAGCACTCCACGCCAATCTGTAGGAAGTTGCCGCTAGGGCTTCGCTTGGAAACTGGCTTGACTCGGAATGTGGGAGAGTCAGTATGAGCACCGACAATGGCCATGGGATTACCGGGCTTCCACTTTCCACCAACGGTGAAAGCGACGATGGAGGATTCGTTTCGAGTCACAAAGTACCGCCCATTAGGCTCGATGTTCCAGCTTGCCTTCTCCTTGAGCTCCTTGAAGCCGTTCTTCACAAGACGGGCACGCACATCATGAACGACGTGGTAGGGAGTAGGGCAGGCGTTGACAAAGTCGATGAAATCGTTGGCGGCAGCTTTGAAATGCGACATAATTGTTGAAGGGCGACACAGACGGCTCATGGGGGCTTAAGTAGCATTCACAACAGTGCCGTATGATATGGGGTGCATAACCCTTACCCTTATTTTCCAAAGAGGAATGATTTGTCGATGAGATCTGAGTGATTGTTGCCAGTAATGACTGTTGGTTGTGTGTCTATCCAGTGTCCACATATAGTTAGCGCCTTACCTCACCTATTAATTGACCTGGTATTCACAACATGTTATTTCCCGAAATCGCCGTACCACCGGACTCCGAAACCCTACTATATGTGCTTGTTCACAGCATGCAGCTAATTACAAGTCGTGTAAGTACGATACGTGGATATTTTCAAGTGCAAGTTCCTGTACATGTCTGCCATGAACAAATTCTCTCTAGAGCTGTGTGTATCGAGTATATCACTTTGGGTGCCACTTGATTCTATAGATCAGGATTCTCACTATTTCATGGTCACTCCATCATCAAGTGCACTGTATGGTGGTTACGTAACATCTTAATTGTTCCAAAAGAAAAAAAGAGACCAGGGACGGTACCATTCATTTTTCGATGTGTGTCTGAGAGAGAGCTTCTACACGTCTCCATTTGTCCAAGTACCAGTATTCATCACTGATCATCGTACAGGTACAAGGTACAGCAGCCGGTTCTGGTATAATATATATATCTCCTGTAAAGTTAAGCTCATCACGTGACTTTTGGACACGAACTTGGTTTCCACAAAGTGCATAACGCGACATCCATCTTTCGCGACAGACACAACATGGTGAGCACGAGGAAAGGGGGGAGAGAGAAGTTATCCGGGGTTTGTGACGACATTCCCAATGAAGATCTAGGCCCAATGTGCCCTCTATTGGACAAGTTCATCGCTGCTGGTGACTAGGGTCGTGTCGCCAGCTGTTCTTTTCGTCTAACCTAACACAGCTCGATCAATTAGTTGGTGCCGGTATGCTCGCCGTGGCTACCATTGTTTTCGTTTACTACAGTTCGTGGACTTTCATTCTTGTGAGTATTGAGATGTTTCTGTTATCACATCTAGCCGGTTAGCCTGAACGGCTGAAGATGACAGATCAAAGGTTTGGTGTACCTTTGAGGCGAGTTAACTGCCATCCTTGGATCTGAAATCATTGCGACGTGTTCTCAACACCGTTTTCTAACCCAGCCCTTTGTGGATGAGTCGCATTTCCTGCACCAGTTCTTCCCTCCTCGAGTGTGGGCCATCCGAATCCCCGTCATCCTCCTGGTTATTGCTTTCGGCATCGTCGGCACTTTCGTCAGCTCCGTCATGATCAAGCAGTCCGAGAAGGAGAAGAAGAAGCTTGCCGCCAAGAAGTCCACCTAGGAAACACCCTTGTTGCGTGCAACCCAAGTATATACGTGACAGATTAATTAGATGTATTATTCAGGCGTCGCATGTGAGTAGTCCTTTTGCTTAGTCACCGTTGTACAGGTACCGAGTAGGCTCTACGGCTGGACTGTGGCATGATAAGTTAGAGAAACTGGAGCAGAGAGGGGGAGGGCATCTCCGATGGCATGTATGTACTTGTACTGGTTTGTTCTGACACGCGTACTCGGTGCTTTTCTGGAGATTCGCTTAGTGGTGCTCCTACTGTATATACAGGCCATCTAAGTTGCAAATGTGGTGGTTTCAGGTGATCTCGTGAGCACTTCGATAACCTTGCTCCCGGGAAATTCTGTCCAATAGATATCCAAAAAAGGTCCTCATCAGTGGCAAATAATGCACATGGAGCTACAAGTAGATGTGTTCGGTTGGCCTTCACGCCAGACATTAACACAAGCATCAATGAGCCCAGTCAAACCTCGCGGCCGAGTGGCATTCAAAACACACACATTTCCCAGATCACAATGTGAGCGGTTTAGAACAGGTCCGGCTGACACCACGGAGACCAAACTCTGGACGCGTCTTGCAAAGGACAGTAAGAAGTAATCTGTGAAATCCGAGACGGTCAGAGTGTGCGGGGTCGTTGAGCCGTGTTTATGATAAGACGCACACAAATCGTAGTCCATGGGGTGGGATTAGTAATTGGTACCACACCCACAGCATCAATTATGTACGTGCCAATAACCGGCATGATATAATCCCGAAGGATGTCGAATTCATATACAGGAGGCGCGTGGATACTTCAACGGCGTTAGTTATGTGCATGTCTTAAAAGCCTCGTACTGTTCGTTAAGTCGGCTTTTCGCCATGGTGTATGTGTTGCCTAAATAGGCACTTCTGAGCCTATTTAATGAAATGAAACTCTAATAACTCTATCAGGTGACGAGTACGTGAATTCTATTAGCGTCTTAGTCCAGGCTGGCTGGCGGAGGTATTTGGCTGTTCTTATAACTAAGCTGAAGCATTACAGAGGGGAAGCTCATCAGAGTCGTCTTGGTCTCAGGTGCCGGTTACAGCAGTAATTCATGTGCCACTGAAAAGTCTTGGTGGCAACCACATCCTCGTTCACAGAGGACCGCTTAGAGCCCAGACTGACAAACCACCTCGCGTACACCTCAACCAAGCAATAAGTCCTATAGACCCACCAAAAAGTTCCCCACCTGTGTAGGGGTGCAAGTCGATACTATGGCACCCGGTGGTCCCACCCCCCTCCCCAGTAGGCCTGCTCGTCGTCCAATTCACGGACTTACCCATCATAACGACTTTCGTCTCTTTTACGTGAGTTCTACCATTTTCACTCACGTCCAGAAGGAGTTAACAGCTCGGCTGGTGTGGCACACACTATCGTACAGGGGGCTAGCTCATCGCCACGCGTAGCTTACATCGGACGCCTACAGCATACTAATGCTTCTCCGGGAAATCTGAATACCGTTTGCTTCACCAGTTTGAATTCCAACATAAGTATACTTTGCTCACGAGCCTCTCGAGAAGGAGAATCTTATTGGATAACTCCTGGAAAAGAGAGTCCATTCTTGTGGTGGACACCGTTGGGGGGCTTTTATACATGTGGGGCTGTAGCTGGTGGAGCCTGGCATTGTACGAATAAACTGAAGCGGTTTTGCAGGGCCGAGGTGATAGATCAGAATGTATGCCGCGAATCCTGTGGCGTACCTGCCAAGAATTTGGCGATGAATGCTCAGTTTTATGTCCACTGGGCTTATTTTTTTTCATTTCCTGCCACATATCATTATTAGACTGCTAGAGCCTCACCAACGGGTACCATGACTGGGGTTTATACAGCACGCGCCTCGTGGCCCCGGACAAGGGCTTGGACTAACCAACAGAGATACACTTGTGGTTCCAGACGTGATTCTAAGTTGACATATCATGCATATAAATCCGAGAATTGCAACGATGGTGGGGAAGACTGTAGTTGTAGCCATAGGAGGGGCCCTCGAAACGTCAAGGGGGAGTGTTGTGCGGGTTAAAACACTCGGCTAAAGTTGCCCGTTTCTTTCAATTGTCCCCATAGCTCCCATTGTCGGCCAAAGTACCATCCCGTGCCGATGTCGTTAACATTTAGCAACCAAATACTCTCAGGGCGGAAGCACGGGTCTTCTGTAGCCGTGCTGAACGTACCTGAGCCGCAGTTTGGGAGAATAAATTTTTGCGTATCTGGTCTACTGCAGCGCCTCTTAGTTGGTGGAGGTTAAAGAATGACCCTTACAGATGAGTTTGGAACTGGTCCCAACACTTCGAGGGCTGTGTCGCCTTCAGCATTAGGAATGAGCTACTATTGTTATTTGTACCACACATACCGTACGTCTAACGTGGGGGCGACGCAGAGAACATGTGGTATCGTCGCCATTGTGTATTGAATTCGTGTAACCATGGGTTTGTGGTGCTCGGTGATATACCTGGTTCGGTTTTTCCTTTTTTTTTCTATAGCCAAGCATTCCTATGTTGCCCCGAGCTGCTGTTGTGTTCGTACCCTAATCAGCCGCACACGTGCGACCTGTTTTACTCCTGTCCAACTGAGCTACTGTACTTGGTACTGTACTTGTAGTGGAGCTTACAGAGGTCGATGCGCCGTTTAACACTTAGCAATTGCGGTATTAACCGGTTTAAACATGCATGTCAAGGTTCATACATAACTAAGCCGCTCTACCGCATCATGTGCGGCATACCGTAAAGCCACCAAACAGAAGTTGAATGAAGATTCAAGTCCGCTACCGATATGGTGAGAAGAGCCCCACCAAAAATTCGCGTAGTGAAGGTCAAGCCGCCCCCTGGTTCCCTCCGACTAGTCGTCCCTACTACCCTGCTAATTCCATGGACTTAAAAACTGTGTTGTGCTCAGTAGCCAGTTTTTTTAGTGCCGCTAGCCACGCGGTCAGCTCCCACTCACATCTGTGTAATGCTCTTTTGCAGCCTACAAGCAAGACCCAATCTGATTGCGGTATTTGCCAAGAAGCGGTTAGTCGAAATGAATTCCCGATGAGACACACGTCCAATGTGACTAGGCTTGAATTAGTTCGTAATGGCTATGTTTTTGTGTGACAAGGCTCTGAAGTTGTCACTGGTTGTCATTCAGTGCGTACTCTCAGCACCAACTGGGCAAAACCCGGACTTTGTTGGTAAGACCGCCAAACTCAAATATCCCTCCCCTTTGGCTAAGCTTCTCATCTGCGCTCCTCATCTGCGGGGGGATGTAGCTATTTGGCTTATAAAGTTCCCAGTCTTTTGTCCGAGGGAAAAAGACTGGAAACTTAAAGGGTACTAAAAGGCAAAAACGAGTGTTTTTTTAGTTTTTAGTTATGTCCGCCAAATAGCCAAAATGCTGGAAATCGAATAGCTTTATATATACTCTGGGGGTCCATCAGCGCCTCGCCATCAGAGAAGAGACATCTCATGAAAGTGTGATCCCAGAAACAAAACACAAGCACACTAAAACAAAAGAAGACTCATCATCATGCCTGACGCTCGACTCTCTATATCATCCCTGACCAATCAGGAGCCCACCAAGGCCTCTTGTACCGGATCTTGCCACCAGCAGATACTCCCAGACCACCATTACCCTCACACCCCCCCATCTCCTTCCGACGACGAGCATTCCCCCAGTCTGAAGAAGCGACGAACCAACTCGGGCTCCTCGCAAGACCTCCACTACCCTTCCACCCAGCATGTTCCCGTTTCCAACTGCCGAACGTGTACCCTTCCCAGTGTAGTTGGCCTAGGTCTGCCTAACCCTTCGCATCAGCATCAGCAACACCAGCACCAACACCAACACCAACACCAACACCAGCTGCAGAACCAACACCAGCACCAGCATCCTCCGTCTCCTTCGCCCTCTTCGCCTGAGACTGAGGCACGAATTCCCTCTCCTGTGGCTCTTCTGACTTCGCTCGCTCAGCCTCATGTATTCCCTACTACTTACCGAGCCCCCGCTCCTCAGCCCAACATGGGCTATTACGCCCCTCAGGTTCCTCAGATGCCCCAGGTGCCTCAGATGGGACAGGTTCCCCAGTACTACCCTCCCCAGCAGCAGTACTACTACCCCACTTCCATTCCCCAGCCTATGCCCCATCCTACAAGAAGAAAGAAGCAGTGTCCTCAGTGCCTGAAGTTCTTCTCTAACCTCGCTACCCACAAGTCTACGCATCTCAGCGAGGTGGCCCGACCACACACTTGTACCGAGTGTGGACGAGGATTTGCACGACCCAATGACCTCTTCCGACATCTGAAATCACATCGGGGTGACGCCCCATTCCGATGTCCTTTCTTCATGACCAAGGAGCATCAGGATGACAAAAAGGAGCCTCTGTGCCACCAGACCGGAGGCTTTTCGCGCTGCGATACTTACAAGAACCACCTCAAGGCCATGCACTTTGAGTACCCTGTGGGCACCAAGAAGAAGGATCGAAACGGCCAGAGCGGCTGTTGTCGAGCCTGTGGAATGCATTTCGACAATGTCGATGATTGGGTATCTTCCCACGTGGAGACTCGGCAATGCCGATTTTTCCAGTAGTTATTTATTATAGATATATGAAATTTGCAACATGAATGCTCAGTTTCCTTGTACTCGTAGTAGTGAACACCACTTGGAGATCTTGGTGTACAACGTCGTTTCAGCACTCGTAGTTCTTAGTCCCATATCTCGGAGTTATTTGAGTAGTTACGCTTTCTTGGCGCATCTAACTTTCGAGTATAGTTTAGCAGTGAGGCTGAATCAGATGAGAGAAATGAAAAGTCTTAGGAAGAACCAAGCAAAGACAGCGGAGCTCCGAAGAAGTGGCGGAGGTGTCGCGCCGTAGCACCAAACGACAAAGTTGAAACCGCGCAAGTTTAGAGACGTGGAAAAATTCTAGTCTCATCACCTAACCCTTCCAGCCTAGAGAGCCGCTGCTGTTTGCTTGCTGTCAAGCATTAGTGGCCGGTATCTGTCATCTTTGAGCCATTTTCCTGCTCTGTCAGCCGCCCTCAGTTCCAGCTGCATTAGACTCACAGTCCATGCGCTCTTGTGATGATACCCACATACGGACGTGCGATAGGGTTCTGCCTGCGGCTAAGTCGGAGCCCGGATACAAAACTGCGAAGAGCGTTTGACATGAACACAAAATATGGGGTCTGGCCAGATGTGGCCACGTCGATGGTATGAGACCTAACGGCAGGGCACGACTCCAAGAAAATGCCTCTATTGTGATTGAAATTTTTGTGAATTTTGTATGGGGACCATTCCTATTCTCTACCGGGACTCGGGCACGGCTGAGCTCCGAGCCCCGAGATGGTGAGACAAGGAGGGGCGAGGCCGTGCAATGTAAAAGTTAACACACCCAGACACATTCATAATCATTACAAGCCATCACCTTAACTGCTTGACGTGTGACAGCTAAAAACGTCGGACTATTGGTCGGAATGTCACATACACTAAAGTCTTGCACCGGCTGGGTGTCGATGTGGCCAATCAAAAGATGTAAGTTGGAGGAGGGGCCCAAAGTATACACCAGGCTATGTCTTCGTCTTTATAACAGGTAGCTACTTGTACTCATACGTGTAAGCATGTATTTACCGTCTGACATAAGTTTTCCCACTGGATGATCGCGGACCAACATTCATACAACCACGTACAGTACATTCTATTACTACTAAAGCATCACGGATACGGACCCCAAACGTTCAATACACGTGTGTCCGTATCCGCTTGTTTCTTGGCAGGGCAGGAATAGAAACGGTCACGTGACCCCACACAGCACACGGTTCGGCTCGGCCGGGGTCACCCTGCATCGGGTCCAGTGGGTCTATCATCCGCCTCCGGAGCGCCGTTTTCATTACTTTACAGTTGATGTGCGTGACAGCTGCTGTCAGATTCAGCCTTGCTTGCTTTGGTTGGGAAGTGGAAGAATCGGAGCGGGATGTCTATAATAGACTGATATGGGTCAATGGTTCCGAGGAGGCGGTGTCACGTACAATGCGCTCGGTTGATATACTGTGCAATAAGGTGAATCCAAACATCTGTTGATTGAATTGTCAATTCAACTACAAGGAGCATGCTGTTCACGGGTGATCGAGTTCAAATTAATTTTGCCCTTTATAGTCAATTGTAGATAGGCTTATCCTTCTCGATGAGTGATTATAAAGGGGAATGAGCTATTAATACGCCTGTGCCATTACTCCCCATGCCTTTTATTTCCATGTAAGTCTCAGGTTGTGAACGGTATTGTAGCTACTCATAGTCAGATACACCAGTCGATCCGTGCATATTTTTGCGTTTGCCGCATTAGCATCCTACAGTACAAGTACATACTGTTGCTGCAGCAGCCCTGAAGCGGCTTGCGTACCCAGAAGCCCTGTCTGTTGTCCATATACACCCGCCTTTCCTCTTTTCCAGAAAATACTGCTACTCGTAGTAGTAACACAAAACTGGAATTCCAAGCTTGGACTACTTGAAAGGAAATGCCTCTAGCGGTGTATGTTCATACCCTACAATGTATTGTACTGGTACTGTCCCAGTACGGGTAACAACATACTGTGCTGTTGTACCTTTGTTTTTATATCCTTCATGGAAACAATTGGCCTGGGTACAGTATTTGTACGATACTTATACCAACTCGATTAGTTCTGTGAGTTTGTGTACAGTAGTACATACTTGTAGATGCACCAGTGTGCGAAGTAATACTCCAGGTTTGTACGTGCATACAGAGGGCCGAGTATATAGAAAACCCAATAAAAAAGCGAGAGGAAGGGGATTCATTCCTGTATAATTCGAAATTTCCCGTACAAGGCATTAGTTGTATTTTTATTCATAGCTTATGCTATACAGTCAGTTTCCAAGACTCTTTGAGTAGGCGTGTACAGTACAAATCAAATACCCGTGGTACCTTTACGGTATGTACTCGTAGCTCACAGTGTAGCGTATGCCTATCATGAAGATCCTGGAGTGTCTTATGAAGCCCAGAACAGTCTATGAGGTATGTCACTGACAGCTCTTCTCGTCTGATTCTAGTACGAGTACCACCTGTACGTAACTTACAATCTCATCGAACAGTTATAGAGCCGGAGTTACCGAGGTACAGTTCGCGATATGTATAATATATATATATATATATAGGATAACGTTGGTGAGTTATCGTACCCAAGATGATGCCCATCCTCTCCTGGCTGATAACCACGCTACAAACTATTTGGTAGCCGCGCCTCGTTATAATCAAGAGCAGTTGGCTTGGATCATAGCTATGGAGATCCTTAGCCTGGCAGTTTTTACTTCCGGATAACCTTCGAGGTTCGAATAGCAGTATCGTAATTATCGCCGCGAGAAACTGCTAGAGAAGCAGAGGTATACCGAAGGAGTTGCCGAGAGATGTTGCCGAGAGATGTTGCCGAGAGATGTTGCCGAGAGATGTTGCCGAGAGATGTTGCCGAGAGATGTTGCCGAGAGATGTTGCCGAGATACGTGTAAATTTCAGAAATAAACAAAAGTCTGTCAGGAATTAATCGACACTTTTCTATAGATAAGATACCGTACCACTCGCACATTAAGACGATCACCACATGCCTGCTGCATACCCCAAGTATGCAAGTACAGTGCATACATGGGCGTAAATATTGTACGGCCCCCACGACGCTATGCGTCATAGTGGCCGTACAATGATCGATAGTACCGGTGCTCGTGCCGTACCAGTACTGTGGGGACAGCAGTAAACCATGGGTCTCGGCACTTGTGTATGTACTAGTTTAGCGGCCTATTTCAAATCCCATAAAAGCGCATACACTACTTGCAGTAGCCGTAGCAACGAATCAGTCCACTCACATACTCCTACCATGTTCCATTGAAGTTCCTTATCAAGTAGCGCAGAAAATGCGCAAGGGCGCTGATAGTTTGTGTACTGTACAGGTAAAAGAACCACCAGTATAACTACAGCATGTACTGTAAGTATGTACATACTGAATAACCAGACAGACGCTTTGCGTATTCAAGTAAATACTGTTCACGATAACGATGGCCACGGTAATACATGGTTCTTATAGTCGATATATATCAGACTAACACTAAGCTGTTGAAATTAGTGGTGACCCCGCACCGGCACAAGAAACTCAAGCTACCAGTAGACACACGTGCCCGTTGTTTCGTAGCTTGTTTCAGTAGTCGTCCATGTCTTGGTGTACAGTGCAATCAACCACAGTTGACATTGTGCTTCATCTTTATATTTCTTGAAATTTTGCCCAAGCATCTCTCTTATCGTAATCATTTTTTTTTTTTTTTGTTGAGGACCCATTTAATTTCAGGGTGCCAATACGAGTACCTCTTGTACCTCTTTTTCAAACTGGTGAAATTTCTCTTCTGAGACTTCCGTATGCTGATCTGTACATAATTTGGGCATCACTTGACAGAACGACTTCTACTTCTGATAGATATTCATGAAGCAACTGTTCTGATGTTTTAATACGAACTGACATGTGCAGCAACACTTTCATTTTTCAATATATCAAAGGTCGACGTTCCAATCCTGCGGAGAAAATATTCCCTCTCTGGACGAATAATGATTGACTAAGTAAACAAAGCCTGAAGTCCAATTTGCAGCCCGTGCATCCCATGAATAATCGACTATATACAAGAATGTGTGGAATGACGGAGGAAAGGACCATTGCACAGCATAAGCACATCAAGCTCAAGGTGACCCTCGCAAATCTCTGACAGAGACTCTCTGGGCTAGATGCCCTGGTTTTACCTTTTGTTTTCATGTCGATTTCGACTTACGAAGTATTCTTGTTGGAACCCCCCCGGCTAATGGCCGAAGAAACTACGCCGACGAAAGCCCGAATCGCATTGGAACTTGTATTATCAGGGTTCGATTCCCATGTATTCCATTTAAGGACCGAATTTCAGACACCGATTTTAGCCCGAATTGGAAGTCCCAACGTTCGAACCCCACCATAACATATTAACCGACCCCAGATTTTCCCCGCGCCGAAGTATGTCCGCGGTCAGTATAAGCTTATGCACTCCAAACCCCACACCAAATGGCCATACATATAAAGACCAGGGGGAGTGAGACCATGACATCTCCACAGATATCCAAAACACACACAAAACACGATGCTGAGACCTCGAGCTCCTTCCACCCTCCGTCGAGCTTCTACACAACTCTCGGCACGGCCACAGGGCATCACAGGCCCCCAAAGAAGCTTTCATCTCGCTTGCAGCCGACCCACTAGATCTACGACTTCGGAGGAAGACCGGCCTAAGTGGTTGACTCCCAGAAATGTACGACTAGGCTCTTTACCTTTCTCACGACTTCTCCAGGGTCATTCCCAGCGACTGTACTCGGGTTTGTCTACTCCTGGCATATCTGAGGTCACTGGCTGCTCTTCTCCAGCTCTGATTGAGTCCCACTCGTGGGACTATTACACAACACCAGCGCAGCGGGAATTGTGGGGCTCGAAGGGCGAATACCCTGCACTGATTTCAGCGTACCAACAGCCTGATATTGCAAACGCCATTCTGGATCGAACTAGCGATTACACAAACGAAACTCACCTCTCATTCTCGGAGCTGCTCAAGCTCTCTAACTTGTTTGCCGACTCTTTGTACGCCCACGCTCGTGAACAAGGCCTTGTTTTCAAATCAGGAGACTCTGTTGCGGTGTGTGGCGGTAATGTCTGGGAATACACTGCCCTCCAGATGGGTCTCTCGAAGCTCGGACTGGTGCTGGTTCCCCTCAACCCTGCATTTACGGCAAACCAGTTTGCAGCTGCCCTGGCCGCCACAGAGGCCAAGGCTCTCATAATGACCTCCCATCTCCCTGGTGGAAAGGACAAAGCCACTGGCAAGATGACCTTGAAGTCAGCTGCTCCCATTTGCCAAGAGGTCATCGACAACTTGAATGCTTCTGGCAAGTCGAAGCTGAAGCTTCTCATCAATTTGGCTTCCGGTGAAACTCCTGGAGCTGACACCATCAAGGATGTGAAGTTTCAGGGCTCCCAATCGGACATGCATGAAATCGTTTTCCAACACAAGAAGGCTGTTGCCAATGGTACCCTCCCTGCATCTGTACCCACCGAGATCAGACGACTCACAGCTACCGTTAACCCCGATGACATCACCAACATGCAATTCACCTCCGGAACCACATCGCAGCCAAAGGTGTCCTGCTTGACGCATCGAAACCTGCTCAACAATGGTCATCTCATTGGAACCCGGATGGGCCTCAAGCCTGCCACAGGTCCTGCTGTTAATGGAATTGCCCCCAACCAGGACCGTTTGTGCATCCCTGTTCCCATGTTTCACTGCTTTGGTCTAGTACTGTCTAACCTGGCTGCCCTGACCACTGGTGCTGCTTTGGTCTATCCCTCCGAGTGGTTTTGTGCTCGTTCTGCAATCGACAATGTTCGAAAGTATAAGTGCACTGGTCTCCATGGTGTCCCTACCATGTACGTGGCTGAGCTGGAGTATCTGAAGGACCTGGAGCTCAAGGAGGCAAAGGCCCCCGGGCAGAATTTCCTTCCTGGCTTTGAACTGCTCCGAACTGGTATCGCTGCTGGATCTGCTGTGCCTGGAGAACTCATGACTAAGCTTGGCCAGTCCATGAATCTCAAAGCACTCACTATCTGTTACGGAATGACAGAGACCGCTCCCGTGACTTTCATGACACGTCCTGACGATCCTGTCGAGAAGCGAGTTGAAACTGTCGGTCAGATTATGCCTCACACCTCATGCAGGATCATCAAGTCCCAGCAGGAGGACCTTTCTGAATCTGAGCTTGACTTCACTCCATTGGCCACTGGCCAGAAGGGCGAGATCATCACTTCCGGCTATGCGCTACAGAAATACTACAAGGACGATCCCAAAAAGACCTCTGCTGCTATGGTTGTCGATCCCGCCACCGGCGTGCGATGGATGCGAACTGGTGATGAGGGTTGCATGGACAATGAGGGATTCCTCAAGGTTACAGGTCGACTCAAAGATCTGATCATTCGAGGCGGGGAGAACATCCACCCACTGGAGATCGAAAACGTGCTTTTTGCTCACGATAAGATTGCCCAAGCATCTGTGGTGGGTGTTAAGGACCCCAAGTATGGTGAAGCTGTTTGTGCCTTTGTCACACCCCACGCTTTCTTCCACAAGGGCCACCAGCATGTTAAGCACGATGACTCGGACAAGCTCACGATTGAGCAAGTTCAGGAGTGGGTTCGAAACAAGCTTGGCCACTACATGGTGCCCAAGTATGTATTCTTTGTTGGCGATTATCCTAAGACTGCTTCTGGCAAGATTCGAAAGGTGGATCTTCGAAAGACAGCTGAGTCACAGCTGGGCCTGTGCTAATTGGACAATTGCATGAATCGTACAGTTTTCAGTTGGATAAGTTATATCGTGAATGCATAAATGCAACACTGTAGTACATACGTGTACTTGTACTTGTATATTCTTTCTTCAAAACACGCATGCATAGTATTTTGTCTTCTCTGTTTTCTCTGTCTTCTCTGTTAATCAGCTACAACAACAACAACTTCATGTATTAAGCCATTGTGTACTCGATTGCCATACCTATAAATATCTCGCACGTCTGCGCTACAGGTACAATACTCTCACCGTACGAAGTAGTATCCCCTCACTGCCATCAGTATTTCTCCAACAGGGCTGAGTAATCTGCGCACTTCTTATGTTCAACCCGAGAACTACCGATTTTGATTCCATCCACCTCCTCCATAGGCATCTCTGTAATATCAGCATTACACATGACGTACTGTCGAAGCTGGTCGATGCAGTGCTGTCGCTGTTTCCCTAGACGGCCGAGTTCCTCAATTCCAGCTTCAGGAAAATAAAAGTATGGCGTGCACATCTTTCTCAGGAAGTCGAGACACCACATTTGGTGATAAACACTTAGCTGGGTCTGCTTATCGTTGATTGTGACGTGCTGGTGATAAAGCTGTTCCCATCTCTTATCTTGTTCGTCCGAGGGCAAACCCACATAAGGCGACGAGGAATTTCCGTGATACACATCATCAGTGAAGGTCACGGAAATGTCCATTCGAACACCATCAGATTCGTCCTTGCTAGTCTGCTCGCGTAAGGTCCAGGGGTTGGAATAAAACACGCCCAGAACTGCGATGAGAATAGCCAGCTGAACGAAATGCACCACCCAGTGAATGGTATTTCTGTTAGAACGCGGTTTGCGCGCAACATCTTCTTGAACCTCGTTTTCTTCGCCAACTGGCTCGTACTTCGTTTGTGTCATGGTTGATGAGAAAACCACATGGACGAGGGTCTGACGAATGCGCTACCACTGAAGCTAGCTTACACGAGCTTATCTAGGTGTGAATGCAGGGGGAAGCAGCTTAAGGGCACAAAAGTACAGTACTGTACTAAAGCCAGAAATGTACTGTACATGTACATACATTTTCATAGCCCATAGCTGTCATGGAAGGAAAATTAACCAGAGGACCTCGGTAAGTACAAGTGAATGTGCAGTGAGGCATTCGGTTATAGACTGTTCGCTTGTGCTGGCCCCTCTGACACCTCAACCTTAACGACTGCCCCTGGAATTCAAGTCAACAGAGAATTGTCTATATTTAGCACATGTTTGTCTACGTACTTGACTTGATTATCCCTGGCAAACCCGTGGCTATTACGTGGGGCGAAAGGGATATCACACTCATTTCTGCTAGTTTGAATTTACCTCTTCCAAGCACTCGTACTCGTACTTGTACATACTTCTGTAGACTACATTACATACAGTACCTCAATGATGCAAGGAGTCTCACGAAATGCATGCGCAGGGATGTACGATTCGGTATGTACATGCTCGTACGCGAACTACTTGTACATACATACGACTTGGATGAATATAAATTCGATGGATTTACTATTACAGGTGAAAACCACGAATCTCTCTCTAGCCACTGGTACCATGTATACTACAGTATATACAGTGTACTTGTACTTGTACTTCGTCATGTGCATACTTCAATCAGCTCGGAGATATAGCTTACACAGAGACCGCGTCTGGCCACTGGGAGGGGGCGGGGGAACGAAGCGAATCTTAGAGTGGACTCAAAGTCGTGGGCTGTGGAGTGAAATGAGAAAGGTACATGTACCGTACGAGTGCCGGTACTTGTATCTTGTACATACTATACTTGAACGAGTAAATGAACCTATCGCCACTCTGTACTACAAGTACTCCGACAACACGACAAGTTACCTGTGCACAAGTATGGTGGGCTTACACATTCATAGATAAAAAAAGACGCCAGGCTTTTACTGTACTTGTACAAGTAACTCTTTTCTGACAAAGGAAGGACGAGCACACATTTAGTGATGTCCATACTTATACCATATCTGTGTGCGCTTATGTTGTCCCTGTAACCATATACATAAGGCTATTCTTTTTGTAAGTTCTGAATAAAAAAAATAAAAAAATTGCGCCCAATTCTGTCTACTGTACTTCTACTTGTACTTGAACGAGTACACACAGTACTCGTCCTACATTGTAACGGCACTTATATGTATAAAACTGACGTAACAGACCTCCGTTCTTATTAATCAGACACGTCGTTCTTTTATTAAATAGCATTAAGGTTACCATTTTCAATATGCTTACTAACGATCAAACTTGCACCACTCACCTCATCATCATCATGAGCGCTATCATCTGGACCGGAAACATCCAACAAAACCCTGTGCAGCCTACGATTCCTCTGCCCAGTGTCCTAGCTGACTCTGTTAAGGGACACGACCTTTCGGTCTCGTCGGTGATCAAGAATAAATCAGTGTGTGATTTCGCTGTCGGCTCGGAAATCACAGGCAAGCTGTTTCTGCCCAGCACCATTACTGTGGAACAGTGTTTTGATTTTGTTACTGAGGCCATGCAGCCTTTCAAGGCTAAGGGTGCTTTCAAGTTTACTACACTTATCATCTCGATAGAAGGCCTTGCCTTCTCAGACGAGGTGGAAGAGATGGACACGTCGGCAGATACTGTGATTGCGCTGTACAAGGCCGCCGCCAAGGCTGCTGCAAAACTGCAGGTTGTGGAGCATTTTGGCGTGTGTGAGTTTTCTCAGGATTTGCTCGAAGCCTTACTCAAAAGCATAGAGCCCGAATTCAAACCTGTGATCGACCATATCAACGCTGCTGATTGTTGTGTACTTCCCCCCGGCTTGATCAAGCTATCAACTCGCGAAGGCATTCGTCTGGTGGCTCACCACGACCCTGAAACATCTCTGAGCGTCAGTGATCTGGCCAAAGTAGGATCAGAACTAGGCGTGCAGTTCAAGAGATGGGACTGGATTTTGAAACTCACGGCTGTGATTAAGGATAGACAGGTGCTACATGGAAGCGAGTACGTCGTCAAGGCTGTGTATTAAGTTGACGGTCCAAATTACAGGAAAAGAACGGATACGACCAAGGCATATATCATTACACGGGCCATGAGCGTTATCGCTTGTTTGGCCAGCGCAGCTACCATGGATGCGAGGGTAGTTGATGGCTTCTTTTTTTGTTAAAGGTACAGCGTACAGTGCGTGTGTACCCGTAACAAGTAGAATACTAAGGATATCTCAATAGATTCATGCATCCCTATAAAGTAGCGTATCCTCGTCGCTGGTTGGCTCTACAAAGGTGTCTAGATGCCATGTTGAGGCACTAGTTCGATTCATGTACATGATCGTTGCTATTACAAGTACAGTACGGTACCCGGTTCATTACTACAGGTACCACAAGTAGTACACTGTACATACTGTACTGATTAGTGCTTACTCTATAATTATTTTCAATTTGATTTCCCCACTGATTGGTCCGAGACTAAGAGATAGTGATCCAATGGCTCATACGTGGCACGGTTGGTATCCATCAAATGTCTTACCACAGCAGAACTAGCTAAGAAGCGTTAGGTTACAAATTTTCTGCCGTCAAATCAACGATTACGTTGAGGATAGCCACCACAACCTCGACTGCAATCAGCACGATAACAATAAACTCGAGGTACTCGCCGTGCGAATGGCCCAGTTGCTCCTTCAACATAGAGAGCAAGTCTGAAATTACTTCGAGACGATTGTTAAGTAGGCTGACCCGTTGGTTGATCTCCAAGTATCCGCGGGTGGCTTGGTAGATCGGCTCCAAGTGCGGCTCAGCCCACATCAGTTCGGGTGAATCAAGAATGGAGCCATGTAAGTTGATGTTGATTCTCAGAATGAATAGCTCACCTATAGATTTGATAATATCGCTTCGGTCCATATCAATCTTACCTGTCACAGCAATCTCCTGGGGGAAATCCTGGGTGTCTTCAATGGTGTTTTCGACTAGTTCTTCAAACAGCGAGATCTTGGCTGACTGCGCAATTGCGTGTGATATCGAGAGTTTCATCATGTAATTTCGTCCGTCCCTGAGAGTAATGAAATCGTTGTAAATTCGAGGCTGATACGACTGTGTGATGTAGTAATTGAACTCCTCGACCTGGACATCCTCGTCAGCAAGTTTCTCTGTTTCGAAACGAGCCAGCTCCTTGAGGAACCGCTTTTCCTCAGCTTCTGTGAAACCCCACAGAACCACCACACCATATTCAAACAGAAAAACATCAGTTCGAGTGATAACGACATCAATATCGCCTCCCTCGTCATCGATTCGAATGAAATCCTCCTGCGCAGAAATCTCTTGGTCCCGATACGAGTAGGGCGTGTAAAGGCACTCATCAAACAGCTTAGGATGAGCCCGTCTGTGTTTCCGTGATTGAAGGTACTTTGTTATGTCACGCATTCTATACGAAGACGCTGTGCAGTATGCAGTGACTCTCGGAAGTAGATCTCGGTGTGCCTTGCCTAGCCGCTCGGCGTCCTTACGTGCGGGGGGATCTTTGATTCGTGTGACTTGGGAGTACACCTCACGACCACTTTCGTCGTCGTCGTCACGGTCGGGCTCTTCGGGTAGCAATTTGAGCTTTTGTGTCGTTCTCGATGTTCTTTGAGGTCCAATTCTGTGGTTAAGCTGAGGCGGAGTGCTCTGGTCCACAGGTGGTCTTTTGCGAGCTGTCGCAGAGCTAGATGCATTTGAAGATGCGCTGGGACCAATGACGTGAGTCTTGAGAGGGCCTCGGGTAGGTGCACCCAACAGAGGTTGGTTTTCAGACATGTTGTGATGTGATGAGGATGGGTTTTAGACGTTGTCAGTTATTGTTTGCGCACGCATGCTGTGCGTCGTGGATTAGGGTTGGTTATATAGTAACCAGGATGTAGTATTTGTGTAACGTAGTACTTGTTTACTGTAGTGACGTACAACAATGAACAATGTAGGGGCGAGAAATAACTCTTAAGTCATTGTAGTAGATACAAATATTGATTTGTCATAATCCAATTCTTTCCCAAAAGTCCATCTTCGATATTGTAGTATGTACGTTCAAAATGTCGTCCTGTTGTCCAGATGTACACAGAGGTCATAGTCCTTGTTTTCCTACTGATTAAGACTTCCCAGTCTCTCAGTAAACAACATATTAGATATAGTATTGTACTGCAGTTACATATTGCTGTTTTGTAAGCATTCTCCACCTGCTGGTTAGGTAACCAAGATATGTAACTGGTGGCTGACTAATCCAAAATGCAGCAGTATAATTATATTAAGGTTACCGGTATGGAAAGGAGCCTATCGATGATAAAAAAAAAGTAAAGAAGAATATACCGTGGTTGCCTCCAATAGATAGCAGTGTATTCTGATATTCTAATATTAAAACTCGTTTACATGAACATTTCATTCTTTTGGTTAGCATCCCCGTACAATTGCATAGAGTGTGGAACAGACCCACCTATTCTGCGTCATCAAATAGAGTTTATCTGCAGATGCACAGATGGAAAAAATTTGGCGAACTTCTTCCTTCCCTCCCTCCATCCAACCAACACAGCAAAATGAAATACGTGGTTGTCTCTGGAGGTGAGTAAAAACAACGACAAGGAGAACGGCATAAGTTTTGGAATGTGATTACTAACCTAGGTGTCATTTCCGGCATTGGTAAGGGTGTCTTGGCCTCTTCCACTGGCCTTTTGCTCAAGACCAAGGGTCTCAAGGTCACATCCATCAAAATTGATCCCTACATGAACATTGACGCCGGAACGATGTCTCCTCTGGAGCACGGTGAGGTTTTTGTTCTCAACGATGGTGGTGAAGCTGATTTGGATCTCGGTAACTACGAGCGGTACATCAACGTCACCCTTACTCGGGACCACAACATTACCACCGGTAAGATCTACCAGCACGTGATTGAGCGAGAGAGACGAGGTGAGTATCTTGGAAAGACTGTGCAGATTGTTCCTCATCTCACCAACGCCATTCAAGACTGGATTGAGCGTGTGGCCAAGATTCCCGTCGATGACACTGACGAGGAGCCTGACGTCTGCATCATCGAACTCGGAGGTACTGTTGGTGACATTGAGTCCGCTCCTTTTGTTGAGGCTCTTCGGCAGTTCCAGTTCCGTGTCGGTCCTGACAATTTCGCACTCATCCACGTGTCTCTCGTGCCCTTCATTCACGGTGAGCAGAAAACCAAGCCTACCCAGGCCGCCATCAAGGACTTGCGATCGCTGGGTCTGACCCCCGACATTATTGCATGCCGATGTCAGGCTGAGCTTGAGGCTAGTACAATCAACAAGATTGCCATGTTCTGCAACCTTGGTCCCAAGCAGGTGCTTGATGTGTACGACGTCAACTCTACCTACCATGTTCCTCTTCTTCTGCAGAAGCAAGGAATTATCGACTTGCTCACCCGAAAATTGGCTCTCGACCAAATCTCGATCTCAGGAAGATTCCGAGATCGTGGTAATGGTCTGCTCGGAAAATGGCGACAGCTAACTACTCAGCATGACCGGTCGTTCGAGACTGTTTCCATTGCAATGGTTGGAAAGTACACACATCTTCAGGATTCTTACCTATCTGTCATTAAGGCCCTGGAGCACTCCGCCATGAAGTGCCACCGAAGACTCGAGATTCTGTGGATTGAGTCGTCCGACTTGGAGTCTGAGTCAGATGAGAAGGCAAAGTACCACCAGGCTTGGACTAAGTTGTGCCGGGCAGATGGTATCCTTGTTCCTGGTGGTTTTGGCACTCGAGGAACTGAGGGTATGATCAAGGCCGCAAACTGGGCCCGAGAAAACAAGAAGCCTTACCTTGGTATCTGTCTGGGTCTTCAGATTGCCGTCATCGAGTTTGCACGAAATGTCTGTGAGCTTGATGGGGCCAACTCGGAAGAGCTGGACCCTGAGACCGAGACCAAGGCTGTGGTTTTCATGCCTGAGGGAGACCGAGAAAAGCTCGGAGGTACTATGCGACTTGGCGCTCGAACTACTGTATTCCAGCCCGGCTCTGAGAAGTCTAAGATTCGAAAGCTGTACGGCTCTGCCGACAGTGTCGAGGAGCGACACCGACACCGATACGAGGTTAACCCTGAGCTGGTGGAGACCTTTGAGGCTGCCGGTCTCAAGTTTGTTGGCAGAGACACCGCTGGCCAACGAATGCAGGTGCTTGAGCTTGATAACCACCCTTACTACGTGGCTACTCAGTACCACCCCGAGTACCTTTCCCGAGTGCTGGATCCTTCTAGACCTATCTTGGGTCTCGTGGCTGCTGCCTGTGGTAAGCTTGATGAGATCACCAAGGGCCAGTCTGCCGAAATTGCCAGCGGTGAGTTTTAACCCTGGCCAATAAATTGGGCTTACTGTATAGATTTAGTAATATAATAACTTTTGATTTTTACTACTGTGTGCTCTCAAGCTCAACACTGGAGTCCACATACTCTTGACGATCAACACAAAAGGTAAAAAAATGAGTATTTGCAGTCTGTCTTAAGCTGCTACCATATTTTACAGGTAATGAGTTATTTGCATCATGCAGATACGGTACACATTTGCAGACTTTTGTTGAGAGCTTGGGCGGTCCTGTACAAGTAGATCTGATAAGGTTACTAAGGTCTGTTATCGTGCATAAGACGACCAGTTACTGGAACTCTAAGGAGTGGCGATATGAACATGAGTAGAAAGTAACAATGATTCCGTTAGCTCCTATCATAGTACTTGTTAGTATAATAGAGATCTGGATCCATCACTATCTGCAAAATCAGCAGTAACAGAAAGAAGACAAAACGAAGTTGAAGAGCTTCTGCCGCCAAGTATTCCCGTATGCGGTTAGGGTGAGTTAATGATGTGCTGAGTCTTCTGGGTTTGTCCGCCCCTTTTCTGATTCCCAAGGATATCTTTGTCGGCCGCCCGAGACCAGTTTTCTAAGAGTCTTGGAGACCCAAAGGTTAGAGAGGTGTGGCACAGGAAAATGGCGTCGCAGGTGTGTTTTTGCTGTCCTTGGTACTACTAATAAAATGGTCATTGCTCGCATCAAAAGCTCTCTTGTGCTTCAAGAAACCACTGGCCTGCACTTTGCTGAATCTCATCACTATTACCTTTACCATCGCCGAAATTGGCTACCACAGCACAGGTATCGAGACGTCATACAACAAGCCACCACCTGGAGCGAATATGTTGGAAATGAAGCACCCAATCTGAATGGTACCTCAGATACTCACAGATGAGTCCATATTAATAAACTTGAAAATCACAAGATATACTCGTGCACAAGTAGGTACAGTATGTACATACTGTACCTACAGAAGTGTCGAATCATTTCTGTCAGCAGTAGTCTGAAACTTGAGAGAGGAATTATAGCCTAAAATATGATATCAATTTAATTTCTTTACAAGTCCATTATGTTGGGATTTACAAAAACAACCATTGATCACAGCATTCCTTTTATATTTGGTGACTGTAACTTTGAAGAATCAGTAATCTGATTCTGCTGAACTTCTCACTTAGAAAGCTTCTCGATCCAAACATCCACGGGTGTAGAAGACTCAAAAGCAGGATCCACAATTCCATTGATAGCAACAGTAGGTGTCATGTGGACACCATTTTGTCGGTGGAATCTGACGAAGGGCTTAAGATCATTAGTGACTGCATTGCCGGTGTTGGATGGCTTGCCATCCTTTGACTTTCCGACGGTCAACAGCTCGAGGAACTTCGACTCCTCGACTCCAACTTCGGCTGCCAGCTTGGAAAGTCTTTTATATGTCTCACCACGAGTTTCATCAGCGCACTCTGTGTCGAAAAATTCGGGCTGGTGATCGAACAGGATCTTAGCGAACTCCCAGAATTTAGAAGGTGCGAGCTGGCCCACAGCGAGAGACGCCTCGTGTAGCAGAGTGGATTGAGGATGCCAGGGCTGGGGAACGTTTCTGAAGACAAATCGCAGCTTTCGACCCTTGACCTCACCAACTCGTTCGAACAAGGCGTTTGTGCCAGGGTTCTCAATCTTGTCCCAGATGATCTTGGAGAAGGGACAGTTGAAGTCGACGAAGAGGTCAACATTCACTGTTTCGTCTCCAGAGCCAAGCTCCAGGATGTGTGACGCAGCGTACTTGGGGGGGAGGGCCATTGTTGGGATGTTGAAAGAATTGTGGAAGAACAGGTCCTACGCAGGCGGTCGTGGGGTTATATTGCTGTGGCTTATGCATACAGAGCTTAAATAAGAAACTTTATTACATATGTATTAGCTACCTTGTGGCTGGCTTCTCTGTGGCTGGACGTTTTAAGAATATACTAATACAGATATGACTGTCTCTGTATACACACACGTCAAGAGACAAAAAAATTATTCCTTATTTCACTTCTTCTGTTGTAAACCACTGTAGCAGATACCCCACCGTACGTCTGTAATTCTGCTTTGCTCTCATCTAGAGTCTAGACCATGTGGCTGTGCATTAACTTCGCTGCACTACTGGACTGTGGCGTGCATATGTGGCTGAGGATCCACCCTTCAGAAATCATATGTGCGGACAATCACCCAGTGGTGAAGTTGGATACATACTTTTCCACGAGGAAAACCTGTGTGATTGTGCTTCACTAGAATTCTTGAGGCAACCGAATTATTGCACTCGCATCCCCCTGTCCACTCAACACTAATGGATATTACAGCACCGTCGTGATGTCTACAAGATGTGCATGTACATACACTGTACATACCACAAGTACAACGACATGTCAAAATGATTATTTCCCTTCAGAAAAACAGATATAAAACTTCCTCGTCGTCCATTTTTATCGTGAATCGCTGTAATGGTCACTCTTCGTTATCCCTTAAAGGTTTTGACAAAATGTGCAAAATCCGCCTTTCCTCCTAAGGGTGGCACGGAAAAATGTCCGGATTTGGGCGTTATTCAGGTTTGCTGACTAAGCAGGTTTTTGTAAATAGCTATCATATAGCATTACAAACTGTTCTGTGCAAAATTTCAGGGCGTGGCCATTCCAATTATATCACCGGTTAATCTTCCCGTCATTTTTAATATGTTTTCATCCTCCATCGAAATCGCAAAAATAATATTTTACCCCCAAATCGGACATTTTTGATTTTTTTTCTGAAACTCGAGTTTGGCAAAGCTTAATTATTTGTCAAAATAGACCCAGGTTTCGAAATTTTGGGATTTGAGAAACGAAAACAGAAAGAAAAAAAAGAGAAAAAAAAATCGACAAAACACAAGATACTGTACAAAAAGAAGTTGGACTAAAGAAAAGAACTGAGACTGAAGGGGAAAAAATGAAGAAAAAAAAAAAGGAACAACAAAAAAAGTAGGACCAAAAACAAACGATGAGGGACAGCATTGTATCGAAAGACATAATGGACAGACATAATTAGTCCAACGAGAAAATACATCAGGAATATAATTGAAATACGCAGAAGATGTTGAAGGTAATACCCGGTGGGTTAATACCTGGCTAATTCCTCACATAATGATGAGAAGTCACCACATAGTAATGAGAGGAATCAGCTGGGTCGTAGACGAGATGTCCATCCTGTAGATAGTTTTATCCACTGATCTAGAATCTCTTTTCTGGTGAATGAGCAAGCACACACCCTTCTGGTGTGTGCTACTATCGGAACGTCGTGTCCCTAGAAGTGGGTTGTAAGTTGTTAATTAACTATATCACATCAATAATACTTATGATCTTCAATACCTTGTAGTATTTAATTGAAGAAAGCTTGCAACCAGAGTTTTGGAGGTTCTACCTGAGTCGTAGGTAGAACTTCACCATTAAAAAATTAGTAGGCACGCACAACCCCAACGGATGAGATTCGTTTTAGTCGATATATATCAAAAAATTATATAAGCAAATCTCTCTGAATCCATCCATGTGAAAATGGATGACTAATTTCCTATTGCACACAGTATGTACATGTACATCAGTCTTGTAAGTCGCCTTCCTCTAAAAGTGACTTCGATGGGCATTTTTTTGTGAGGCTCAAGTGTTACCGATACCCCTACATTGTACAATACACATTTGAGAACTGTATGTACAGACTGAACAGGTGCAAGTGTATAGCGGCACTTGTCTTATATTTCACGCTACATGTACAGTAATATTACCTCATGTGGGCACTGTATGGGTCACAACAAAATGCTTTATTATCAATTAGGGTATAGCTACCCCGTTGGTAGAAACGACCAACACGACTTTGCGTGTTTTTTTTTCCTCGGCGCTCACTCAAAAGCTCTTTCGCTTTTCATCAATTCGTGGTACTTCTTGGTGCTCTGTGAAGTTCTTCGGCCCTCGACATACTGCATCATCTCAGAATAGCTCTCAGGGACGACATCGAAAAACGTATCCTCCACGAAATAGGAGTATGTGAATTGACCAGTATTGGTTGTAGTGTCATGGTCCAAGTCCTTCACAGTCGAGTCAACTCGCACCTGAACAAGAGTACCAGGCTTACTGTTGTTGGTGAATACCTCAGTATCGTTATCCTTAGTGATCTTAATTGTGTCGACAACGGTGGCAGTAAGATAGCAGACGGATCCGACAGGTACAGGAGCTCGGAATGTAGTTGAGTCAAGAGAAACGAATCGAGGTGAAGAGTGGGTGAAAGCGGCGGCGCACGCATAAGCAAGCTCGAACGTAGTTCGGAGAAGATAGCCACCGAAAATCATGTACGAGTGACGGTTTCGGTACTGGGGCTGCATTACCTGGGTGGAGTGAATGACTGTGTCAGCCATTCGCTTGGTATGTGCGGGGAGCGTCGGCTTATCTCGAGTTTCGATCCACATATCGTGAATTAATTTGGCCTCTTCTTCAGTAGGGGGTGCGATAGCAAGATCATGAGTCTTAGCAAGCTCCTTCTTATGTGCGTTGAACTTGGAGGCTCTTTCGAAATCAGCCCGCTCCTTCGCGTTTCGAGGAACCAACCGGTTGATGGCGAACGATTTCTGGGTCAGTGGATCTCGAGCCACGAACGTAAATCCCGCTGTAAGGAACACATCCTTGTCCTTGATCTGGTTCTCCTTCAGATCGTGAAGCTCAGAAGCAGGTGTGGAAGTCTGGGCTGCCTTGATAGTAATCTCCATTGAAGATCGGCCAGTCCAAGTCACATGACCACTGAGAGTGATGTTCTTATCATCCACTTGGTCAAGTCGTTTGAGAATCGTCACCCGGTCAACAGACGCTGTCACGATCATGGGCTCGGCAGGCATACAATGGTTATGGGCAATGACTCCTGCCAGTGCATCCAAATCCTGGAATATCTGGCCGAATCTCAGTCTGCCAAAAGAATTGATGTAGGCATCGAGGAACCAGGGGTCATCCTTGAAAGGCAAAATCACGTAAGAAAAAGAGTCATCTACAGTCCTGTCAGACACCTTCTGATCGCTTTGAGATTTGTTGAAATCAAAAGACAAAGTTGTAGACTTGCCTGTCTTGGGATCACGTGACGCCTCTCGCGCTCTGTACGCTTCCAGCCAAGTATGAGTACGTCGCGTAGGACTAATTGATGGCTTAGAAGCCACAGGCTGGAAGAGATGAGATCCGTCCTCGGTCTTGTGGATCATGACTTTGGCCTGATTGGTGGGCGCGGAACACGATAGGGCTCGGCTATGGGCGCTTAGTTGGATAGCCCGGTTAAACGGAGTTCTCAGTCGAAGCATTGTTTAGGACGATGTGTACTGTGTTACTGTAGCCTGAGTGTCTGGGATGGTAAGCAGGTGTGCGATGTTGTGCTGTCTCGTTTGCCGAAGAGTGTACAATTGTGTCTGTGGACGTTACAGTATTTATCGTGATCAGTACCAGGTACAAGTAGCTAATATAAGCTCAGGCGCTTGGAAGTGTAATGTAATTCGAAGAGCAACGATTGGTGTGAGGTAAGAGTATCTCGGGTGTGTCGAAACAGGGGCATCTGCTGCTTGAGTGAGCTATAGTACTACGAGTTTTGTAGAAAGCTCTTCGTTTATTGTCTTCGCGTTTGAGTATTTTCAATGTGCACTCTGGTGTAGTCCCCACCCATTTCGGATATAACCGGGTAAGAGCCAAGCATGTTGAGTGTTGGGCTGTCACGACAATTTGTGTCGATGTTGTGTGATCCAGAATCTCAGAGTTCCAACCTCAATTTCACCCACATCTTATATATACAAGTAGCAGAAAATTCGAGGCTTGTTAGGTGTGTCGTACGAAGTACTAGTGGTATTATTACAAATTTTCTATATACGGATAAATAATACAAGTACAGTACAGTACGTATATTAATTTAGTACATACTGTCAGAGTGAGTGCTGCACTTTAATGTACAATTACAGAACAAGTATGTATGTACATACTGTACATCATGTACTTCGTATGTTATTATAAGAAAAATGTACGTACGAGTATTGTATGTACAGTATATAGAGTACAGTAGCTGTATTATATTTACTGGCACATATCACCACATGAATTGACTATGAGATAATGACGTGTAGGTATTGTAGGCATGTGCGTATAATTACAAGCGCCGGTACACATGGTGGTGCGTCCACGAATGGCCAGAATTTACATTGTCGTTGTGATATCCTGAAATCACGGGTACGATACAGACATTCGGGTCACATCTAAATATCGAAATTGGAATATACTGTATGTCAGTGAAATATTTCATCGGCGGGACTTGAACTGAGGTGTCGATCGAAGTACCTTGAGCAGTTGTCTCAGTTGCCACCGCCTCCTGGGTCACGTGTATTTCCTGAACGTTCTGCGCCTGACACGCATATATGCTATATCTAAGGCAGCCATCGCCCATCCTATCGCCACACAACACTCAACAATCAAAATAAAAGTCATGTCAGCTCCACCCGCCTACGAGCCCCTTCTCAACCCCAATGATCAGTCCAACCTGAACACTGCCTCTTCTGCAGCTGTGCGGGATGCAGAGGATAACTTGCCCGCTGACTTCAAGTACGATACGCCAGTTGTTCAATGTGACATTGATGTTCGAAATAACTTCATCAAGCAAGTATACACTATTGTTACTGCTCAGATTGCTACTACTGCTATTTTTGGAGCTATCATTGTTTTCAACCCTCCCATCACCATGTGGATCCTCGAACACATGTGGGTGTATTATGTCACAATTTTTGGTTCACTAGGCTGCCTTATTGCCTGCATTTGGAAGCAGAACAGCTACCCTCTGAACATGACCTTGTTGGGCGTGTTTACGCTTTGTCAGGGACTGGCAATTGGTACTGTGTGTTCTCTCATGGACTCAAAAGTGGTCCTTCAGGCAGTGGCAATTACCCTGGTGCTGTTCTTCGGCCTTACTTTGTTCGCTTTCCAGACGAAGTATGATCTGACATCCATGGCTGGTATTCTTTCTGCTTGTCTATGGGGTCTTATTGGCGTGGGCCTTGTTGGCATGTTTGTGCCATTCTCCTCGGCTGTGGAGCTCATCTACTCGTCTATTGGAGCTCTAGTTTTCTCCGGCTACATTCTAGTGGACACCCAGATGATCATTCGAAAGTTACATCCTGACCAGGTGATTCCTGCAGCAATCAACATTTACCTTGATATTCTCAATTTGTTCTTGTACATTTTGCGAATTCTCAATGAAATTAACCGGGATAACTAGAGGCACAGTGACATTACGTCATGTTACTCAAACACCCAATTATTACCAAGGGCCTGTCAAGTATATAACTAATTAGATTGTTTGATTTATCCGCTGGAAGAGTATTCTGTATAGCCCTTACGCTCCGCGACTACTGTATACCCTGGCATTCTGATATTTCATGGCTTGATTACGCCATCAGAACTTCCGTAGCTAATGTGACGTCATTTTTTCGCTGTGGCAAAGTGGCGCATACTACAAAAACGCCGGATATCGTTGGAAAAAAGATGTAAGAGTTCCATTGTCATTTACCAACTTGAACGTCATAATTTCTGCTTTATTGTACACAATCACATATATTTGTGCATGCCAATCCCCACATCGGGTTCCGACATCGCATAGAGTTTGGTATCTTGCATAATGTCGCTTGCGATGTTATATAACCACTCACTGAGACAGTCGACACTCTTCCTTCTCCACGAACAACAACATGACACCCCGAACCCGCCATTCGACGTTCGCACGTTTTGTAGCGCTTTCGACCTTCGGCTTTGTGTTTTTCGGTCTCTTCACCCTTACGTTCGCCCCTCGAACATCCGTCAGACGAGACTTGCGTCGGTTTTTCCAAGGCACACAAACCGAATTTGACGTCAAAAGATCGATTCTTCTGAACACTAAGGCTGAAAACATCAGAGAAAATTCTCTGAAGTACACTGCTGAACCCCATCTTGCGGGAACTAACAAGGAACTCGCTGAATGGACCCGTGACCAGTTGCAATCATTTGGATGGGATGCAGGAATTGAGGAGTATGAAGTCTACCTTAACTACCCGCTCGACCATGCTCTTAATTTAGTTGATGACAACGGAAAAGTTATCTATGAAGCGTCTCTTGAGGAGGATGTTCTCAAAGAGGATCCCACGACTGGGCTGCGAGACAGAGTTCCCACTTTCCATGGTTACTCGGCGAATGGAAATGTGACTGCCCAGTTCGTTTACGCCAATTACGGTGAAAAGGGAGACTATGATCTTATCCTTGAGAAAACAGGCGATCCTGACTTCTTCAAAGGCAAGATTGTCATTACCCGATACGGAGGTATTTTCCGGGGGCTCAAGGTGAAATTCGCACAGGATTTGGGTGCAAAGGGTGTGGTCATTTACTCTGACCCAGGTGATGATTCTGGGATCACTCCTGAAAATGGGTACAAGACTTACCCTAAGGGTCCAGCTCGAAACCCCTCATCGGTCCAGCGGGGAAGTGTTCAGTTTTTGTCCCTCGGCCCAGGTGACCCCACTACACCTGGCTATCCCTCAAAGGGAGCAGTTGAGCGACAAGACCCCTCTAAATACATTCCCTCAATTCCATCTCTTCCTGTGTCGTACAGAGACATCTTGCCAATTCTGAAAGAACTAAACGGACGAGGCGAGACTTTTGACGGGTTTGAGGGTGGTCTGGAGGGCGTCGACTACTCAATCGGCCCCTCAAAAACATCTCTCAATCTTTACAACTCGCAAGACTACAAAATAACACCGATTTACAACGTTATCGCATCCTTAACTGGTTCGACGTACCAAAACGAAGCCATCGTTGTCGGCAATCATAGGGACGCGTGGATTGCAGGTGGGGCCGCTGACCCTAATTCGGGTTCAGCTGTCCTTCTGGAATTGGCGCGTGTTCTCGGTGTGCTCTCTAAGGCCGGATGGACTCCCACGCGTACTCTAACGCTAGCTTCTTGGGATGCCGAAGAATACGGACTTGTTGGTAGCACCGAATGGGGCGAAGATCATAGCAAGTACATTTCAGATAATGTTCTTGCTTATGTCAATCTCGATGTGGCCGTTTCAGGCTCTAAATTTCACTCTGCCGGCTCCCCTGTGCTCTCTGCTCTGCAACGTGCTGTTGCTAAGGAGATACCTCACCCATCAGACAATAATACAAGCCTGTACGATGTTTGGAAGAAGGATTCGCGTGCTTATATTGGAAACTTGGGCTCAGGATCTGATTACACCGTGTTCTTGGACCACTTGGGTGTACCTTCTATCGATGTCGGCTTCTCAGGTGGAAAGGGAGACCCCGTTTACCAGTACCACTCCAACTATGACTCTTTCCACTGGATGGACAATTTTGTGGAAAATGCCTGGGAATACCATGCGGCTATATCCAAATATGTGACTCTCTTCGCCGTTTCTCTTTCTGAGCGAGAAGTCGTAGCCTTCAATGTTAAGGAATATGCCCTGACTCTGAGCAAGTTCTTGAAAGCTATTCAGAGGAAATACGTCGGTGCCAGCGGACATCTTTCTGGCCTTGAAACAGAGTCGAACGAACAGAAGGTCTTGGAAAAAGACAACTCTGGATTTGATACCAGCACTGCTCCATGGGCAGAATCATTCGATGACGTCTTAAAAACTGCTAAGGAGTTTGTTGAAACTGCCCACAAGTATGATGAGTACACTTCTGAACTCCAGAAAGATATCATTAAAGATTGGCCTTGGTATAAATACTATAAGAAGCTCGCTCTTCTGGCTCGAATTAGGGTGGCGAACAGGAAACTCTTCCATCTCGAAAAACTCTTTTTATCCTCGAATGGTCTTCAAGGTAGAGAGTGGTTCAAGCATATCGTCTATGCTCCTGGAAGATACACCGGCTATGCTGGAGAAGTCTTCCCTGGTATCGTGGAAGCTCTTGAGGATGGTGACTATGAGAACGCCATTAAGTGGCTTTCTATCACCAAGGCTAGTTTGAAGTCTGCTAAAGGGCTGCTTAAATGAACACCTTGGTGAGGGCTAACTAGTTGTTTTTTTGATGAATTTATTGTTTTAGTGTTACGTGTTACGTCAATACCGACACTAGTACACTGTATAAGAAGTAATTGTAGAAAGTACTCGTACATTCTATACATGTTTTACTTTTATTTTTCGATCAAGAGAATTCATTTAGCTATATATTAGCAAGCATCTTATGCACTTTTCCACAAGAGGAACATGTGGATGTACCAGTACGAGGTACATCAGCTACAGTATGTACTGTACATACATGTACATACTGTACTTGTCTTCAGCAGTGAATGGTACAGCTAATATCCTATACCCACAGATTTGTGACACATTTTTACATACACTTCGAACCTGTATCATATATATTCTGCCACCTGCAGTACAGTATACTACAAGACCACCTGACGCAGTTTTGTTCTCATTCATTAATCACTATTAGACTCTTTCGCTGTCTCCTTTTCTTCTTCCCTGCTCGTCCATGTGACTCCGTGTAGATCGCACCAGGCAATAGTCAATACCTTCGAAATTTTGATACCGTGCTCCTTATTGAACTCCATTAATTGAGACAAGGATATAGGTTGGTATGTGAGCATTTTCAACCACATATCACGTGCTTCTGGAGCAGACATCATGAACTCTGTCAATTCTGACATCTTCATTTTGTCGACTTCGCCCTTTTCTATCATCTGGCCCGCTATCGATGCAGTTGCCTGAGTGGAGGGAGGGGCTTTGGAATTGTCGTCACCTGTACGCTCCTCGGCTCGTCTCTTCTCCGAGGATCTCGCAAGGGTTTTTTTCGGGGCCGATCGTTTTTGTTGTCTTGACCCAGAGGGTTCACTCAGAGTCGAATCACTGATATCGTCTCCGATAACTTTACCAGGTGTGCCTAGTATAATTACACTGTCTTCCTCTTCTCCATCGGGTAGATCACCTGACCTTTTTATCAATCCTGCTTGCAGCCCAACACCGCAAGGAGATGTCGCAATGTTGTGCCGATTGATCTCGCACAAATCAGGCATCAAATGTAGTTGATCCAAGGCAGCTTCTGGGGACTCCGGAACAAAGTGTTCTGAGACATTTGAGTTGTCCATAACAGATGACAGTCCCGTCAGATCTATTTCAGAGCGACGTCGTGAATCAGCCCTTTGCGCTGATGCATTCGAAGCTGTATTCTCCTCAACCGTCTTTCTTGTAGTCGAAAATGACCTGGAATGTGTGTTTGGACTAGGTCCGTGAATGGATTTCCCAGTGCCAACCCTCATCGAAATGATAGAAGAGTCTCCGGAGCTTAAGACCTCTTCGGAGCTAGAAGCATCTTCATGGGGCGGTGAGTGAGATTCTTGTGCCTTGGGTGTACTGTGGCCAGCCATCGGACTAGATGATGAAGCATGGGGATGGCGAGATGCTTCGTTTTCGCGTGGATTTATATTTCGAGTCTGTAATCCGGATGACTTTCCTGGGGTCCAAGAGTCTACCTCCTCGGAGTCAGAAGAGCACATTCGATAAATATGCGTCGGCCCTGATTGAGTGTTGATCATCCTTGGAATTAGCGCTCCCTCATCATCGACATGGGGCCTTTTTGATCTACCTTGGACTTTGGTAGAACGCACTGGTGTAGCTTCGTGGCTTACTCGGTCATATATGTCAGTTGCATTACGGTCTGCCTTGGAGGCCGACTCTGGAGACGAACTTTCTATGCGTATGATTATTTCTCGATCATATTCATTTCTCGGTCGACCATACCGTGTCGAGTCGTGTGACTGTGTGCTATCACATTCTGAGTCGGAAACGTGTGCGACGCTGCTCTCAGCCACGGTAAAAAATGATTTGTAATTGTTGTAGTTAAAAGTGGGCGGTGGAGAGAACGAACAATCTTGCTGACTATCAGAAGCCAGCACGCGAGAGTTCAATGACACCCCCACAGCACCAGTCGAGGGTTTAAACACCCTCTCTGCGCTGGTGTCCTCTCCCATATATATCACCTCTGGAAGACTCTTCACGTTGGTAATTTCAACACTCTTGTCCTCAGTATTAACAGATTCGATCTGATCTTCGTCCAATTCCCACTTGCCACGTAACTCTGAAGAACCGGAGAAGGATATTTCATCGTCACCCGTGTCGGAAAAACACACTAGAGCATGGGGCCCAACGTGAGCATCTCCTTCGACCTTAAAACATGACTCACTTAAATCCGAATCAGATGCTAGATCGCGTTCTTGGTAGCTTACATCATGAAGCTGAAACACCTCCTCAAGCCCAAGATCAGACGGGATGGATCTGGTGAGGCCCATTAATGAGTGCGGGGTGTTGGGTTCGAGGTTTGTTGGATTCGTAGCTTTTTTCTCGTCGCGTGACTTCATCATTTCTTTGATGGCACGTGGATGGACGTTTGTATCCATGTAGTCGGAATTACGCTTGTAGTTTGCGACTTTGGGCCCCACTAGCTCCACTCTTTGGGTGAGAGAGACCGCCCTCATTGCTGGCATTACGGTGTTCGGCACTTGGTCGAGAGGCACTTTCTTACGCCGAGAGGTTTTCGTTTTCTTTGTGATGCTTGAATCGCGTGCCTTCCGTGGTTTCTTACGTTTCGTCGTAGGCTTCGTGGCATCCTTCTCTGTTTGTACCGTTATTGAAGAAGAACCAACATGCCGCATCGTATGTGATGGTCTTCCAAGTGGGTTCCCCTCTGAAGCTGGGGCTTTGGGTAGGGTTGATCGCGATTGGATAACACCATGCACAAATCGGTCAAGCCGTTGGGCTCTGGCACGGAACATTTCCTCGTCTTCTTCACGTGACAAGCCCGGCTCCGGCTCAGTAAATTCCGGGGCTTCGAGATCGTCAAGGGGCATGTTCTCCTTAATGGAGCATTTATCTGGCGTGTCGTGTGGTGTGTGGTGTCAACTGGCGGTCTCACTGTATTTCATTATGGTTCAATTTATTTCTACATCTTGTTGCATTATGAATGCATTGCTGATGTGTAAACTGCATCGTACATACAATTCCATTGGAAGTAGCTAAAATGTATTTCCTAGTTTTTTTTTAAAAAAAATGGCTAAGGTACTGTTGGTTCCCTTTAGGGAGGTCGGGGTCGTTATTCGTTATATACATTATTCGTTTATCATTTTTGTCTTCACTCCGCGTTTCTGTAACACAAAAAGGCTGTCCAGAAAACACCAATTGCCGAAGAAAAGGGAAGCATGAGCTGTGGGGGGACCAGGGCGAAGTTGATGAACTGTGCCAGCGGCCATACCATGTAATTTATGCCTAGCGTTGTCACATACTTCGCCTTCAGCTTTTTCTCCACATCGCTCTTATTTCCTCCTTCAATGACAACGGTTGTGTATACAAAGAACGCACACAATGATAGAGGTGAAAAGCACAGCTGGTCAGTTAGAACGCGCATTATGGATGATATTATCACATTCTTCTCATCGTAGATATTGTTGACGATGTAGTACCATGGCTGCTGGATAAAAGACAGAAGGAACCCGTAAACCATGAACATGGTGAGTCTCCAAAAGTTGAATGCTGGAGAATATCCTGGGGTTGTGACCTGTGATGGGTCTTCTTCACCCCTGCGCTCATTTGTCTCGTTCTGGTAAAAGCTCATGAACATTTCGACATGCTCATCATCATTTGGGTCGTCAGTGTAGACTGTTCCCAAGTCTGCCTCTTCGTCCAAGGGTAGTCGCACAGATTTTACAGTGACTATGGTCTGTGCTATCGTGTCTGCCAGTCCGTATAGCAAGATGTTCGTGATCATGGCGGCTGCTATCGAATGGAGCGTTTGAAAGCGCCAGGTCAATCGGAGCAGGAAGACACTGTATATGACGATGATAGACGCATTCAGTAGAGGAATGCGCATGGTTGTACCGGAAGAAAATTTGTGTTGGTGCTGAGGACTGGGGCTGTGTTGGTGTAGTCTGCGCTGAGAATGTCGGTGTTTCCCAGGCGAGACAAGGTTGTGTTACGAAATAATCGATGTATCCAGCAGCACGATTTATTCCAGGTTTATGGCGTCTTTGTGCGGTTCGCACGGAAGCTTAGTCGTTGTGGGTTAAGCGCTCCCCGTAAATAAGTAGAGCGACGTGGAGGACTCTGTGATAAGTTGAAGGTGGTTGGGAGGTTAGGGTTCATACCTCCCTCTTTGTGGGTGTGAGAGTCAGTGTTTACAGTAATCCCCCATACGTGTATATCGAAGATGTGTCCCATTTTTGTTTGTAACTGTGTGGCTTCCAACGCGGGTGGGCGGTATTTGTTATTGGGTGTGTCTTGATGTCTGGCCAAAAATATATGTACATAAAATGTATACTTATGCTTGCAGTATGAATACGTACTTGTACCACTATATGATGATGAATCAACTGGTATATACTGTACAAGGACAGGTGCTTGTAAGTACCACCACATACATGTACATCCAATCCACCTACCCAGGAAACCTGGACGACAATATACGAAGATTTGCGATTTTATATCTCCCTCTTGTATACGATGCCGTAGATACACGAGTTTCTGACGATTTGGACAGCGATGACTAAACACAACTACGTGAACCAAGATCATCACAAAATCCAGACACATGTCCTTTCCTTCCCAACATACAACATAACCTTAACCCCCAACGACCAACGAACTCTAAACTGAGTGATCCTACAGGCTTAAAAACAAGAGTTGTCATAAAAAGTGGAGCCCAAAAAATTAACAGAATTGTTTGATTGATGATTTAATACTTGTGGATTCTACTTGTTGTTGTATTACACCTGAAGAACCCCCCCCCAAAAAACGCCCAAAACGACGACCAACAAAATGACATCGCAATATCCTAAGAGTATGATTTTTTAAGCGCCAATAACCCGGCTTACCACAGGATAGATAGCTGTGAAGAATCATGAGCATAAAAACATAAAAAGTATCAAAAATAAAGAAACGCATTTTTATTTAATTAAAAACCCCACCAGAAGTATATAGCTGTAATGAATCATATGAAATAAAAAAAGGTTATAAAAATAAAACAGTGTCAGTGACAACAAATATACGCACGACCTTGAGAGAGGAAGGGTATAGTTTGGGTAGCAGGTAATCAGAACCAGCTTGCCAGTAGTAACCTGCTGTCTGTTGCTCCTTCGTAACATCATCGTACCGGAAGTATCTATTGCAGTATATATCACCCAATTTTGAAGATAGATGACAAGTACTCCTATATCGTTTCAAGCTACATTTTTTCCAGGCTATGTACCGGAAGTATCTATTGCAGTAAATATCACCCAATTTTGAAGACAGATGACAAGTACTCCTATATCGTTTCAAGCTACAAAATTTCCAGGCTATGTACCGGAAGTATCTATTGCAGTATACATCACTCAATATATATTTATCTAAATACACTCTTTCAAACGATTCAAAAATGCCAAATATGGAAAAATATAAGATAAAATAAAAACACTACTAACGAATCTAATGAACAAATACGTCACATATGGTGTATCTTAAATAAATCTCTCTTCATAATAATATCACTAAAAAAGAGATGTCTTGGTTGAAAAGTAATATTCAAAATTGAAGTTGTCGTTAGAATATGATTGGATTAGAAAAAAATATTGAACCGAGAATTATTGATATTGTTCTTTTATGTCCTCAAACTATACAATACAACTATATAATACAACTTTCACTTAGTATTTTTTTAGTTGTTCTCGGTTTCTTTCGAAGGTCCACGTTCCACTCGTGTCTAGAATTAAACAACTTCCAAAAAGTGTTTTGTTTTTAATGTTCTCTCCATCAAGGGTCTGTATATAAAATTTCCGTAAACGGAAATTTTAATAATTACAGGTATTAGATATTAGTTTTTTATATATAATGAGAAAGGTATGTATGAAAGGTATCTCGATAAATATATATATTTCAGCACATGTCCATTTGTTTATACTTACACAAATAGGGGGAATCTGAAATGTATCCCCAGAATTAGCAAAATAAATCTGTATAGTGCCACAATAATAATTATCTGATTGTTTTAATAGTTACTACATTTGTTGTCGTATTATGATTTTTTGGGATTTGCACAAAGCATAATTCTGACTAGAATGTTCAATCGAATCTGTTCAATTTATTATTGAAATGATCCGTTGCTGTATTCACGTTTTTAATTGTTTTGATTGATTATTATTGTTAATATAATTTAGAAGAGAATAGATCTTCTGTAGATTAGATGTTGTCAATAATAATTCTGTGGTTGCAGTTAGTCGAAGTATTAAGTATTACAATCACTATACGCTTTTATCGTTTTCTCACAAGTTGTCACAGCAACATATCATTGGGCAACTTTTTCCCTATAGTGAGACAACTGGCAGTCTTCTCATATTCTATTGAGTTTAATCTATTTTATTTGTAAAAAAAAAAAAATGCACACGCCTTTATCGTCTTCTCCACAATTTGTTACTATGAATCACATTTTTCTACATTTTATTTTTTGTTTAGTGACTTTCTCTTTTCGACGATACACAATTCATCACCTCAAACAATGGCAGTGCCTCGAACGAAATGCATATCGCAACGTTTATGATTTATCGAACCCAGCTTACTACAGGCAGAGGTATATATATATATATATATATATATAGCTGTAATGAATCATTAGAATAATTTCAAAAAAAGTGGTACGGAGTTCTCCATGGTGCAAGTCAGCGCATGGTGCTGTAGTCAAATTACACAATGTAACTGCCACCAACACAGATACACACGTTTACAATAGAATACTGAGACTAGGATAGGGTTTATTTGTGCTCACGACGGTATTTTATTTTATTCTATCATCCTATGTTTATTACACTTCAGGCCTTCGGATCACAAGCTCTTCGGCATCCTCGTCTTCCTCAGCAATTTCACCAAGATCGTAGTATTCTCCGGGCTCCATCAGTCGTTGCCTGGAGTCGAAAGTACCCTGTTGGTTGGAGAGTGGTCCACCAGAACTGTTTCTCCAACGGGAGATACCTCCGAAACATGAACCGAGGAGCGATGTCTCCTCCTGATAAATATGGCCTCGGTTTTTTCTCCAAAACAGGAATCCTGCGAGCCCCAGGATAATGAGGACAACGATCAGGGCTGTAAATCCAGCCTGGTAGTACGCCTTCCACATGGCATCACTTGCGATTTTCTTATCGTGTTCCGCGTCGTCATCATCGTCACTGGAACTGTCGTCGTCAGATTTTTGGTCGCCAGATTTTTGATCGTCCAAGTCACTGGGGTTTTCACTACCCCTTCCAGGTTTATTACCAGATAGGTCGCTCAGAGCCTTGGAGACGCCAATGAAGTCATTCAGCATTGTCAGACAAGCCTCGGGTTCATCGTAGGGAACCATATGAGAAGCATTGTATATCCTAACATATGTCAGATTTCTGTCACTTTGCTTCTTGCCTTTGGAAACGCCATCGACAACCCAATCGTCGAGCTCCAAGCCCTCGGTCCAACCCTTCTTTCCATTCCATTCCAGCTGTTCAATCATTCTCTCATTTCCGTAATGGTTGCAGATGAGATCTCGATCACCATTGAAAAATAGAATTTCCATGCTTTCCAAAAGGTCAGGTAGCAGGTAAACTGCAGCATCGTCATTTCCCTGTCGCATGCGGGAACCAACTGCTCCATTGCATTCCTGCCACGACTCCTGCTTATCGTTGTTGACATTCAGAGCCTGCACTGTTGCGTCTTGTCGTAGCCAATCAGTGACATATGGCAAAATCTCAGGCCAGTTCATACCACACGATGGCCATTTATCTTCCTTGGATACGTCGTAGTAGTTAACACATATTCCTTCAGATTCTGGTGCACTCCGCTCATTTCTGCTCAGTTCCACAATGCCATTCATGATATCTTCACAAGCTCGAATATGGACGGGAAGTCTCCCGTTGTTCTTGTCCTTGGCGATGTTAATGGCTCGCTCGCAAGTGTCTGTAAGCTCTTTGAGATCCTTCACATGTTCTTCCGTCTTTTCAATCACTCCATAGTCCAATGCGTATGGCACATACTGGTAATATTGATTCGCGGGGTCCATCCATCCGTTTCCAATAAGTAGACCTTTAAGATCGACGGTTCTCGTTTGCTGTAATTTGGTTGCGATGTAAGGGATGTACTGACCAGCGTAAGATTCTCCAGCTAGGTAAAAATCATCATGGGCTCTTTCTGGGAACAATTTGAGGAACTGTGTCATGAATGAATCCATCTCATCCCCTACCTGCCCGAGGCCAGTCAGATAAGAATCCGTGTCCGAATAGGAATAACCAGTTCCATAGGGCTGGTCAACAAATAACACGTTGGCATATTTGTGCCAAGAGCCCTTGTTCGGATCTACTCTGAGCTTGTCATCCACGATGCGGAAAGGGCCCACCTCCAACAGGGCTCCATCCATTGATGAACAACCAGGTCCTCCGTTGAACCACACGATAGTTTTAGGGCGCTCTGTGATCTTGTACTGAGCCTCAACAAGCCAGAAAAACAGGTTTCCGTTATGAGCTGCATCAGTGAGAATGTTTCCGGAATGCATCGTGTAATTGTCCACGCTGTCTAGTCCAGGAATGTGGCGGACGAAGTAGTCCGACTGCGACGGTGGTGCCTCATCAAATTGTGACAAGGCTAGTGAAGCAAGTCCACAGAATAAACTCCATGATAACTTCATGGCTGTTTCTTGTGGTTCGAAGTGGTTGGTGAAGTGGACGTGCAATGAATGATTGAAGTTGACCGAGCTTATTCCAATGCGTTGTGCAGTTCAGGAGTGTCGGGCAAGCCAGAGCTACAAGTACATACTGTATAAACTTGTAGGAATAGTACAGTACTGTCCAAATATGCATGACGAATATAAAACAAGTGAACTAAAGTGTTTCTTCACGATGACGGATCAATCTACTTGTGAGTCACAATGCAAGTGTCACATCCGCATCTTTGGTTTGTGATTACTAACATGACACGCCGCCCAACTGGCTAACCCTTACCTTTTATCCGAAACAGGACAAAAGTACGGCTCTTGAAATTACCACTGGAAGCGTTGTATGTGTGTGAAATATGAGGCTTAAATTTACACAAGCAATTGTGCCCGAATGACCCGCCCTTAAATGACCGTGCTGCGAGTGTCTGAGTGTTATCCGAATACGACGCGTGCTTCCCATGCACCTTCCATCTCTCGCGTTAATTACTTAAAATGAACTCAAACTCACAGATTCCGAAAGTGAAGGTACGGCATGTACTCGTACTCGAATAGGATGTTATTAGAATCAAATATATAGTGTGAGATGCTCTCGTACCGGTATAAACATTACATTAGTACTGGTACGATTGTCACACGTGTATACTTACCATACGAGTAAGGCAGTACAAGTAGTACCAGTTTTAGTACAGACTTCCTTGCACGCGAACTGAGGAGTTCCTGAAGAATCTTTCTGCAAGCCCAGAAGAGATACACATACATACTGTCCCAGTATCAGATGTACAGAGCACGGGAGGCCCCTGCAGTAATGGGTTCGATAAACCCAATAATGCAACAAGTGTGACAAGTATTACTTGTACTTGTACAAGTACAAGGTAGCTAATTTCGTAGTTGCTTAATAGAGAACTTCAGTTGGAGCGGGCCATACTTCCTGCATTATAGGCTGTTGATATATTAAAAACAAGCATAGGCGTTTGTACAATACAGCCGGCTATGACACCAACAAGCAACTGGTCATCGCGCAGCTTGTACAAGTACCAGTACCTGGTACTGAAAATGATGTGAGACTCACAATTTGCCCATCTGAAGTCGATAATATATTGAGTAACTTGTTCAGGTGATATTCTGTCGCTGCCGAAAATATCCCCCACCCCCGGTATTGGACGCTGTATTGAACATTACGTATGGACTCATAGAGTATATAGAGTAATTATATATATATATATGTAGACGAGCGTTAACCTGGTAGCAAAATAAAACTAAACCTTAGAATGTGGTCGCGTGCGCATTCTCCAGGGCAGTGCAAATGCATACTACTGTACTGTGTGTACTATGTACATGTTGATCATGACGTTGTGAATTCATGACTGATGCAAGTACATACTGTATTTGTGCAATAGCGGGACGAGCAAGGCTGTCGGGAGTAGCAGGCAGGGTGCAACACAAAAACGCACATTATTTCTATGAATAAGTCGTACGGCACTCGTACTAGCCACGAGGTTTTGCTGTGCCTTTAGTCACTGAGCTATTATTATTGTGTCGATAGCCACCCGAAGTCACCACGGAACTACATTTAGGCGCCTATTCTCAGTCATGTGCAAGTACAGAAGGTACATACTGTAACACGAATTACTGATAAACTGTACTTGTACGGGGCCGTGCCTTATAACAGTACAGTACTGTAGCTACCAGATTCTGAAACACGGGCCGAACTGCAGTCGCCGACCACCCCTACAAATTTCAATTCAGAAATTTCAATTCAGAGAACATACGATTTTTCATAATCACAGTGCACTCTCATACCGAACTTCCTCGTTGCTTATACTTTTCCTAGCAGGGGATTTGACCACACAAAAGGTGTAACTCCCATCACGGCATGCTGACTGAGCCCGGCCGAAAAAAGGATCCAATTGCCTACAGTAAATCTAATAAAAAGATGAAATTAAAGGAGATAAGAGCGCAGGTACAGTTAGTGCTAATATATTTTATAATTCCTCATCAAAGAAACTATCAATCTGTTAATATTCGTTCTCGAGTGGCCACTTCCTTCTTTGAGTTCAATGGGTTCAATAGATTTGGAGCTCCGCTAGGCTAGCGCATACGCCGTGCCAGCGGAGGGACCTTACAGTAGGACCTCAAAAAGTGATCGCAGCAATCTCAGTATTTGCCAGAGTACAAGTTTGTTGTCCTCGTCATGCTGTTGTACTGGCAATAAACCCCTCCGAGTAGTGGTTCCCTATAGTACAAATACCGTAGGACCCAGCAATCCATTCCCTAATATCCTTCCTTGAATGTTCACCTGAGCATATATCCAGTAAGCGTGCATCCAACTGCACTCATTCCGCAGAGCGAGACAAGATCACATGGGCGATGGTGACCTTCGATATGCCGTAAAGGTCCCAAAAAAGTGAACACAAAGACTATTTAGGACATACCAGTGTACTGTACCTTCATTACGGCGCGCGTATGTGGTTGTGACAATCTCGCGCATGCAAACAACGACACTAAACATTATCACCACAGTTGCTACCTGTGATTTAGATTTTGGCTTTGCGCCTTGATGGACAACGATGCATGCATTAGTCACTTCGACTTGGTTGTTGAAAAAGGGCAACCACACCACAGACATACGACAGCTTGCAAAAAAGATAACCTGCTCTCACCCAAACAGGATCTTGCCACAGTTGTCTCCTCTTTCTAGTCTGTGATGCCCACCCGAAGAAACACTTTTTCTCTACCATACTCTGGAGACGCCCCCAAAAAACTCGTCAATCCAAACCTGGCAGTTTTCCACTCTCGACGTAACTCGAACGGCTCTTCGGATTCACAACGACTGCTGGACCATAGGGACGAAGGTGTCACCACATCCACACCTGGAGGTATCTCTGGACGAAAAAAGAAGCTGAAGAAGATGAGCTCCCAGTCCGCCATCAACAAGGGCACACCCCCGAAGCCCTCCTCGTCGGCAAACCAGCCCCGAGAGTCATCGCAGCTGAGAGCAGAGCATACCAACTACAACTCTTTCCGACGTCGGCTCTCATCACAACAGTACCTGCGACCACGACGAGTGTCGGATTCTGTAGTTGCAGATGACGACGAGGAATTATCTCCTCTCATGTATACTGATTGGGATAACGACTTTGATCATTATGATTTGCACAGTGACTTCGAGGGCGACTCCGACCTCAACTCAGAGCCTTCATCACGACGAAACTCGGACGCTTCGTCTCTCGACGATGTTTGTATGTTTCCTCCCGGCTCCGAGGAACATCATGATGACAAGCCTAAGGTGTGGCCCGAGCTAAGCTACCTCGAGGAGTTTGCAGAGCAAGAGCGCAAGGAAGATGATGAGACAAGCTCTATCGGCATCGTCAACGAGGTATCAGTGTCGGGTCCCCTAAGACCCAAGCGAGTTGTGCCATGGAAGCGAGGCATCAAGCGGCAGGATTCTGGTATTGGTACTGACTTCCAATTTCGATTCACGTATTTCCGTGAAGATCTTGAGGCGACCATTCATTCGCAGAGCATTTCGGGATTGGTCAAGGGTGGCCAATCGTTTGCGGACCTGTTTCCTGAACGTGTTGAGGTGGAGGGCAGTGACAAGCACGAAAAGTTCATTCCCACTGAACGAAACTCAGTACCGACAAGAGCATCTACGCCAACTCCTGGAGACAGAAGTGGAAACGAAGGTAGATCATCTTCCAAAGACGCACCTCGGGATTTGGTACTTTCGAAAGTCCAGAGTCAGCACACAGGTTCAAGTGGAGACAGGGAGAGGGGAAACAGTGTCGGTGACCGAGGAGAAAAGACACCCCGAGATCACAACGGTAGCATTAGTGGTCAGAGCTCCCACACAACTACGGGACCTGCCGCGCATGCCACTCCTGAGCCCTCCGATACTCCCTTCTGGCTGGATGTGCTCAACCCCACTGAGGAAGAGATGAAGGTCTTGTCGAAGGCATTCGGTATCCATCCACTCACAACCGAGGATATTTTCTTGGGTGAAACTCGCGAGAAGGTGGAGCTCTTCAGAAACTACTATCTCATTTGTTTCCGATCGTTTGATGTTTTGCGAACTAAGAAGAAAGGTAGCAGCATCTCATCGAAGGCGTCGAAGAAACGGGCCCACAAGCACAATCGACAGCTCAAACCTCTGAATATGTATATCATCGTGTTCCACTTTGGTGTGCTGACGTTCCATTTTCTGCCTACAGTTCATCCCGTTAATGTGCGTCGACGTGCACGGCTCCTGCGTGATTACCTCACTGTTTCCTCAGACTGGATTTCGTATGCCATTATCGATGACATCACGGATGCCTTCCAGCCCATGATCGATTCGATCCAGGAAGAAGTGGATGATATTGAAAACGATATTCTCAAACTCCATGCAGGTGCGGATTCTTCCGATGATGAGGAGACTGAATTCTACACCTACGAAGATGAGCTTGACAGGCGACAGAGGCGTGGGTTCGGTGGTATCGCCGACGACTTGCGTTCTCTCTCTTCCATGTCATCCACGACCACAACCTCTACCATTCGACTGAAAAATAAGGGTGATAATCTGTACCGAATTGGAGAGACCCGAAAGAAGGTCATGTCCTTGTCTCGGCTTCTTGGAAACAAAGCTGATGTGATCAAGGGCTTCGCGAAGCGGTGCAATGAGCAATGGCAGGTTGCACCCCGAAGTGAAATCGGCCTTTATCTGGGCGATATTCAGGACCATATCGTGACTATGGTTCAGTCTGTCAACCATTTCGAAAAGATTCTTGCTCGAGCGCATTCCAACTGTCTGGCCCAAGTCAATATCGATATGACGAAGATCAACAACGATACAAACGATGTACTGGGTAAGATTACTGTCCTCGGTACTATTGTGCTTCCGATGAACATTGTCACCGGTCTATGGGGTATGAACGTCATTGTTCCTGGACAAGAACATAAAGGCACCGTTTGGTTCTGGGGAATCACGGCATCGCTGTTTTTCTTTGCTATCGCCTCCTACTGGGGGGCCAAGAGAGTTTATGGGGTCTAAACTAACAAAAGCCGAATATAGAAAGGAGAAGACGGGGGTTTGTTTTATAGTCAATGTCAAAATTAATGTAACTGCAGGTTCAATTACTCGTTTATTATTAATATAGTCCGAAGGTATTATTTTACATATAATCTAGTTACGCTCTCGCTTGCTCCACACAATATAGGAGGGATGGACAGGAAGCGTGATCATGGAAGTGGTGTCAACAGCAGGAAGCTTTGAGCCCTCAGGGACGGTCCACTTGAAGTTTTGAATGTAGCAAGACATGAGGGTGGTGAGCTGGCAGTTGGCGAACTGCTCGCCAATGCATCGGTGTCGGCCACCTCCAAAGGGAAGGTAAGGGGAGGAGACACCCTTGGAGATGGCACCAAATCCGTAATCGACAGTCTCGCCGGCCTCAGCGTCGGTCTCGGACTCGGCCATCTTCTCTGTAGGAGTCATCCATCGACGAGGATCGAACTTCTTGGCATTGGGGAAGTATCGCTCGGCCTGCTGTGAGTAACCAGGGGAGGCCATGACAAAGTGGCCCTTGGGCACGACAAACGAGGTACCGGGGACAGGCAGATCTCGCATGACCTGTCGGAAGATAGAATGGATGGGCATATGCAGACGAAGCGTCTCCTTGATGGTATTCTGCAGCTTGGTCATAGTCAGAATGTCCTCGTATGTAGGCTGTCGGAATGATCCGTCAGCCTCACCAAGAATATCAACTTGCTCCTGGTAGAGTTCATCCTGGATAGCAGGGTCGAGACCAAGTCGGAGAAGCATCCAAGCAGAAGTTGAAGCAGAGGTATGCTGACCGCCCATTAGAACGCCGATAAGGAGGTGGGCAATTTCCTGGGGAGTCATTCGCTTACCATCCTTGTAAGTATGGTTTTTGAGCAGAGCGTCGATGAGGTCACGGTCCTGGACGTCCTTCTCCATTCGTCGTCTTTGAATGACAGACATGTATGTATCACGAATCTTTTGCTGGGCGAGGTCACGCTTTCGATAAGAGGGCAGAGGAAGGTTGGGGAAAACGAAATTAATAGGAGTGAAGCCGTTATCAAGATCGGAGTAAAGCTTGGCAAAGTCACCGTTAAGCTTGGATCGGATCTCGTCACCTAGCAGACACCGAGAGGCAGTGAAGATGGTCATCTGAGGCTGAGTGGTCATGACATCTGCCTTACCGGTCTTACCCTCAAAGTTAACTGCAAAAAAGTTGGTGACTTCCTCAACGATCTTGGGAACGTAGGATCGAAAGGCATCACGAGTGAGGGCACCCTTGCAAAACTTCTTCTGCTCCATAAGTCGAGAGTTGGGGCAGTCATAAATAACACCGGTGCCGAAAACAGGGGTGGTGAGGTGAGTGTAAGCCTCCTCCGCAGACACGTCTGCAAGCTTGGAGTTGAAGACAAACTCGTGGCCCTTAGTGCCCAGAGACACGGTCATGACACGACCAAGCATGTAGAAGGAAAACACGTCACCATAACGGTTTCGGCAGTCCTCGAAGAACTCGTAGGGATCGATACCATAGGGGATAGATGATCCAACCCAGGGGATCCAGTAGAAGGCCATAGGGGCCAGAGTCTTGTTTCGTCGAGCCAGAAGTTGTGACCCAATAACGTAGATCTCTGTGATGACAGCAAGGATGGCCAGGCCAGCAAGAATGTGCCAGCCTTCCACGGGAATTCCCATGTTGTTGAGCGTCGTGAGAATGATCATGTTGTGGTCGACTTGAGTGAGAGACCAGTTGTAGATGTTGAGAGCACCAGACAAGATGAAGTAGAAATGGAAGGATAAATTAAACTCTTCTGGAACCTCGTCCACAATCACGAAACCTTATTTTCTTCCAAACCTGCTCGCTAATGTCGTATGTATCGTGTCTAAATGTAACGGTCCAATTACATGGACGATAATGCCAGGGATAGGGGTAATAAGAAATAAAAGTAACGGGCTCGGAAAATATGTACTTGGACCACTGTGAGAATCCTGAGGATGCAGCAGTCCTGATCCAGTGGATTTTGTTATTTTATATAGGCCGATGGCTGGCTCGGGGTATCCTTCATGGATCCCCCTGCTATGATTATGCAAGGTATGACACCACCTTTCAAATGGAGAAATCATCACGTCATGGAATGTGTGTAAGGGGCCAAAGTTAGCTTCTGTACCAAGAGAGATGCAGTGGTACTATATCATGTCCACTCATCGTACCACAATAAGACAGTACAGTAATCACTGCCTGTGCACAGCCTGCAATTTAGCCTAACATGCAAAAACGATGGTGCTTGTCATACGCGGCTATGCTGGAAATTTGATATCGCACGAAGACACCACGTGGTACACGATAGCTACAACTACAAGTAGTCTTGATTTAAGAATGAGCTCGCCAACCCTTACGGGTGTACTTGCACTTGTACTTGTAGAAACAATGGTTGTAGACTTCTGATGTTATTGCGTATGTAAACTTTTTTTTCTGCATATACATTCATTTAATTATAACTTTGCTGTGAAAGAATAACCTTTGAAATGAATGTACGCTTACACGAATATTACTAATAAAACAAACACAAGGTTACTTGGGATGGAAATGCTCGCTTAGTAAATCCACAATGAACTGTATCGAGCTTGCTAACTACTGACGCGTACAAGTATCGCAACAAAGATTACGGAGACACTCCGATTATCCGATCCGAGATTTGCCAGTGCATATGATTACTAATAAAGATGATTTTTAAGGCGTACTGATCTACAAGTACAGTATGTACTTGTAGTAACTTGTTTGATTCGTCGAAGTTAAGATTTAGTACCTCTCTGTACATCTTTTAGTATCTCTATAGTATATCATACTTACCTTCCCTCCTCATTAATAAAGCCACTTATGGGATTAATTCACTTTCTACTTGTGGGTTAGTTACAATTTCAGTCGTCTTCTTCGGCACTCTACAAGTAGTACTATTGCGGCAATTAAATCTCCTAAATGCTGTACCATACTACTTGTAGACTTCAAACATCGATCAGCTGAATTGCTTACATGTACAAGTAGCTACTGTACACGGTACTTGTAACATGTTCGCAGGTGTTGTTTCCAAACACACTACAGTATCATTGACACAAGTTAAGATTCTGTTTTGGTATTAAGTCGGTGTAGTGAGCAACCTTTACTTTTCAGGGTCAACGCTCTCATGACAGATTGCCCTAACCCTTGAGAGCTTGGTTGCCATTCCATAATCTAATCCCAGTGACCTTTATTGAGACCATGGCCTATTATAAAGATGGAAAGTGTCCAGGAAGAGAATATTTGAAGCTTCGGAAGATGATGACAGACCAGGGTATTTGAAATTACCGTATCAGGATGTTGGGTCAAACCTAACCGCTGTTTCCCGATTTAACACTCCCTAATTAGGGTCTCTCTACCCACCACCCCACATCTGATACATATGGCACTTGCATAATCTAATTGTGCCACTTACACTACACTCGCCACTCACCATGAAACTCTCAACAATCGCTATTTCTGCCATTCTGGGCTCTGTGGCCCTCGCAGCTCCTGCTCAGGAGGAGCTTCGGTCTACTGCTATGCTGATTCAGCAGTCCGAGGAGTTTCAGCGTCTCAACTATGACGAAGGCCTTCTTTCCCTGCCCGACCGAGATGAATTGCGACTTGTGGAGACCGCCCCAGGTGTCAGAACCTGGATGACCGAGGCTGAGAAGCTGGTTCTCAAGCGACAGGGTGTCCGGTTCTTTGATGTGACTGGAGAGGACCAGATTCGAGCATCCGAAGAAGTTCCCCCCGTTAACGTTACCTTCCCCGACTCTCCCCAGTACAAGGACAAGGTTGCTCTTCTGCTTGACGAAATCAACACAGATAACATGCGCAGCAACCTTGCCGAGTTCACTGACTTCTTTACCCGATACTACAAGTCGCAGACCGGGCGTGAGTCCGCCAAGTGGCTGTACAAGCAGGTTAACCAGCTGGCTCACGGATACAAGGGTGGCAACAAGAAGCCCACTGTGGAGTACTTTGCGCATCCTTGGGGCCAGCCTAGTATTATTGCACGACTAAAGGGCTCTAAAAACCCTGATACTATTGTTGTCGTGGGTGCGCACCAGGACTCTACCAATCTCATTGCTCCTTCTTTGTTTGCTGCGCCCGGTGCAGATGACGACGGATCTGGAACTGTTACCATTCTCGAGTCTTTCCGAGTTCTCATGGAGTCCGGTTTTGAGCCCGAGAACACAGTCGAGTTCCACTGGTACTCTGCCGAGGAGGGCGGCCTACTCGGCTCTCAGGAGGTCTACAAGCAGTACTTCACCGAGACCAAGGATGTGCGAGCCATGCTCCAACAGGACATGACAGGTTACGCCCAGGGAATGACTGATGCAGGTGTCGACGAACACATTGGTGTTATCACCGATTTTGTCTCGCCAGATCTGACCGTATTTGTCAAATCAGTGATTGACACTTACTGCGACATTCCTTACGTTGACACTCAGTGTGGATACGCATGCTCCGATCATGCCTCTGCTACCAAGTATGGCTACCCCTCTTCTTTTGTCATTGAGTCTGGCTTCCAGTACACCTCCAAGTTCATCCACACCACCAAGGACACTTTGGACCGTCTCTCCTTTGAGCATATGAGACAGCACGCCAAGCTGACTATTGGCTATGCCTACGAGCTAGCTTTTGCCAAGCTTGAGAAGCATTAGATAGACATATTATTATAATGTTCTCATATATCGACAAGTTTCGGTCTTAGATATCGCTCTGTATCAGGAAAGTCGGGCGTAAAGAGATCTTTACCTAATCTTGTCGGCTGTAGCCCCTTGCATTGGACTAACACATCATAATGCAAACACCCGTCAATATATCTTAGAATTATAGAATCTCGAAGTTCCATGTCAGGACACCGTTTAGAAGCCAAGACTTCCGAAAGGATCCCCCCCAAAAGGGTCATTTCCGCTGGACTGACCCGAAGGGTGGGCACTGTATTGAGTGGTGGCCGTGGCGTAATCAGAAGTGATGTCATTATCGGCTGTCCATGTGGCGACTGAGGGAGCAGCTGTGGCTGAGGGGATATCGTTGGAATCAATCTCCTTGAGGTTTTCGGCACCTCCGTTATAGTTAACCTGTCCAGTGGCAGCCTGGTTGTTCTTGAGGTCATAGACAACGTAGGCAGACCTGAGGAAACCGTCTCCAAGAACACTCTGGCCACTATTGCTGCCATTATCACCAACCAGGAAACTGTAAGCAGGCTCATCGCTACCGTTGATAGTGATGTAGAGCTGGTTTCCGTTGGAATCATTGAGAGGAATAAAGAGTTGGTTGATGGGAACCACAATCTTCTGACCCTGGCAGTTGTAGGTGATATTGATGTTGGTGAAGCCATCGACCTGGTTCTTGGTGGCCACAGAACTAACTCGCGGGACCTAGTAGAGGCCTAGGTTGTTGTATAAAGTCCAGTAAGTAGCGGAGGGAACAAGGGAGAGGGTCGTTCCAGAATCCAAAACAGCCAAACGAGGAGTGCCGAGAGCGTTAGTGGTAGATCCTGCATTATTAATATCGACAGAAGCGAGAGTGACTTGAAACTCCCGTGGAGAGGGGTCAGAGGGCTCATCCTTGATAAAAGGGAGGAGTGCAAGACCTCCAGTGAACTTCGAAGTATCCACAGCACCAAAAAGAAGAGAGTCAGTTTGGGACTGGAGAGAATCCAGGTACAGAGAATAAGCAGGTGTGTTGATGAATCCGTCCTTGGCTAGACGAATGGGGAGATTGTCGTACTGGAACTGGTCCCCATTTCCAAGGTTATTGACATAAGACGCCTCGTTGCTCGGGTAGCCGATACCAAAAACCGGGTCAGTATTTGTCTGAGTAGCCATGGCGAACTCATACTGGTCAATACTATACTGGTCAATACTAACACCACCGATATTGATGGTATCTTTGACCCAATCTCCAATGGCAGAGGTTTTGTCTCCGTGGGCAATTGCAAAGCCGTTGGGAACGTCCTCCTGAAAAGTAGAAGAAGCCTTCTTGTTGAATGCACCGGAGGAGCCGTCACTCTTCACCCACAAGTCAGACGAGCCTGTGTCAATCTGAACTGAGAAGGGCTGACCGGGTATACCAAGAGTGATGTTCACAGCGTACTCAACAAGCTGGTTTCCTAGAACGGCAGAAGGGTCAGCAGGAGCCTTATTGGGGTTATTCAAAGAATCAGGGTTAGCAGTATGTACAGTTGGTAGGGTTGTTGATTCTCTGAGTAAAACCGATTTTGACGAACTTAGGTGCAGGAGCAGGTGCGGCCGCCACGAGAGCAGTAAATACTGCCAGAGTCCTTAGGGTAGTGAACTTCTTATGGGAAGTCAAGTTGAGATTGTGTTATGAGACATGTAGGGGTAAGGATCTTGCTATTTATGTAAAATAGAAAGAAGGGGGGATGGCCTATGTTCAAGTGGAAGAAAGCTAAGTTGGATTGAAAGAGCTGGTGTTTATTATTGAGTGGTGTGATTCAAGAGACCATGGAACCATGATATTGTATCATCGCAGAGGTCCGTGTGTGGATCCCACAAATTTCAGAAGTCGGTACAATATCTGTACTTTGACCTTGGGGATGTTAACCATGTAATTAGTACATCAGTCGAGGTTTTTTTATTCTTCTGTAACAAGAAAAAGTCCCAAAGTATACCAACAATGAGGATATTTCTGTACTTCAAAAGAACAGACCCAAAATGCCGTGGTGACAGTTGCACAATGAGTCCTGGAACTGCACTAACATTATCCTCGAGAGCTGATAATTGATGTCTCAAGGTTAGAGTCTCCATGATCTGAGTGAGAACTGTGGGTGGTGACCCTATGGGAAAACATGTTGGCAAAAAAGATATCAATAAGCCAATGCCGTATCTTGAGTATATCCTGTATGTATGTACATACTGTAGTGCCGTGGCATTCACTAGAGGGAAATTTCGATGCATGGGGTCGTGAGAAGCTCAGTCTGGTGACTCGTGGCTCTTGAAAGTTGTATTCCGTTATACCTTAGACATTTGTTATGTCTGAAGCACCTATAAATGCCTACGCTCATGACTCTAGTCAACAATATTCCACTTGAATGGCTGTGCGCAAACGTCGCCGAATTTCACCTTCTTTACGCTCATTTCAATAACAAGTCGGTCTAGAAAACAAGTTTCGAACACGTTTCAGTGGAACAGGGAAGTATTGAATACTAGGATGAATATGACCGATTTCTACAAAACTAATCTAACACCAGCTACTCCACGTAGCATGCTTAGCCTGGCTAAGTGAAGTAAGGCCTCATCCCTGTGAAACGTTGAGTGTTTAGAATACGAGAGCAGGCTGTACGGCAGTGGACTATCTCATAAGAGTTAATATAACACTCGAGCGGCATAACCATGGGTTTCAAGCTGGATGTTTGAAGCTGAGTGCCCCACGGATGTCCCGACACCGTATTTAGTTTCTTGCGTTTTGGCTCGCTGTATTAATGTCCTGGTCTCGAGGTTCCGCTACCGAAAATAGAACTCTCCATCCTTGCAACATAATTCAGATATCATTATGATCTTGTGGCGTTGAGATGACTGCTCACGACAAAGAAACCCGCCAACTCCTAAACGGCCATAAAAGCATCAGGACGTTTTAGTTCGCAAGATCAGTGGATGTTGCGTCTGGGATGTACGTAGGGAGTGTATTGGGTTTGAGCTCGATGGCATCACTCACCGTTGACGAGAAGGGGTTCTTTGGGACTCACCACCTCATTGTCAAGCCAAGAGTACGATTAAAACTGATCCAGAGCAACGAGTTTTCCCATTGAGTTGCAGCTATTCTTTTTATACCTCTTATTTTTGTCCACAGGCAAAGGGATTTAATTATCTTCTGCTGACAAGCCTGAAACTTTATGGGTGCTTCGATAATGCCGTTTCTATTAAACTCTGGAAAAAATAATACAACATGCTGCCCAAAACGAAAATGGATTCTGGAACACCCTTTGATTGGCAGTTACAGCAATTATTGGAACAATTATGAATCCTCTGTGAAGACCGTTTCCTATGATTCGTTGGGCCAGCATCTTGGTTATCCCGATTTTCTCGGCGGTCTATTACTACTCCTCGAAAACGAAAGTTTGACCCTTGCATATCAATGTTACATTGTGATGCCGTTCATGATATTGAAATGAAAGTAGATGTATGCTACTTGTAGTAACGGCAGTGATTTATAATGTGTGATTTCCCAACAGAGGTGAAAGTTACGCCATGCTCCTCGCGGTCTCTTGATTCCTCCGAACTTCTACTCTGTAAGGGTGTAGAAATATGTCGACCTCATGCACCTATTAATGGTACAGTACCTTTCACCGCGTTTTAAGCAGCACATGTCCTTCCAAAGGTATCAATTTGATATCGCAGGCAGTAGGAACTGTGATACCTCCCATTTATGTTGCTGAAATGGAATGTCAATTCTCCTACTGCAACACTATGTACACTGTACATCCTATGTCATCTCCTCGGTCAGATTTATTGGATTAATTTACAAGTACTGTGTTATAGTGTATCGTTGAGGTTATAAATCCAACCACGATCTAGAGAATTGTCCTTTCGTAATACGATGGACTCCGACGTCTGGATCACCCATAGCACATTGGATTGTGTACCTGGTGCTGCTGGCTCTAATGTGGCAGAATACAACCCTCATGAGAGTTTCACAACAGCTTACTGCATCACCGAGAATGTTTGAGTCCGATATGTGATACAGTATTATTATTATTCTCTTGAACACCCCAATAGGAGTACGCACTGTACATGCAAAGTGTTAAAATATCCTGTTCACAGAACAGGTGAAGTCCTTTAAGATAGCATGAGTAAGATTAGCGATCGAAGCAGTCTTCACAGGCTTCCCTTTGTGTTCACTTGGTCCTTGTAAAAAGGATATGACATGTGCTGTTATCCATCCTGGAAATCGAGGCTGTGAAAACTCATCTGCTAATCTCTGTTATTATCTTCATAGAAAGATCTTTGACTTTCAGTTGCGCCAAGCAGCTCTGTGTGGTCAACTACTCTAACATTTCCCTCCTACTACTTTTATTTAGTCATCCGATTCAACGTCGACTTCTGTGGAGTGTCTGAGTGATCTATCTTCTGTGCAATACAATATATACATATTGTGGCTGTCAGTCTGTCTCAAAATGACGTAAAAAGTTGCAAATATGCGAATTGTACTTGTTGGATAAGGACAGGTGGTATATCAATGGGGCATTTGCTACTTGGAGACTTCCTTTCATATATGAGTTTGCCTTCTCAAGTAAGCGTAACAGAGTATGGTAATTTCTTACAGTAGGTTTCGTATAATCATTTCCACGCTGCTTCTAAATCTTATCTCATTCATTCCAATTGCATCTGTTTGAGAACGGTTTTCAGAAGATAAACACCGGCATTCATATCAACCCTATATAAGTGCACCTGAGAGTAGATCTATTCATCATTATAGGTTACAGGAGCCTCTGAACTAACTAATGTACTGCAACGTAGAATGTTAGTGAGGGTGATATTTAGGATTACGTATTTATTTATGCATCTGAAAATAGACACACATTCAATTGCAGAAGGGAAAATCTACTGTAATTTAGCTACAGGTACTTGTACTTGAAGGTCAGAGTAATCAAGCTTCCTCAAAAAAAACGAAATTGGTCATTGCTTTGGCCATTGCT